TAGGTCCACCCTTCACCATGGCTTCTGGATCCAAGCTAGTGATAAGAGTCAACAGGAGATAAACCAGGCTGCCAGCATCAGAGCATACTGCAACAACAAAACAGTTTCTCTTTTTTTTTTTTTTTTTGGGTCCAGTCATGGGGCCTTGAACTCTGGGCCTGGGCGCTGTCCCTCAGCTCTTCAGCTCAAGGCTAGCACTCTACCACTTGAGCCACAGCGCCACTTCCGGATTTTTTCTTTTTGCTTATGTGGTGCTGAGGAATTGAACCCAGCACTTCAGGCATGCAAGGCAAGTGCTCTACCACTGAGCCACCTTCCCAGCCCCAAAGCAGTTTCTCTTAAGTAGAAGAACTACCCTCCAAAATAATATGACCTACGGCAGGGGCCCAACTCCAAGGCTTCTTCATGACATTTGCTCTAATACCAAATAAAAATGAGTAGTTGTGAAGGGAAGAGAAAGGAGATTTATTACAGGATACAGGCACCGACCTACCATAGGAACAGGTACAGTAAGCATTTTAACCCATTTTTAGAGTACTTTCATGAGCCTTAGGTTTAGAGGAAGAATTGGGAGGGAAGAGATATGCACTAGTATAAAGCAGTCCTGTTCACAGGTATGGACAGCCCTATGGATCATTTCAGGGTTGGTTAGGTGTGTGGTCTGGTCACAGCACAAAGGTCAAACTCGTCAGGATTACAGTTTAAAAATGATGTATAGAGGGGTGACAGTTATATGTTATATACAGTTGTATAAGTCACATAAGTCATAAGTTACATAAAGTACAATTTGTTGTTGTTGTTGTTTGAGGGCTTGAACTCAGGGCCTGCGTACTGTCTCTGAGCTCTTCAGCTCAAGGCTAGCGCTCTACCACTTGAGCCACAGTGCCACTTCCAGCTTTTTCTGCTTATGTGGTGCTGAGGAATCAAACCCAGGGCCTCTTGCATGCAAGGCAAGCACTCTACCACTGAGCCACCTTCCCAGCCCACTTCCTTTTTTTTTGAGTAGTTAATTGAAGAGTCTCACAGGTTGGCTTTAAACCGTTATCCTTAGATCTCAGCCTCCTGAGTAGCTAGGTTTGCAAGTTTGAGCTACTGGTACCTGTTAAGAATACATTTCTTTTGGTCTTGTTACAAGATTTTTATCATCAGTCTTGTTCTTCCTGGAATCAAAATAAAGGTGGCTACCACCTGACTGTAGAGAACTCTGAGCAAAGACATACAAAATGGAGTCAGTTTGCTAACCTTTTCTCCTGCTTTTTAGTTCATTGGCCTTTGTATATTTGCAGGCTGAAGTGAGGCGTGAATACTTTTTTTGTGTCAGTGTCTTTTAGCAAAGGCAGTTTCTAGTGTGTTTCAGTTTGTCTCATATAGCAGAGTGGGATCTGAAGAAGTGGCTGTCATGAAGCCAGTGGTGAGTATTTCCCAGAAGCCCCCACTGTCTTTTGTGAAAAGAGATTCAAGGGCTGGGCATGCGGCTTTGTGGTAACCTGCCCAGCACACATGAAGCCCTGGGCTCGACTTCTCAGTACCACATAAACAAAAAAAAGCCAGAAGTGGCTCAAATGGTAGAGTGTCAGACTTCAGCAAAAGAAGCTTAGGGACAGTGCCCAGGCCCTGAGTTCAAACCCCAATATACCCCACCCCCCACCACACAAAAGTCTGCCATCCATAGTTTCACAGCTCAAAGTCACATAATTTTTCTGTGACTTGAATAACTTTTAGAAAAAATCTTAATAGTTAAGCGAGGTTACCTTTTTCAGTTTCTAGAATTTTTTTCCTTTAGTGGCTATCAGTAGAAATATTAGAGTTTTACAGGATTTAAAATTTTGAGTAAAGTCTTTTTTTTCCTGGTCCTGGAGCTTGAACCTGGAGCCTGGGCACTGTCCCAGAGCTTCTTTTGCTCAAGGCAAGTACTCTACCACTTGAACCACAGCACCACTTCCAGCTTTTTTTTTTTTTTTGAGTAGTTTAAGTCTCATAGTTTCCTGAATAGGCTGGCTTTGAACTGTGATCCTCAGATCTTCAGATCCTGAATAGCTAAGATTACAGTCATGAACCACCAGTGCCCAATCAAGTCTTACAATTGTTAATGATTCAATTTGTATTTTGGAGCTTAATCTTTGTTTTCTCATTTATAAAAGTATTTTTGTTTTCTCATTTATAAAAGTTTGTGTGTGTGTGTGTCCTGGTACTAGGGGGTTGAACACATAGCCTCAAATTCTCATTCATTTTTGGGGCTTGCTTTGAACCTCTATCTCAGCTTTCTACCTTATGAAGCAGTGTGAGACACTGGCACCTGGTTAAAATTAATCTGTTTTTGTTTTGTTTTGGGTCCAGTCGTGGGGCCTGAACTCTGGGCCTGGGCACTGTCCCTCAGCTCTTCAGCTCAAGGCCTGGCTATACTACTTCTTGAGTGTTCACTAACAACTTAATGTTTTGACTTGTTAGTGATTTACAAGGCCCTTTCAGATGAAGAAAATACTTCATGATGGTAACAATTCAAATCATAGGGGTTTACCTAGAGACTTCTGCAAATACACACAAAAAAGAGACACATTCAAAAGGCCACTATTACAATTTATTTATCAATACTTGAAGACAAAGTACTATCAAGGAATAAACTTAATGACAAAAGAGGTCCAAAGGCCAGGGGCAGATGGCTCAAGCCTATAATCCTAGCTACTGAGAATGGCAGTTTGAAGCCAGTGCAGGCAGGAAAGTCCATGGGACCCTTATGTCCAACTAACCACCAAAAAACTGGAAGTGGTGCGGTGGATCAAAGCAGTAGAGTTCTAGCCTTGAGCAAAAAAACTCAAGTATAGCACCTAGGCTTTGAGTTCAAGCCTCACAACTGACAAAAAAGAAGAGGAAGAGGAGGAGGAGAAGGTTGTTCAAGGCTACTAGAGGAAAAAAAAAAAAATCACAAAATGTACATTAAGAGGCAAGAGATTGTGGGAGGCCCGTAGCTCACGCCTGTTCTAGCTACTCAGGAGGCCTTAAAGTTCAAGCCCCAGGACTAGTACCTGCAACAAAAGGAAAAAAAGAAAAAAGGCAAGAGGTTGAAACAAAATAAATAAATGCAGAGATACAATGTTTATGGACAGATTTAATATCAGGGGATCTCAATTGTCTTGAAATTGGTCTATCAATTCCAAATAGCGAAATCAAAATACCCAATTATAAATTTAAGTGGAAGAGTAAAAGATTGACCTCCTGAAGGTCAGGGGGGGAGGGCCTTACCTACCAGACATTAAGACCTGTTTAGAAATTGAGTACCATGATAGTTGCGGAAGTTAGGAACCATTGTGGCTATCTCCTCCACACCCAATGAGAGTCCCTGCCCTCAAGAGGGGCAGAATGGCTACACCCACCACTTGAGGATTTTGAGGGGTGGTGCAGCTCCGGGAGACTGAAGACAAAGTTTCTTTTCTTTGGTCGGTCGTGGGGCCTGAATTCTGGGCCTGGGCGCTGTCCCTCAGCTCTTCAGCTCAAGGCTGGCGCTCTACCACTTGAGCCACAGCGCCACTTCTGGCTTTCTCTGCTTATGTGGTGCTGAGGAATCGAACCCAGGGCCTCAGGCATGCAAGGCAAGCACTCTGAGCCACCTTCCCAGCCCCTCCTTTGGCTCTCGCAAACCATTTTTTTCCATTGCGGGGTGGTATGGTAACGTAAGGTGTGATGGGGTCATTTTTACCCTGGGACGAGAACAAACTAAGGCCAAGCGACGTTTCAGAAGAAAATGAAAAGGGGGACAATTTTCTTCCATTTCGTGGGCTCGTAACTGGACGCAGTCCGCTTCCGAAGGGCGGAATCTCATGAGCTATACCGCCTGGAAACAGATGAGTAGAGTGGCACATTAATAAACGGACAAATGGACCACACACACACACACGAAAAAAGAAAAGGAAAACGGACTCCTCCGGGAACAAGAGGGAAGGCCCAGAACCCCCTAAGTCGCTACAACTGGGCCGGTGGCAGGGTGTCTCCTTCTCTGGACCCCAAGAGACCAAATACGAACAGAAGAGAGGAGCACCCCGCGTCCTCACCGCCCGACTCCACTCACCCGACCAGTTCAAAAGCCAAGAGCACCGACCTTGCGCCCAAAGTGGGCGAAACCACCGAGCCGGGGAAGCTGGGGAGGTCCGGGGGTCCAACCGCGGCCGGCCGGCTCGCAGAGACCCCTCCCCACCCCCGCCAGGTGGCCAACCCGTGCCGGAGCCCGCCCACCACCGCCGCTAAACTATTGGCGCGCTCACCCGCCAGTCTTGCCGTGACGCGGTGGGGGTGTGTGTGGGCGGTGCGGAGCCCCTCCCACCTCCGGCAAGCCAGAACAAACATTCCCAGGATCCTGGGCGATTTCCCTTGACGTTACTTCCGGGAAAAGTAACCTTTCCTCGGCGGTTGCAAGTCTCCGGAACTCTCGCGAGATCTGCCCCGTGCGAGATCTGCTTGCTCACTCTAGCGATGACATTCTCCTCCTCCTCCCCGCCGCCTTTCGGCAATCTTCGCCAGTCCCAGTCCCGACCAATCTGCAGGCAGATCGCATAGATGAGGGTCTCCCCCGCGAACCCCAGTCCGCGCGGGGCGCCGGGCGGCAGCGGCGGGGTACCAGCTGCACAAGGCCGAAGGCAGCGACACGGCGGGAGGCCCCGGGCTGGCTACTGGCAGCGAGCGCGGGCGGGGCGGGGCAAGCCGGCCGAGTGACGGCTCGATTGTTCTGGCCTGGCTATGGCGCCTCTCCTCCCCCCCGCCATGGCTCCCCGTGTCCCTGCTCCGCTCCTCTCAGTGAGTGAAAGTGGCCGCCGCCGCCGCCGGCCCAGCGCCCGCAGCCGCCTCAGCGCCGCCGCCATCTTGGGGTCCCAGGAGCCGCCGAGGGAGCGAGCTAGGAGCGTTCACGTCCAACGCAGTCACCGTCTCACGGCCTCCGGGAGCGAACCGCGGCTCCACCGTCGGCGGGGCGACCCCCCCCTCCGGACCCCGCCCGCACCCCGCACCCCCTCCGCCGCCGCCGCGGCGGCGGGGCCCCGCGGCCCGAGGTGAGGGGACCGGACGCGGGCGGGCGGGCGGGGGGGCTCGGCCGGGCCCCGTTGCGCCCCTCTCCGCGGGCGACGGCTGGGCCGCGTCTTAAAGGGGCCGTCGCCCCCGGCCCCGGGATTTGTGTGTGTGTGTGTAGGAGGGGGGGGTTGTTCGTCGGGAGAATGGGTGTGGACGCTTCCCCCCCCCCCCCGGGGGAGGGTGGGCCGGGACCTCGGGGACCCGGGCCCCGTCCTCCCCCCCCCACCTCTGGAGTCTCGGGGTCACGAGGTGACCCCCCCCCAGCTCCCCGAGGAAGCCCGTGGGGCACCCGCACGTGGGGAGTGTGTGAGACCCGGTGCACGTGGGACCCGGTGGGGCGGTGTCGGGCTAACACGTGTGTGGGTTTGGGGGTGGGGAGGGGCCGGGCGGAGGCTGGCGGGGCGGGAGCGGGACTCGGGCGAGGGCTGGACCTGTCAGCGGGAAAGGGGGGGGTGTCCGTTTCGGGGCGGTGGGTGGTGGGGAAGGGGGCAGCTCACGCGCGCCCAGCCTTAAGGAACGTGTCGGTGACAGCCCTGTGGTGGGGTCCCCCCCCCCCGCCCCCGTCCCCGGCTTTTTCTGTAGCGCTTGGGCCGGTGTCTTCTTTCCTTTTTTTTTTTTTTTTGACGTCTCTTCTCGAGCTTGCTGATTAAAAGTACTACTTCCGCGATCACGGCCGAGGGAAGCCCCCTACCGTCTGGGAGTTGACTTTGCCCAAGACCGCACTTCACTATTTCAGTCCTCAGCCCGCCGTGCCCAGGACACTCTTCCCCCGGTTTTCCTGCATGTTCCTCTCCTTGTTAGGAAGGAAGGGAGGGAGGGAGGGAGGGAAGGAGGGGGCCGGATTTGGAGGGTCCACGCTCAACCTCGCGGGAAAACTTGTTTTTTTCAGTCAGTCTCCCACGATTTTTTTTTTCCTCCTCCTCCTCTTCCTTCTTTCTCCTTTCTTCTTCTCTTTACTCATTTTCATTGCGGCTTGCCAGGGGCTTCTTATTGAGACTGACCCGTTAGCCACACTAAATATTTAGAGCCCTGGCAGCCCAGCAGCTCTCCTGTCTATCTCGGCCTCCAACGCTGCGTGCGTGCTCAGATTTACCAGGGTGCCACTGACTACACCCCTGCTTTTGTTTATTTTTTTTTGTTTTCCTACAGTAACAGTTTTATTGGGATATGCACATGCCACAAAAATTCAGTGCACTCATTGGGCAGAGTTTTCTGACTTTCCCTATCTACATAGCTCCATGGCTGGTCACCGGTATTTAGTCCGTCCCTCCAAAAAAGCCCTAGAAGCTCTTTATGCAGTCACTCCCAGCTTCCTCTCTTTGCAGCCTGTAGTGACCACTAAGCTATTTCCTGTCTCCTTATATTCACCTAGCCTGGACATTTCCACTTTGGATAAATTGAATTTTTATAATGTGTTCTTCTGTAACTGACTTCTTTGACTTAATGTTTTCAAGGTTTGTATGCAGCATATAAACTTTGATCCTTTTTATTGCTACCTAGTATTCTATTCTGGTTTTGTTTTATATGTGTGGAATTCTCAAGCTCCTCTTCCTGGAAAACAAGTTTCAGCTTGTCAGCCCTTCATATCCATGAGTTCTTGGATTTTTTTTTTTTTTTTTTTTTCTATTCCTTAGGCTTGAACTCAGGGCCTGGGCACTGTCCCTGAGCTTCATTTGCTCAAGAATAGTACTGTCACTTGAACCACAGCACCACTTCCAGCTTTTTCTGCTTATGAGGTACTGAGGAATCAAACCCAGGGTCTCATGCATGCTAGGCAAGCATTATACCACCAAGCCACATTCCCAGCCCAAGGATTTTTTTTTTTTTTAACTTGACAAAACCTGCATTTTGCAGAATTTGAGTTGGCCAGCAGCTGAGCACAATGGAGCATCCAGGAAATTGAATTGGTGTGTAGGCATACACACTTCCCATAGCTACTTCCCCAGTGCACAGCTCCTTTTTCTCCAGCAGTGTTTGGGCATTGCTCACCTTGCATCTTTCTCTTCTCTGCTCTATGTAGTTAAGTCTGTGATGGTCCTGACTGTACTGAACATGTACAGAGTGTTTACTTGTTATTCTTCAAATAATACGGTATAACATTTATGCAGCATTTATAATGTGTTGGGTATTTATAAATAACCTAGCAATGATTGAAAGTCTAAGGGAATATGTTTGTGTAGGTTGAGTGCAAACATTGTTATTTTGACTGAGGTACTTGAACAACCTTGGATTTTGGACCCAATTCCCAGAATACTAAGGAATATACAATCAGCTGTGGGGCTTTAACTCAGGGATCCAGCACTATCCCTGAGCTATTGTGCTCAAGGATAGTAGTGCTCTACCACTTTGAGACATAGCTCCATTTCCTGTTTTCTGTGGTTAAATTGGAGCTAAGAGTATAATAGGCTTTCTTGCCTGGGCTGGCTTTCAACTGCACCCCTCAGATCTCAGCCTCCTGAGTGGCTAGTATTACAGGCTTGAACCACCAGCCCAAACTTTATTATTACAATATTAATTTCTTACCAGAAAAGCTGTTACATGCAAAATTGGATGAACCTCATTAGTGGTAACATTTTGGATCACAAAGTAACATTTTGGACCTACATACCTGTAAAATATAGTCCAAATGTGTAGAAGTATAGGTCTGCTATGTAATGTTTGCAAGATGACAGATAGATACATTTTGGAAAAATGTATCTCTGTCATTAATATACCATAAATGATATATTGTAAAGGTTGCATACATTTTAGATTCTACAAAGAGTATTGTTTTTAAGTGTTTAAATTCCATTTTTTAAAAAAAGTTCTGAGTTTTTTCCCCTTCCATTTTTTTGTTGTTGTTGCTGTTGCCAGCCCTGGGTCTTAAACTCAGCACCTGGGCCCTGTCCCTGAGTCACAGTGCCACTTCTGGCTTTTCTGTTTATGTGGTACTGAGGAATCGAACCCAGGGCTTCATGCATGCTACGCAAGCACTCTACCACTAAGCCACATTACCTGCCCTCAAAACAGTGTTTAAACAGGAGAGGGTGATCATGTTTGGCCCATTAGGGCATTTTTTTGTTTGTTTAGTTCTAGTTTGCAAAGTAGAGATTATATAATTTCCACTTCTGAGATTAAGTGAAATGTTAACAAACAGCATATCAGTAAATCTTAGTTTGCTTTCTTCCTTGAGTGGATACATTTGCCAAATTTGTTAAATAATAGGAAGGAACAACATATCTGGACATGAGATTTCTTCAGAGTATGTTCTGGAATTACTACTGAGTTTCATTCAATTTTACATGTAGTAGCTTTTCTGGTAAGAAATTAATATTGTAATAATAAAGTTTGGGCTGGGTGCTGGTGGCTCAAGCCTGTAATACTAGCCACTCAGGAGGCTGAGATCTGAGGGATGCAGTTGAAAGCCAGCCCAGGCAAGAAAGCCCATGATACTCTTAGCTCCAATTTAACCACAGAAAACAGGAAATGGAGCTATGTCCCATAGTGGTAGAGCACTACTATCCTTGAGCACAATAGCTCAGGGATAATGCTGGATCCCTGAGGTAAAACCCCACAGCTGACCCCCTCCCCCCCCCCAAAAAAAAAGTGAAGGAGCTGGGAATGTGGCTTAGTGCTTGCCTAGCATGCACGAAGTCCTGGGTTTGATTCCTCAGTGCCACATAAACAGAAAAAGCTGGAAGTGGTGCTGTAGCTCAAGGGGTAGAGTGCTAGCCTTGAGCAAGAGAAGCTCAAGGACAGTGCCCAAGCCCTGAGTTTCAGCCCTAGGACTGGGGAAAAAAAAAAAAAGTTTGATAAATGTGTGCATGAACAGAAAAATGGGCAATAAACAGTGTGGTATAAAGGATACCAGGCCAGATGACTAGTTCTCCTTGTAAATATACTTGATGCATTGCTAGAAAGGTCAACAAAATGTTACTCATTCAAAGAAAGATATGAAAAGTAAAATTTAAAAATAACATTTAGGGCTGGGAAGATGGCTCAGTGGTAGAGCGCTTGCCTCACATGCATGAGTCCCTGGGTTTGATTCCTCAGCACCACATAAACAGAAAAAGCCAGAAGTGGTGCTGTGGCTCAAGTGGTAGAGCGCTAGCCTTGAGCTGAAAAGCTGAGGGACAGCGCCCAGACCCTGAGTTCAGGTCCCAGGACCAATAAAAAAATGAAATAAAAATAAAAAATAAATTTATAAGCCAGGTGCAAGTGGCACATGTCTATAGTCCTAGCTATTTAGGAAACTGAGATCTGAGGATCCCAGTTCAAAGCCAGCTGAAGCAAGAAAGTGTAAGACTCTTTTTTTTTTTTTTTTTTTTTGGGTCCGGTCGTGGGGCCTGAACTCTGGGCCTGGGCGCTGTCCCTCAGCTCTTCAGCTCAAGGCGAGCGCTCTACCACTTGAGCCACAGCGCCACTTCCGGCTTTTTTCTTTTTTTGGGGGGTCCTGTCGTGGGGCCTGAACTCTGGGCCTGGGCACTGTCCCTCAGCTCTTCAGCTCAAGGCTAGTGCTCTACCACTTGAGCCACAACCCCACTTCTGGCTTTTTTCTTTTTGCTTATGTAGTGCTGAGGAATTGAACCTAGAGCCTCATGCATGCAAGGCAAGCACTCTACCACTGAACCACCTTCCCAGTCCTCAAAAACCTTTTTTTAACCATGCTCTGTTAAAACTGTCTAACCCTTTAATAGATGAACTTATGGTATGTCTACCCCTAAGATTTTTGAGGAATTTTTTTTTTTTCCTGGTCAGTGGTAGGGCTTGAACTCTGGGCCTGGGCGCTGTCCCTGAGCTCTTCAGCTTAAGACAAGTGCTTTCCCACTTGAGCCACAGTGCCACTTCTGGTTTTCTGGTCTTTAATTGGAGATAAGAGTCTCACAGAGCGGGGCTGGGAAGGTGGCTCAGTGGTAGAGTCCTTGTCTTTTTTTTTTTTTTTTGGGTCCAGTTGTGGGGCTTGAACTCTGGGCCTGGGTGCTGTCCCTCAGCTCTTCAGCACCACATAAGCGCTGGAAGTGGTGCTGAGGAATCGAACCCAGGGCCTCAGGCATGCAAGGCAAGTGCTCTACCACTGAGCTACCTTCCCAGCCCCCAGGAGTGCTTGTCTTGCATGCATGAGGCCCTGGGTTCGATTCCTCAGCACCACATAAACAGAAAAAGCCGGAAGTGGCGCTGTGGCTCAAATGGTAGAATGCTAGCCCTGAGCTGAGGAGCTGAGGAACAGCGCCCAGGCCCAGAGTTCAGGCCCCACAACCGACAAAAAAGAAAAAAGAAAAAGAGTCTCAGCAACTTCTCCCTGCTGGGGCTCAGCTTCCTGAGTAGCTAGGATTACAGGCATGAGCCACCAGTACCTGGCTTAAGCAGGAGAGAAGTTTCCATAAAATATGAAGGAAGTGATTGTGCTTTCATTTAAGATAAAGAAATTTGGCTCATGGCTTTGGTAGAGTGTTTGGTATGGTGTGAGACTGGATTTTATCTGCAGATTGAATTAAAATAGATACCTTGGAAAATTACAGTTAACTTGAAAGTTGGATATTGCTTGACAGAGCTTCAATAATGAGTAGTTTGTTTTCAAACTTACTCGCAGAAGGAGGCTAAAGTTTAAGAACATACCTAGACACGCAATTTGGTTTATAAAGCCAAAAACTTTAGTGATCCAACTAGTATACTCCCGTAAAAATACCATTCTCAATCCTTGCCCTGACTTCAATTAGAACTATGAGAAAAAAACTTATTTAAAAATTTTACACACACACACACGCGCACACACACACGCACACACACGCACACAGGTACCAAACTGAATGAAATAGATACACACAGGAACTAAATGGAATGAAATAGGCAGTCATGATAGTGCCTTATTAGACTTGTTTAGACCTTAGCTTGTGTATTTAGGGGCAATAATGAGATACAATTCAAGAATTATTTTTAAAAACAGGGTGTGTGCCTATCTCTATCAACTCTGAGATTTGGGGCTCTAAGCCTTTATGAAGCAAAGTACTCATTAACTTTGAAAATATCTTCATCATGTATCCTGATAGCTAGAACCATATATTCAACAGAAATTCTGTTATGAAACATTTTATTCCACACACAGTGTTTTTTCATCTTCCCTATTTCCAGTTGTTGAGCATTTGCCATACTTGAGACTGTATTAATAGTCTGTGGGGAATACAAGTGAATTGATCCAGTTGTATATGTGTGTATACAGAGAAAGAATTTGCCCAGAGATAATACACAAAAAAGTGCCAGAGAGAAGGATTAACCTGATTTTTGACAGCTTTCTTATGCTGCTCAGGCTGGATTCTCACGCCCCTGCTTCCCCAGTGATGTGATTACAAGCTTATAAACTGGTTAGAAACCACACCTTGCTTGTTTGTTTTTCAAATATATTGACTCAAATCCCAGTTGTCTAGGAGGGACCTAAAACAACAACAAACATGTTTTGAGACATTAATTTTCATTAGTTCAAAGGTCTAAATCTGTTTGGTTAGTATAAGAAATGTAGTCCAGTGGTACTGAAAAAATAGTTGAATCCCTGCTACATCTCTAGATAACCTTGGTTGGGATTTTAGCTCTCCCTCCTGTTAACTTTGTGATCTTTGGAAAGCTCCCTGCTCCCCTCCCCCACCCCACCAGTCCTGGGCTTGAACTTGGGGCCTAGAATTGGTGCTGTGGCTCAAGTGGTAGAGTGTTAGCCTTGAGCAAAAAGAAGCTCAGGGACAGTGCCCAGGCACTAAGTTCAAGCCCCAGGACTGGCACAAACAAAAGAAAAAAAAAAAAAAAAGAAAAGCAGAGGTAGGTCTTGCTGGCTTACACCTGTAATCATACCTACTTATGAGGCTGAAATCTGAGAATTGTAGTTTGAGGCCTGAGTAGGAAAGTCCATGAGACTCTTATGTCCAATTAACTATCCAAAAAGCTGGAAGTAGAGGTATAGCTCAAGTGATAGAGTGCTAGCCTTGCACAAAAGCTCAGGGACAGTGTCCAGGTCCTGAGTTTGAGTTCCAGCATTAGCATGCACACACATAAAAATAGATAGTAGTAGAATGCTACCACGTGCAAGGCCCTTGATTTGATCCCCAAGGATCAAATAAATTAAAATCTAGAAAAGGTTTTTAGTTTTTACAAAAGCTTTATTACATTGGGCGCAATCATCTGGATTTGTCCTACAAGCCAAATCTGTGTGAACCCATTCTGTAGAATTTTGGCTGTACAGCTTCTTGTTGTATAATCTTTTGCACATTACTTTACTTCTAGGCTTTAGTTTTGTGTTTGGAATTAGATTAATAGTATCTAGTTTATAGAATTTTTAATAATAAAACCAGAGAACCAGAGATAGAATGACCATGGTTTAAAGCCTGCCTGGACAAAAGTTATCAAGACTATCTCAAAGAACAAACCAGATTGGTAGTTACTTTTTTTTATTTTTGGTCGGTTGTGAGGCCTGAACTCCGGGCCTAGGTGCTGTCCCTCAGCTCTTCAGCTCAAGGCGAGTGCTCTACCACTTGAGCCACAGTGCCACTTCAGCTTTTTCTGCTTATGTGGTACTGAGGAATCGAACCCAGGGCCTCATGGGTGCAAGACAAGCACTCTATCACTGAGCCACCTTCCCAGCCCGATAGTTACATTTTTGTGAGAGTCAGGTGTATTCAGTGGTTCATCACTAGCCCCGAGCAAAATTGTGAGACCCTATCTGAAAAATAAGTGGGGAATGGCTCAACTGGTGGACATTTGCCTAGCTAGCTCATAGTCCTGAATTCAAACTCCAGTACTGTCCACAACCAAAAGAAACAAAAGATAATTTATGTGAAGTGCTTGATGCTATCTCTGACATAGTGTTTAATAAATTGTGTGTGTGTGTGGGAGGGAGAGGCTTTAGTCCTGGGGCTTGAACCTGGGCACTGTCCCTAAGCTGCTTTTTCACTCAAGGCTAATACCACCAGAGCCACAGTGCCACTTGTCTTTTTTGAGTAGTTTATTGGAGATAAGAATCTCATAGACTTTCCTGCTGGCTTTGAACTTCAATCCTCAGATCTCAGCCTTCTGAGTAGCTAGGATTACAGGTGTGAGCCACCAGCGCCTGGCTTACAAATATATATATATATTATTTTTTATTTTTTTTAATTTTGTGGTCGTGGGGCCTGAACTCTGGGACTGGGCGCTGTCCCTCAGCTCTTTAGCTCAAAGCTAGCCCTGTACCACTAGAGCCACAACACTACTTCCAGCTTTTTCTGCTTATGTGATGCTGAAGAACTGAACCCAGGGCCTCATGCATGTAAGGCAAGCACTCTACCACTGAGCTGCCTTCCCAGCTCTCGATGAGATTCTTATCTCCAATTAACTACCAGAGCACCAGTACTAGAAATGTAGCTCAAAGTGAAGAATATTAGCCCTGAGCAGAAGAGCTCAGAGGGATGGTGCCCAGGCCCCAAGTTCAAGCCCCACAACCAACCAGAAAAAAGTCACATTTTATATGATTCCATTTATGTATTTTTTAAAAAATGGCTGAAAAAAAGATTAGTAGTTGATTGTTGCTGTCATGGGAAATTGACTATAAATAGGTAAAACAAACTCTTTGGGGAGTGAGTGTAAGCGGACCAAAATGTTCTTACATTGTCGTGATAATGGCACAAGTCTATAAACTTACCAAGTCACAGAACTATACGTTTAAATGACGTAAATTTCACAGCATGGGGCTGGGATTGTGGCTTAGTGATGAGTACTTCCTTAGCATTCATGAAGCACTGGGTTCCATTCCTTAGTATCACATAAACAGAAAAGCCAGAATTGGCGCTGTGGCTCAAGTGGTAACCTTGAGCAAAAGAAGCTCAGGGACAGTGACCTGACACTGAGTTCAAGCCCCAGGTCTGGCAAAGAAAAAAATTCATAGCATATCAGTGTTGGCAAAATAAAGAGAGTATTAAAAGTACTTTTTAAAAGATTTTAGTAGTTGGGCACCAGTGGCTCACACCTATAATCCTGGCTGCTCAGGAGGCTGAGATCTGAGCATGGCAGTTCAAAACTACCCTGGGCAGAAAAGTCCCCATGAGACTCGTATCTCCAATTAACTGTTTAAAAGAAAAAACAAAACCCAAAGTGGCAGTGTGGCTCAAGTTGTAGAGTACTAGCCTTGAGCACAAAGAAGCTCAGGAACAGCACCCATGTCAAGCCCCATGACCGAAAAAAAAAAAAAATTTTTTTTGAGCAGGGTATACTTAGAGGAGAAATCTGAAGGCATAATGCTCCTGTAACTCAAGTACAGATAATCATAACAAATATCAGAAAGTAGGAATAAGGATTTTGGGGGGGAAGGATTGGGAGGGCACAGGAATGGAAGAAGGCAGGGTGAGCAAATGTCACTGTATTGAATGTACATTATAAAACATGAACTATGTAACAAGGGAAGGGATAGGAATGGGGAAAAACAGGGAGAACAAAGGAAAGGAGCAACATTGACCAAAAAGTATTCTATTATAACATGACTTATAGTATTGTAACCCCTTTGTACAACTACTGAACAACAATAGTAATTTTTGTTGTTGTTGTTGGTCATGGGGCTTGAACTCTGGGCCTGGGTGCTGTCCCTCAGCTCTTCAGCTCAAGGCGAACCCTCTGCCACTTGAGCCACAGCAACACTTCCTGTTTTCTGAGTGGTTTATTGGAGATAAGTGTCTGACGGAGTTTCCTGTCTGGGCTGGCTTTCAACTGTGATCCTCAGATCTCAGCCTCCTGAGTAGCTAGGATTACAGGCGTGAGCCACCAGCACCTGGCTAGTACTAGCTCTTGAGCCACAGCTTCACTTCCTGTCTTTTATTTTTAATTACCTATCTCCATTCTGCAGCCGTGTAGTCGGAGGCGCTTGTGCATGAAGACAGATTTGTTCTATGGCCTCGGAGTTGGGTGCCGGGGACGATGGCAGCAGCACTGAGCTGGCAAAGCCCCTCTATCTTCAGTACCTGGAGAGAGCCCTCCGGTTGGATCATTTCCTGCGACAAACATCCGCCATCTTCAATAGGAATATTTCTAGGTATGTTATTTCATGTTTGCTTACCACATTTCTGTTTGCCATCATAATTGCTTTATGATTCTTAATATTGAAAAGTTAATTTTTTCAGATAATCAGTTGGTTTTATATAGAGTGTCCAGTTCTATTAACCTTAACTTTTCTGATTACTTGCTTATTATCTTTCAATTTATAGTGATGACAGTGAAGATGGGTTGGATGACAGTAATCCCTTATTGCCCCAGTCTGGGGATCCCTTAATACAAGTAAAAGAAGAACCCCCTAATTCACTGCTTGGTGAAACTTCTGGAGCAAGCAATTCTGGAATGTTAACCCCGTACTCACTTAATGGAGTTCTGCAGTCAGGTCAGGGTGGTATGATGTTCTCTTTTTGCTGTTGTTGTTGGTTGTGGGGGCTGAACTCTGAGCCTGGGCGCTGTCCCTCAGCTCCTCAGCTAAGGTGAGTGCTATACCATTTGAGCCATAGTGCCACTTCCGGCTTTTTCTGCTTATGTGGTGCTGAGGAATCAAACCCAGGGCCTCATGCATGCAAGGCAAGTGCTCTACCACTGAGCCACCTTCCCAGCCTCCATGTATCCTCTTTGTGTGTAGTTCTTTTATTTTTAAAAAAAAATTTTTTATGTTTCTCTATACAGAATCAAAATCTGACAGGGGGAATTTATATAACTTTTCCAAGTTGAAGAAAAGCAGAAAGTGGCTAAAGGTAAGAGATAAACCATATCATATTCCAAATAACCTATCAAAGTTACTGTTAGAAATTGATTCAGATAGACTGACAAATTTTTTTCAGATATGATTGTCTTTTTTTATTATTTATTGCCAGTCCTGAGGCTTGAACTAAGAGCATGGGCACTATCCCTGAGCTTCTTTTGCTCAAGGCTAGTGCTCTACCACCTGAGCCATAGCACCACTTTCGGTTTTTTCTGTTTATGTGGTACTGAGGAATTGAACTTAGTGCTAGTGCATGCTAGGCAGGCACTCTACCACTGAGCCATATTCTCCAGCCCCTCAGGTGTGATTCTCTTATCCTACATATGTTTTTGTTTTCATTTTTAAAATTTTTTTTTTTTTAATTTAATTTAATTTTATTTGTGAACATACTGTACAGAGGAGTTACAGTTACATGGGCAGGATAATGTGTACATTTCTTACCAAGCATTGCAGCCTCCTCCTTTGTTTATCCTTCACATCCCTTCCCAGCCTCCCCCCTCCCCCCCTAATCCCAATCCTTCTCCTTCCTCCCCCCCCAGACCCCCCCCACCAACGTTGTAAAGTTCGTTTTGGACATGACAACTTGTACTTCTCATTGTTGCAACAGGTCCACCTGTATCCTTAAACAACTGGTTCATTTTTAAATTTTTTATTGCTCATGGTGTCTGAATTCTGGGCCTGGGTGCTGTTCCTCAGCTCTTTACCTCTAGGCAAGAACTCTTACCATTTGAGCCACAGTGTTTGTGGCTTTTTCTGCTTATGTGGTGCTGAGGAATCAAACCCAGGACTTCATGCACGCTAGGCAAGCACTCTACCACTAACCCACATTCCCAGCCCAGTTAGTGGGTATTTGGGTTGTTTCTCTCTTTTCAGTTAGGCTATTTCCTCCCTTCCTTTCCTTTGCTCTTTTTTTTTTTGGTGCTTGTCCTGAGACTTGAACTCAGGGCTTGGATGCTGTCCTTGAGCTTCTTTTTGTTCAAGGCTAGTACCCTACCACTTGAGCCACAGCTCCATTTCCATCTCTTTTTTTTGGTAGTTTAATAGAGATAAGAGTCTTACAGACTTTCCTGCTTGGGTTGGCTTTGAACGAAGAATCTCAGATCTCAGCCTCCTTAGTAGCTAGGATTAGGGGTATGAGTCATCCCCTCCAGCCCTTTGCTCTTTTATGTTAGTATTTAGTGAATTGTTGAGTATTTAGTGATTGTGCCCTCTGGGTGGTTCAAGCCACCAGAACACAAGTGCTCCCAATTCCCTATACCTTCAGCTCCTGTGGCAAATTTGACCTTCAGGGTGATAGGTGATTTAGGCTGATTAGGGAACTTTCCTTTCCTAAGAACTTCTGTGTATGTGTGTGTGCACACTCGAAAGCAGTAGTTTGTTATTCTTTGTCATTGCTCTATAACCTGGACAAAAAACTTTGAATTACCTGGTTGCTGGTGGCACATGCCTGTATTCCTAATTACTCAGGAGGCTGAGATCTGAGAATTGCAATTCAGAGCCAGCCCAGGCATAAATGTCTGTGAGACTATTGTCTAACCACTAGAAAACTGGATGTTATGCTATGGTTCAAGTGGTAGAGAACTAGCCTTAAGTGAAAAAGCTCAGGAACAACGCCCACATCCTGAGCCCCATGGCTGACAAAAATTTTTTTTTTTTAAAGTTTGAATTAAGCCAGGTGCTGGTGGCTCATGCCTGTAATCCTAGCTACTCAGGAGGCTGAGATCTGAGGATCACTGTTCAAGGACAGCCCGGGCAGGAAAGTCCGTGAGACTCTTATCTCCAATAAACCACTAGAAAACTGGAAGTGGTGCTGTGGCTCAAGTGGTAGAGCTCTCGTCTTGAGCTGAAGAGCACAGGGACAGAGCCCAAGCCCAGAGTTCAAGCCCCACAACTGACCAAAAAAAAAAAAAAGTTCATAAGGGGATTACTTCTCAGGAAGAATTATATTTTAAATTTCACCCTGCTTCAGAGCATTCTGTTAAGTGATGAGTCCAGTGAGGCAGATTCTCAGAGTGAAGAAGAAGAAGAAGATGATGATGATGATGATGACGATGATGAAGAAGAAGAACTCAATCTCAGCAGAGAAGAACTCCATAATATGCTTCGACTACACAAATATAAGAAACTTCACCAAAATAAGTACAGTAAAGACAAGGAGGTGAGAATTTGAAAACCCATGTTTTTTTTCTGGTTTATAGTTATTAATGATAAGTTATGTTCGCTGTAAGTGGTGGTAGTTGTTCACCATTGAGCCATTCATTATTGAAATTAACTCACAAACCAAAAATTTATCTTTAAAAAATAAGTAGTCAGGCCAGGTACTGGTGGCTCATACCTGTAATCTTAGCTACTCTGGAGGCTGAGATCTGAGGATCGTGGTTCAAAGCCAGCCTGGGCAGGAAAGTCCATGAGACAGTTACCTCCAATAAACTCAGAAAAAGCCAGAGGTGACGCTATGACTCAAGTGGTAGAGTGCTAGCCTTGAGCACAAAGAGGCTCAGAGACAGCACCCAAGCTCTGAGTTCAACGCCCCAGGATGAGAAAATAAACAAAAATATGCAGGTTTCTTTTTTTTTTTTCCTTAGTATATTCATAGAATTGCCTTAATGTAGTCACTGTGTTAATTCTAGAATGTTTTCACCTTAGAAGGAACCCTCACAGTCCTTTGCTGTTGCCCTCATTTTCTTTTTCTTTTTTCTTTTTGCCACTCCTGGAGCTTGACTCAAGGCCTGGGCACTGTCCTTGAGCCTCTCTGTGCTCAAGGCTGCACTCTACCACTTGATCCACAGCACCACTTCTGGCTTTTTCTGTGTATGTGGTGCTGAGGTATCAAACCCAAGGCTTCGTGCATGCTAGGCAAGCACTCTACCACTGAGCCACATTCCCAGCCCTGTTGCCTCTCATCTTCCTCCATAGTGCCAGGCTAGTTTTATCTCGCGCTTCCTTTTTATGATTTACAGTTTCTTTTGTTTCTGGACAGTGTTAGGAATTGAATTCAGAGCCCCATTCTAAATATTTATACAAATGGAATGTGACAACATGGTGTTTTGTGTCCAGCTTCTCAAGGTTTCAAGGTTCCTCTATATTATTATCACTTTATTCCTTTTTTTTTTTTTTTTTTTTGTTGGTGATGAGGCTTGAACTCAGGGACTGAGAGCTGTCCCTGTGCTTTTGTGCTCAAGGCTAGTATTCTATCACTTGGAGTCACAGCTCCACTTCCAGTTTCTGCTGGTTAATTGGAGATAAGAGTGTCTTGGGCTGCTCAGGCTGTCTTTGAGTCTCAACCTTGGATCTCAGTCTCCTAGTAACTAGGATTAAAAGTGTGAGCCACCAATTCCCAGCTCTTGTGTATGTTTCTGTATATGCTATATATACTTTCCTTTTTCTTAGCTATATATGTAAAGGATTTGTTTCTTCATGTGATAACTAGGTTTAATTTTTTGAGGAGCAGCCAGAATGTTTGTAGTCTGATGATCAGTTGTTAATGCATTTGGGCTTTGAGAAAAACTCTTTATACTAATAATAGAGTGGTGATAATTCTAAGTTACAAGTATCCAAACACTGTTAAGAAAGCATTCTGGCTGGGCGCCGTTGCCTCATGCTTGTAATCCTAGCTACTCAGGAGGCTGAGATCTTAGGATCACCATTCAAAGCCAGCCCGGGAAGAAAAATCCGTGAGACCCCGCTCTCCAATAAACCACTGGAAAACTGGAAGTGGTGTTGTGGCTCAAGAGGTAGAGCGCTCGCCTTGAGCTGAAGAGTGCAGGGACAGCACCCAGGTCCAGAGTTCAAGCCCCATGACCGACCAAAAAAAAAAAAAGAAACCATTCTGACTTTTGCCAGAGATGTTGCCCATTGTACATAATGAGTAATAGCACTTTTGAAGACCTAATTATTTTCCAGAAATTAATTCTTGAAGTTTGAAGTTAGTCACCTTTGAAAACTATGCTGAAACTTACAAACCTGGAGAAGTTGGTATACAGTAGAATATTGTTATACTCATTTATTCAGTAGCAATAGTCAGTATCATTTGCAATAAAGTATTTGACAGGCTTTATTATTTTCTGGATGAAAAAATCAGATTGTAGTTCTGATGTTTGAAGACTGTCATAATAGTAACAGACTATCTTAATGAGAGATGTAAACAGAAGACTTGAAAAAGATTGGAGAATTTGACTAGCCACTATTTGCAATAAATACAAATCTAAGAGCTAGAACAGCAAGCATTAGGATCGTAGAAAATCTGAAGAGTGGGCTAGGATGGTGGCTCAGTGGCAGAGTGCTTGTGTTGCATGCATGAGGCCCTGGGTTCGGTTCCTCAGTACCACATAAGCAGAAAAAGCTGAAGTGGCACTGTGGCTCAAATGGTAGAGTGCTAGCCTTGAACTGAAGAGCTGAGGGACAGCGCCCAGGCCCAGAGGTCAAGCCCCACGACCAAAAAAAAAAGTCTGAAGAGCAGGTTGGTGCTGATAGCTCACTCCTGTAATCCTAGCTACTTAGGAGGCTAAGATCTGAGGATCACAGTTCAAAGCCAGCCAAGGCAGGAAAGTCCATGGGACTCTTACCTCCAACCACCAGAAAACTGGAAGTGGTGTTGTGGCTCAAGTGGTGGAGCTCTCGCCTTGAGCTGAAGAGCTCAGGAACAGTGCCCAGGCCCAGAGTTCAAGCCCATGACTGACAAAAAAAAAAAAAAAAAATCTGAAGAGCTATGGCCATAGAAATTTTATGATTTAAATTGAATTTCCAAGGGGAGACCTTTCTTTAAGGAATGAAAGTTAATCTCATATGTTTCATCTTAAATGTAACTCAGGAGTAAGTAACTGTCCCTGTAGAAATCTAGAACCGTAAGGAGTCTCCTTTTGAAAATGATTTCCTGCAACCTGTTTTATGCATAGCAGTGGAACCTATTTCTTTTGAAGTGAAGGAAGTTCCCTTTGATATATACAGTTCTTCCTGCTCTCTATTGGAAGATGATTTAGGAACTTTGGTTTCCTGTGGCTCAGCTTTCTCTCGTTATAATGGTGACTGATGGCTTTGTGGGAAACACAGGCAGGCCCATGACAGTCTTTGCCTGCTTCAGTTGCAGCAGTACCAGTACTATAGTGCAGGCTTGCTCTCCACGTATGACCCTTTCTATGAACAACAGCGACACTTACTTGGACCCAAAAAGAAGAAGTTCAAAGAAGACAAGAAACTTAAAGGTAACGATGTTGAATTGCCTTTCACTTTTATTCTTTCTTACTTTGAAACTTGTGTGTGGCTTCTTGGTACATTTAGACTTTAAATGTAGGAGCTGCTTTTCTGAAAAACCCTAGTTTCTCCTTTCTAATGAGTAGTAGTGTAAGCCACATTTCACATTCAGAATCAACTAGATTCCTTGCCAAAGACTTAGGAAAATTAGTTTACTTTTTTCTTTTGCATACTTTGTCAGTGTTGAAAATATTAATAGGAAAAGTCGCTTTTGTATAGGGCATAAGATGAGTAGCTTTAAATGTTTGGAGTAAGTTGTAATTGTTGGTGTTTGAGGTGCTTTAAAATAGATTACCTCCTGAGGTGCCCTGTAGATAATTCCCTATAGCAGTTGGAAACCAGGAAAGAAATAGGATAAGAAAGTTTTAAACTATAGGCATAGGACAGATTTTATTCCCCTGAAGGTATGAATTCTCTTAAGTCTCCTCCCTGCCAAACTTGGGGCTTGAATCCAGAGCCTGGGCTCTGTTCCTGAGCCTGCCTTGTGCTCACAGCTAGTGCTCTGCCGCTTGAGATGAGAGTCACTTCCTGCTTTTTCTGTTTATTCGGTTGTGATCCCAGGGCTTCACACATGCTGGGCAAGCCTTCTGCCACTAAGCCACACTCCCAGCCTGTCTGTCTCTTAGCCTTGCCTTCTTGTTCCCACATCCTCCTTTTGGGGGGCGGGGGAGCAGGGAATGAATACCAGGACTGGGGCTTGAATTTAGATCCTTTAGTTCTTTTTTTTTTTTTAATACTTTATTATTATTTTAGAGGTGATATACATTAGGGTCATATTTACATACATCACGTAATAAGTACATTTCCTTTGTACAGTGTCGTCTTTTCCCTCATTCTCTCCCCTTCCCTCTCTCCCATCTCTACCCACAAGTTGCAGAGTTCACTTTGATCAATGTCCAGTGCACTCCACTGCAGCACTTTGTCACCCTTTTTCTTCAGATTCTGTGCTTTGCATCTACCCTCCCACAAATGTGCATATGATCGATTCCTCAGAAAAAACAAATTAAGAAAAAAAAGTCCCCTAGCCGGGCGCTGGTGGCTCACGCCTGTAATCCTAGCTACTCAGGAGGCTGAGATCTGAGGATCGCGGTTCAAAGCCAGCCCAGGCAGGAGAGACTGTGAGACTCTTATCTCCAATAAACCACCAGAAAACCGGAAATGGCGCTGTAGCTCAAGTGGTAGAGCGCTCGCCTTGAGCTGAAGAGCTGAGGGACAGCGCCCAGGCCCAGAGTTCAAGCCCCACGACCGACAAAAAAAAAAAAAAAAGAAAAAAAAGTCCCCTTTTTTGGGGGGGGGGGGTTGGGAAGGTGACTCAGTGGTAGAATGCTTGCCTTGCATGCATGAGGCCCTGGGTTTGATTCCTCAGCACCACATGAGCAGAAAAAGCTGAAAGTGGTGCTGTGGCTCAAGTGGTAGAGCACTAGCCTTGAGCTGAAGAGCTGAGGGACAGCGCCAGGCACAGAGTTCAGGCCCCATAGCCAACAACAACAACTACAAAAAGGCCTTTTTCCCCATATTTTTGGAGTTCATTTCAGTATGTATATTTTATATACATGTGAAGAGGTGCTTAGGCATTGCACCTGTGTGAGTCTCTCCTAAGGCTATCCTCTTTTGGTCTCACTGTGTGTGAGTATCTAGAATCCTCTAATTTGTCATAGCCCAGTGTGTTTTAGATCAATACTTCAGTTCTTTCTTGACTTTTTTTGCTCTAAGCCAGTGTACTACCACTTGACCCACAACTCTACTTCTACTTTTTTTTTTTTTTTTTTGGTAATTAATGGGAGATAAAAGGCTTATGGATTTCTCTGCCAGGGCTCCCTTCAAACGGGGATTCTAAGATCTCAGCCTCCTGAGTGACTAGGTTTATAGGCATGAACCACTGGTGACTGGCTTAGTTTCTTCTGTGTACGTGCACACGCGTGCTGGTCCTGGGACTTGAACTCAGCGTCTTGGTACTGAGCTGCTTTTGCTCAAGGATAATGTTCTATCTCTTGAACTACAGTTCTATTTCAGATTTTTTAGTGATTAATTGGTTCAGAGTTCTCTGCAAGGGCTGGCTTCCAAACCATAATCCTCAGGTTTTTACCTCCTGAGTAGCTAGGTTTACAGACATGAACCACTAGTGCTGGCTTCATTCATCCCTCCTCCATCCCCCTCCCTTTCCCTCCCTTTCCCTCCCTTCCTCCCTCCCTCCCACCCTCCCTTCCTCCCTCCCTCCCTTCCTCCCTCTGTTCTTCTTCCTTTTTTTTTTCTGTTGATTGTGAGGCTTGAACTCCACCTGGGAGCTTTCCTTGACCTCTTTTTGCTCAAGTCTAGCATTCTACCACTTTAAGCCACAACACTACTTTTGGCTTTCTGGTGGTTAATTGGATATAAGTGTCTCATGGTCTTTCCTGCCCAAACTAGCTTTAAACCATAATCCTCAGATCTCAGCCGCCTTGAGTAGTAGCTATAATTACAGATGTGAGCCTCCAGTGTTTTTTTGTTTTTGTTTTTTTGTGAACTCTAGCTTTTCTTATCCTGTAGTCCCCTTACAATGTAAATTAAATTTTTATTCCTTCTTTTTTTTTTTTTTTGCTCACTTGTGGGGCTTGAACTCTTGGCCTGGGCACCATCCCTGAGCTCTCCAGCTCAAAGGGAGCACTCTACCACTTGAGCCACAGTGCCACTTCCAGTTATCTGGTTGTTAATTGGAGATAAGAGTCTCACAGACTTTCATTGCTTGGGTTGGCTTTGAACCAAGATTCTCAGATCTCAGCCTCCTGAGTAGCTAGGATTACAGGTGTGCTCACTAGTGCCTGGCTCTATTTTTTTCTTTCTGTGTTACTTTTCTTTTTTTTTTTTTTTTGGTCGGTCATGGAGCTTGAACTCTGAGCCTGGGCGCTGTCCCTCAGCTCTTCAGCTCAAGGCGAGGGCTCTACCACTTGAGCTACAGCGCCACTTCCGGTTTTCTGGTGGTTTATTGGACATAGGAGTCTCACGGTCTCTCCTGCCCGGGCTGGCTTTGAACCGTGATCCTCAGATCTCAGCCTCCTGAGTAGCTAGGATTACAGGTGTGAGCCACCAGCGCCCGGCTTTCTGTGTTACTTTTCTTTAGGTACCTTACATGCCATAGATAGAAATAGGTTTCCTATTATTATCTGAGCCCAATAACACTTTATAAACCTTTTCTAGTGTTAAATTTAAAAGAAATTTTGTTCTTAGCTTTTGTTATGTATTTCACTTTCATGTGATCAGAAGGAGTATGTATTATTCTTTTCTAAGTTAGTAAAATCTCCCTTTTGCGGTTTCTGTGGGTCTGAATAATAGATAAAGGAAATGACATTGCTAACCTCAGGTCTAAGGAGATGAGTTTTCACTGTGGCTCCTGCTTTTTTAATGGGAAGAAATGCACCCTGATAATTATCTGTTTCTTTTGTAGCTAAGTTGAAAAAAGTGAAGAAAAAAAGACGAAGAGATGAAGAGCTTTCCTCTGAAGAATCCCCACGTCGCCACCACCATCAGACCAAAGTCTTTGCCAAGTTTTCTCATGACGCACCTCCACCAGGCACTAAGAAGAAACACTTATCCATTGAGCAGCTTAATGCTCGTCGCAGGAAAGTATGGCTCAGCATTGTGAAAAAAGAACTACCAAAGGTAAGGAGTGCCTTCTAGTTTGTGGAAGAAGAGAATATATTTATTCTTTTTCCCCCAGTCTTTGGGCTTGAACTCAGGGCCAGGGAATTGTCCCTGAGCTTCTTTTGTTCAAGGCTAGCACTCTACCACTTGAGCCACAGCACCACCTCTGTCTTTTTCAGTTTATGTGTTACTAAGGAATCAAACCCAGGACATCATGCATGCTAGACAAGCACTCTACCACTAAGCCACATTCCTAGCCCCCTTATTTTTAATTTTTAAAATTTTTATTTTTATTTTTTGTGAACATACTTTACAGAGGGGCTTATTTTTAATTTTTTTTTTTTTTTTGTCGGTTGTGGGGCTTGAACTCTGGGCCTGGGCGCTGTCCCTCAGCTCTTCAGCTCAAGGCGAGCGCTCTACCACTTGAGCTACAGCGCCACTTCCGGTTTTCTGGTGGTTTATTGGAGATAGGAGTCTCACGGTCTCTCCTGCCCGGGCTGGCTTTGAACCGTGATCCTCAGATCTCAGCCTCCTGAGTAGCTAGGATTACAGGTGTGAGCCACCAGCGCCCGGCTTTATTTTTAATTTTTATTGGTTGTTAGTGCTTGAACTCAGGGCCAGGGCGCTGTCCACAACCTTTTTTTTTATTTTTTGGTCAGTCCTGCGCTCTTCAGCTCAAGGGAGCACTTTACCGCTTGAGCCACAGCGCGACTTTGTTTTCTAGTGGTTTATTGGTGATAAGAGTCTCACGGACTTTCCTGCCTGGGCTGGCTTTGAACTGTGATCCTCAAATCTCAGCCTCCTGAGTAACTAGGATGATAGGCATGAGCCACCCGTGCCCAGCTCCCAAGCTTCTTTTATTCAAGGCCACTCTCTACCACTTGAGCCACAGTGCCACTTCTGGCTTTTTCTGTGTTACTGAGGAATGAAACCCAGCGTCTTATGCATTCTAGGCAAGAACTCTACCACTGACCCACATTCCAGCCCTGTGTATAGTACATTTTGTATGTACGTTTTTTTTTTATTTTTTTGGTCTGTTGTGGGGCTTAAGCTCTGGGCCTGGGTGCTGTCCGTGAATTCTTTTGCTCAAGAGAAGTGCTCTACCACTTGAGCTACAATGCCACTTGTGGTTTTCTGATGGTTAATTGGAGATAAGAGTCTCTTGGACTTTCCTGCCAGGCTGGCTTTGAACCGCTATCCTCAGATTTCAGCCTCCTGAATAACTAGGATTACAGGCATGAGCCACCTGCACCTCTTTCTTTCTACAAGTTTATAGAATACTATTTAAAGGCAACTATAGGACTAGCTGATTTTGGCTTCTTTCATTGTTGCTTTATGTTCAGTGCCAAGACATACAACTGGTAGTTTTTTGTTTTTTTGTTTCTTGGTACTGGGATCGAGCCTAGCATGTTGCACTAAGCAAGAGCTTGCACTGAGCTACATCCCAGTCCAACCATGGTGGTTTTTAGAAGTAATGTCTCTTTTGTACATTCGGCATTTTATTTTTCAGTCTTTATGACTTCATAAAGATATCGTCAGCCTACATAATCCAATTTCAAAAATGAATCCTAGGTGAAATACTACTTTTAAATGTTTTAGGCCAACAAGCAGAAAGCTTCAGCTCGAAACCTGTTTCTCACCAATAGCCGCAAGGTAAGTTGTAGCTTTATATTTTCTATCTTGTCTTTGTTCTTGTTCTTGGATTCATTCTTGCTACTCTGTTATGATCTGTTTATCATTAATCTAATAATAGTATCTAAAAGAGTAAATAGGTCTCATTCTTTTTAATAATCAAAGTTGTTCTCCCTTGCATTTCTGGTATTTGGCACTTTTTACAGAAGACCATAGTCTTAGTGTATTGAGCAGATAATAACTTCTCCCTCTGCTCTGTCTTCCTCTAAGTGATGGCATGAAAACATTTCACTCAGAGGGAAGGAACACAACTTTTGAGGGTTGTGAGAATCAGATTGAGGTAACATTACAGTTTACCCTCTCTTGTTTCTTCATTTGTAAGATAGAGGTGATGATATTACCAACTGCATAGGGTTTTTTTGGGGGGGTCCGGTCGTGGGGCCTGAACTCTGGGCCTGGGCGCTGTCCCTCAGCTCTTCAGCTCAAGGCTAGTGCTCTACCACTTGAGCCACAGTGCCACTTCTGGCTTTTTTGTTTTTTGTTTTTGCTTATGTGGTGCTGAGGAATCGAACTCAGGGCCTCAGGCATGCAAGGCAAGCGCTCTACCACTGAGCTACCCTCCCAGCCCCTTATAGGGTTTTTTTTAAAGGTAAAATGATCTTACTGCATATTAAAGTTGTGCCTCACTTGCATTAAGTAGTGATTCTTATTAATGTCATGATAACACTTTATAGCTTACTAGCACACCTGAAGTTCTTTTTAGTCATTATACTTTGGTTTATCCAAGGACATAAATAATAGATAAATTTTTAATTGTTGATATTACCCTAGGGTCTGGGCCTGAGTCACAAAATGAATCTAGTTAAGGGAGAAGGAGATGTGTCACGAGGAGAACTGTTGGCATTGAACAGGGATGATGATGTGTTCAGTCCAGGAGAACTGTCTCTTGCAGTTGACTTTTCACCTGTAGTGACAGTATTGTTGTTCGTAGCTTGCCCACCAGTGCATGAAGGAGGTGCGAAGAGCTGCCTTGCAAGCCCAGAAAAACTGTAAGGAGACTTTGCCTCGTGCGCGACGCCTGACTAAGGAGATGCTTCTGTACTGGAAGAAATATGAGAAGGTGGAGAAGGAACACCGCAAGCGTGCGGAGAAAGAAGCTTTGGAGCAGCGGAAATTGGATGAGGAAATGCGGGAGGTAGTGCGAAAGTGTGAAAATTTCAGAACCTTAATTACCTCCAGCATATCAAGAGATTGGTTTGCAGCTTGCACTTCTTTTAGTGCTAAGAATTGAACAAGGCCTTGCACTTGTTTGTCAACTACTGTACCACTGAAGCCCCAGAAATCTGGGGTTATTGGATTGGGCCAGCCCCAAACTAGCAATCCTTTTTTTTTTTCACATCAGCCTCTCGATTGCTGGAATTACCATTGTGCACCTGCACCACCACATCTGGTTTCATTTCTTTGTCATGGTTTTGTGAATGATTATGGATTTTGCTTAGATCTCTTAAAGTCCCCTGGTTAATGTTTCTTTGTTTGCAAGGTAAATGTATTATTGAGTGAGTAAGCATTTGTTGCTGTTGGAACTGCTTCACACGTTAAATTTAGAGGCATTTGAGTCAGCTACAGACCTTGAAGTTATTTATATAAAGAGTTTGCTGAGTATTATCTAGGTTTGTGTGACTTAGAATCTTTTGTTGATAGCATCTGATGGGAATTTCATTTGTGTTCATATTGAGTTATGTGTCTTCACAAGTTTTGGGATTGTGTGTGTGTGAGTGTGATGCACATATATGCACGGTTGAATGCTGTAATGGAATCTCACTCATCATGTTGCCCGGGGAGATTTCAAGTTGGGAGCTTTAAGTGAGCCTCCTGCCTCAGCCTCCCTTCCCAAGTGCTGGGGCTATAGGCATGTACCACCATACCCAGCTTATTATTCATGTCTTACAACAGTGCTTATCAAAGATGAACTATAAATGTTTTTTCCTTTTCCAGTTAGCTTATTATTTACTTGTTGTATTGATTTTCAGAATCATTTGTAGCTTTTACCCATTTTGCATTTTGGCAATAAAGGAGAATTTTTTTACCTGTTCAAATTTTTTAAAATAATAAAATGAAACACATTTACCACCTGGTTTATAAAACAATGTTCAGATTTACTTGATGTCTCATTGTCATTATAGAAAACAAATATACTGATGATGCCCTTTTTATTTATTTTTATTTTATTTTTTTGTTTTGAGACTATGACTCAAACTCAGTATCCGACACTTACTTTTACTCATTGGCTGGTGCTCTGTGACCTGAGCCACACCTCCAACTGCCATGAAAACCCTTGTAGACAGAAGCCTATGGAAGATTCTATATGTGAAAGAGAGCAAAACAAAGGTTATCATTCTATGATCACAGTTCTTGCTTTTAGTATCATTGACTTGTCTAAAGTAAAACAGCTCTACAGCAGTTTTTACCTTTTTATAGGTGAAAGTTTTTAAGAATTGTACATAAAATATATAAGATTTGATCAATTGTGTTGACTGTCTTGGATGGGATTGATGACTTTTACTTTCAACTTTCCTACTTTTAGGCCAAGAGGCAACAGCGAAAACTCAACTTTCTAATCACCCAAACAGAGTTGTATGCCCATTTCATGAGCCGCAAACGAGATATGAATTATGATGGAATCCAGGAAGAAATCCTAAGGAAACTGGAAGACAGTTCTACCCAGAGACAGATTGACATTGGTGGAGGAGTGGTAGTTAACATCACACAGGAGGATTATGGTAAGTCATAGGTCAGGAGTAAGAAGAAGTAAAAATCCTCCATTTTACTTTCTTTCTTCTTCTTTTTTTTTTTTTTTTTTTGTCTGTCGCGGGCCTGAACTCTAGTCCTGGGCGCTGTCCCTCAGCTCTTCAGTTCAAGGCTAGTGCTCTATCACTTGAGCCACAGCAGCAGTTCTGGCTTTTTCTGCTTATGTGGTGCTGAGGAATCGAACCCAGGGCCTCATGCATGCAAGGCGAGCACTCTACCACTTGAGCCACAGCGCCACTTACGGTTTTTTAGTGGTTTATTGGGGATAGACTTTCCTGCCCAGGCTGGCTTTGAACGGTGATCCTCAGATCTCAGACTCCTGAGTAGTTAGGATTACAGGCGTGAGCCACGGGCACCCAGCTTCTGTGAGACTCTTATCTCCAATTAACCACCAGAAAAGTGGAAGTGGTGCTGTGGCTCAAGTGGTAGAGTGCTAGCCTTGAGTTGAAGAGCTGAGGGACAACGCCCAGGTCCAGAGTTCAAGCCCCATGATGAACAAAAAAAAGGGAGATTTTTTGTATTATAGCAGAGTATTTGTGTTTCTAGAAAAGCAGGCTATAAAATAACAAATTTGTAAAAGAAAATGTATAGTTACATGGCCTTGCAAGTTTGAAAATATGTATCATGTTATTGAATCACAATTTAGAAAACTTGTCTCAGAGAGAATGATATCTCACACAAGAACATTCTTCATACTGTGCACAAGAGTTGTTTAGGTGTGTGTGTGTGTGTGTGTGTGTGTGTGTGTGTGTGTGAAAATATGTATCATGTTATTGAATCACAATTCAGAAAACTTGTCTCAGAGAGAATATCTCACATAAGAACATTCTTGGTGCTGTGAACAAGAGTTGTTTAGGAGTGTGTGTGTGTGCGTGCGTGCGTGTGTATGTGTGTGTGTACTCAGGGCCAGGGCACTGTCCCTGAGCTTCTTATGCTCAAGACTAGCACTCTACCATTTCAGCCACAGCACCACCTCCAGCTTTTTCTTTGTATGTGGTATTGAAGAATCGAACCCAGGGCTTCATGCATGCTAAAAGGAAGCACTCTTATCACTAAGCCACATTTCCAACTTGTATGTTTTTTTCATCATGGGGCTTGAAGTCAGGGCCTTGGAGCTGTTCCTGAGCTCTTTTACTCAAGACTAACACTCTACCACTTTGAACCACAGTGCCACTTCCGGTTTTCTGGTGGTTAATTGAAGATAAGAGTCTCAGGGACTTTCCTGTCCAGGCTGATTTTGAACCTTGATTCTCAGATCAGCCTCCTGAGTAGGTTTATAGGAGTGAGCTACTGGTTCTTGACTTTTTTTTTTTTTTTTAAATAGTGGAGACAAAAAGTAGGGTGAAATTTGAAAGGAATTGTGTAGATAGATCAACATTATGTTGACCTAAAAGTATGAGAGAATGACAGTGCTTTATATTCATCCGCCTAGTTTTACTCAGCATAGTTATAATTTTGACTCCTCATACTCTTGATTGTCATGACTGATGTCACCATTTAGTAGGCGAAGCTGAGGCTTGAGAGACAGAAGAACTTAATCCTTTGCTATTTTTTTCTAAACTGGTTCCAGCTACTAGAAACCATGGCAATCCTCTGCCTCCATTATGCTTTCTAGCTGCTTACCTTTGCTAAGGAATTTAACCTTTTTTTTTCTCCTCATCAACCTATAAAGATAAGAGTCTCAGGGATTTTCCTGCCCAGGCTGGCTTTCAATATTAGAATGCTGGATCAGGTAACCATATTTGTTGATGTTAATTTTGTCTTTGAAGGCTTTGAGGTGTGATGATCTACATGTTTTCCTTTTCAGACAGCAACCACTTTAAAGCCCAGGCCCTGAAGAATGCTGAAAATGCTTACCATATTCATCAAGCTCGGGTAGGTCTTAAAAACAAAAAAGTGTGTTATAATTGGTCTTGGCCCAGAAATACCCCACAATCTTAGTTAGGTGTTCTGATATTTTCACTAGAAAATATTGGCATGTGTGTGTGTGTGTGTGTGTGTGTGTGTGTGTGTGTGTTTAGGATGATGGCTGTTGGTTATTTGAAGAAAGGCAGAGTAATAGCTATTCACTTGGCTAAGCATTTAGAGCATATTGTTTGAGCTAGGTGCAGTGACTCACACCGGTAATTCTAGCTATGTTTGAGATGGATGTTGGGAGGATCACAGTTAGAAGCCAAATCTAGGTGGTGAGTTTGTAAGACCCCCATCTCAACCATAAAAAACAACATGAGATATAGTGTACCTGCTATCCCAGGGAATTGTGGTCTAGGCTGGCTTGAGCTTAAACATAAAACCTTATTTAAAAATTAGCTAAAACAGCCAGGTACCAGTGGCTCATAAATGTAATCCTAGCAACTTAAGAGGCTGAGATCTGGCAATCATGGTTTAAAGCCAGCATGGGCAGGAAAGTTTGTTAGAGTCTTAATCACCAAAATGCCAGGAAGAGAGTTGTGGCTCAACTGGTATAGTGCTAGCCTTGAGCCAAAAAGTATCCAGGCCCGAGCTCTAGCTCTAGAAGCCCTGCACACACACAAAAAACACAGCTAAAGCAAAAATTGCTTGATGCATGGAGAACATGATACAGTGCTTCCCTAACATACACATTGGTCCTGATTTTGATTCCTAATACTGTGGAAAAAGTAGGTTGATTGAGGTTAGAACACTTTTCTTATTTTTTTTTATTAGCATTAACATTAGTTATACAGAAGGAGGTATCTTTGTTAGATTTCACCTTCTTTTTTTTTTGGATGGTTGTAGGGCTTGAACTCAAGGCATGAGTGCTGTCCCTGAGCCTTTTTGCTCAAGGCTAGCACTCTACCACTTTGAGCCTCAGAGCCACTTCCAGTTTTCTGGTGGTTAATTGGAAATAAGCATCTCATAGACTTTCCTGCCTGGGCTGACTTTCAACTGCAGTCTTGAAATTTCGACCTCCTGAGTAGCTAGGAATGCAGGCATAAGCCCCTGGGGGCCTGGCTTTGCCTTCTTTCATTTTAGTAAACATGCTTTCTCTTATGATATAGAGATGTTTATTAAAAATCAAAACCTCAATGAGATTAAATTAAGTGTAGAAAATTCAGTTTGTAAACTACAGGATCCTCTTTGCAACTTTGTCAAGATCTAGCTCTTTGACAAGATGTACATGCCACTTTCCTCCACACCTCCAACCGACTATTCAAATTTCACTTCAGTCTTTAACAGATTTCCTTGATGTTGCAAGAAATATAATGTGGTTTATTTTTATATTCTTTTGTGTGTGTGTCTGTGTGTGCCAGTATTCAGGGCCTCTGCATGATCCCTGAGATCATGTTCTCGAGGTTAGTGTTCTACTACTTGAACCACTTCTGACATTTTTATAGTTAATTGGAAGTAAGAATATCATAAACTTTCCTATCTGGGCTGTCTTCAAACCTCGATCCTGAGATCTCAGCTTCCTGATTAGGATTGCAGGCATGAGCCACCATCACCTGGCTAAAAATGCATCTTAATGTAATTGTTTACTAATGCTAGTAAAATACTTTCATATGTAATACTGTATTATCAGATTATATTTTCAGAAAATTTGTTCCAGTTATTTTTCTTAGCACAGTTGTGGTAGGTGTGAATCACATTTGCATTTAATTTCTTTTTTTTTCTCAAATTATTTCTAGACAAGATCATTTGATGAAGATGCAAAAGAAAGTCGAGCAGCTTCCCTGAGGGCAGCAAACAAGTCTGGTTCTGGATTTGGGGAGAGTTACAGCCTAGCAAACCCATCTATCCGGGCTGGTGAAGATATTCCACAGCCCACAATTTTTAATGGGAAATTGAAAGGGTACCAGCTGAAAGGCATGAATTGGTTGGCCAATCTCTATGAACAGGTAAATTTTAGAAGTATATCTGGCCAATTCTTTTCTTTTGTTCATTTTCTTTTGATACAGTCTAATTATGAAATGAGTTCAAAATTAGATTTTGCCCTTTAAAATCTTCTATCTTTTTACAAGATGCACAAGGATGTTTCTATGTTCCTAACCTGGAGGTTATATTTATGTCATGTGTGTAGCTTGTAAGTGGTCTTAATAACCTTGGTTGTTTGCTTCTGTGTGGTTACATTAGGTATAGTAGTGGCTTTTGATGTATTGTACTGTTTTTGTTTTTTTATTGGTCGTGAGGCTTGAACTCTGGGTTTGGGCGCTATCCCTCAGCTCTTCAGCTCAAGGCGAGCGCTCTACTGCTTGAGCCACCGCGCCACTTCCAGTTTTCTAGTGGTTTATTGGAGATAAGAGTCTCGTGGACTTTCCTTGCCTGGGCTGGCTTTGAACCATGATCCTCAGATCTCAGCTTCCTGAGTAGCTAGGATTACAGGCGTGAGCCACCGACGCCTTGGCTACATTATACTTAATCTGACTTATAGAATTGAAACTTCTCTGTACAACTACTTAAGAATAATTTTTTCTAAAAATCACTATGGAAAAAGCAAAAAGCAAAAGAAGAATTGGCCTTGGCCTTGGTCATGAATCACATTTGTAGTATTAGCAAAAGGAATCATTAACGTTGTGTTTAAAGTGCTGGTGCTGAGCATCTCCTAGTTCTTTTTTTTTTTTTTTTTGTCGGTCGTGGGGCTTGAACTCTGGGCCTGGGCGCTGTCCCTCAGCTCTTCAGCTCAAGGCGAGTGCTCTACCACTTGAGCTACAGCGCCACTTCCGGTTTTCTGGTGGTTTATTGGAGATAGGAGTCTCACGGTCTCTCCTGCCCGGGCTGGCTTTGAACGGCGATCCTCAGATCTCAGCTTCCTGAGTAGCTAGGATTACAGGCGTGAGCCACCAGCGCCCGGCTCTCCTAGTTCTTAATAGTAGATTGAAATCAATGTGATGAAATTATAAGTGTTGACCATGTATTTTCCCCCTAGGGCATTAATGGCATTCTTGCAGATGAAATGGGCCTTGGTAAAACTGTACAGAGCATTGCCCTTCTGGCCCATCTGGCTGAGGTATGTGAATGCAGTCTCTCAATATTCCTGTCTCCAGAATTTTGGGTCATTTTTGTATTGAGAATTAGCTACTTATAAAGTGCTAGGATAGGCTTTGTAGTACTTGATCTTTGCCCTCAACACCTTTACTAGGGGGCAAAGTAGCAAAACAAATTGGTTAGTGGTTGAGTTACTATGTCCCACCTGCTCTTTAGTAGCCGTCAGTATAGTGGGATGCATACTCTCCTTCCTTGTAAATTTCAGCAATTAAGCCTCCAATAAACTGACTTCATTTTAAATCTCTGAATAATATTTACCTTCCCGAGATTTTGCAACAATTACCTAAGAAACTATGTGTGTAAATATACTTTGAAAAAATATTAAGTAATTATTAAAAATAGTAAAGTTATGATAATCAGGTATAGAAGAATACAGTGCATACAAGTCAGTATCCTGTAAGTACTTTATAAAGACATAAATTAGGACTTTAGGAACTCAGAGGGGGCCGTAGTTGCTTGGGATTGTTCTGTTTCATAGTGTGTCCTTTATTATGTTCTTTTTTATTTTTGCTTATGTGGTGCTGGGGAATCGAACCCAGGGCCTCATGTATGCAAGGCAAGTGCTCTGCCACTGAGCCACCTTCCCAGCCCCCTTTATTATGTTCTTGAATGTGCACATTTAGAAATTTGGGAAATAGGCACTTATTGTAATGTGTTTCCTATTCTTAAACTGTCATAATTTATAATTTTGTTTTAACTATCTTCCAAGTCTTTCTTGTTGACTACCCAATTTTCCTTTTCCAGAGAGAGAACATTTGGGGACCTTTCTTAATAATTTCACCTGCTTCTACACTTAACAATTGGCACCAGGAGTTTACTAGATTTGTTCCTAAATTTAAGGTAAAAAAGTAATAATCATTTTTTTAAAAGACACGTTATTCCTTAAAATAAATGTTCTCTGTTGTTGACTTAAGTAACTTTATTTCTTTTAATAGTTTTAATATTACTATATCATGGCTGAAATACCTCACAACCATTCCTTATAAAAATTATGTAAGCAATAAGAGCACCTATGCCCTTTTCTATATAATAAATGGAAGCCAAAGTCCAATTTCAGTGATTTGCCTCTTTTATCCACATGAATTGAGGCTCCTGTTAAACTGTTGCGATAGAAATTGTTATCTTAATGCCAGGCCTCATGGAACATGCCTGTAATCTGAGCATTTGGGAGGCCAAAACTGGAGGATTGCTGAGACTAGGTGGGCTACGCAGTGAGACTTTGTTTCCAAAAAATGTGGGAGGGAATTGGAGGAAAGGCGTTGGGGAGGTGAGTGAGAGTAACTAGTAACTAGGATTACAGTGGTGGGTCACAGGTGCCAGACTCAATATTCTTTCCTTTCTCAAGCCAGACTTTAGTTCTTGTCCACCTTATAATGCCTGAGGTAGATAATGTAAATTTCATTTAACTAATTCAAAAAGATTGAATTAGGACATGACCAGCACAGAAGTTTATTTCATCAAGTTGAGTAAGAGATGAACATGGTTTAACCAAACATTTGGATATGGAATGTAGATACATAACAGAAGAAGGGGTAGGGTTTAATTACATTCCTTGAAGTTTAAAAAGGTGGAAAGCAAATTATGTGTTCTGTTTCTAAAAGGATAATGAAGTCTCATAGTCAAGAGGACTTTAAGGAGTTTATGTATTTAGAAATATTGATATGAGGACTGGGAAAGTGGCTTAGTGGTAGAGTGCTTGCCTAGTATGCATGAAGTCCTGGGTTTGATTCCTCAGTACCAGATACTCAGAAAAAGCCAGAAGTGGCACTGTGGCTCAAATGGTACAGTGCTAACTTTGAACAAAATGAAGCTCAGGGACAGTGCCCGGGCGCTGAATTCAAGCCCCAGGATTGGCAAAAAGGAAGGGAAGGAGGGAATGGAGGGAGGAACGGAAGGAATATTGGTATGATCTCAAATTTTAGTTTACCATAATCATATTTTGTTCCATACAGAAATTCTTGTGGAGGTGAGAGCCAAGCTGTAAGGCTTTTATGAAGAATAGGAACGTGGCTGGGATTCCATAGTGTGGAACAGCTCTGTGGTTGCCATCCCTCCTTTGTTAGCTGAGTGGTAGATTTAGAAACTGTTCACAGTTTATATATTTAGTATATAGCTTTTAACTTTGCACTTTTTTTCAGCTCTTAGGAAATTAAATTGTTCACTTTGTTCATTATTTTCTCTTGAATTGTCTGCCATATAGAAGATCATAATCTTTTTTTTAGGGAAATGTGTGTGTGATTCAGTACACGTAGAAGATGTTGAAAAAAAAAGTCCTAAATTTCCATGCAACCACAAAAGTTTTTTTTTTAATGATTTTTTTTTTATTCTGAAAATACTGTACAGAGGAGTTACAATTTCATGGGCAAGATAATGAGTACATTTCTTATCAAGCCACAAAAGTTTTTTAGTAGCTACTCCACTGACTGATAGATGGCAGTATGGTACCACTTTATTCTGTGGTTCTGCTCCTTTTGTATGTCTGTGCCTAGCACGGAGCGTTTGCTTGCATATTGACTTTCTTTTTTTTTTTTTTTGGTCCAGTCATGGGGCCTGAACTCTGGGCCTGGGCGCTGTCCCTCAGCTCTTCAGCTCAAGGCTAGTGCTCTACCACTTGAGCCACAGTGCCACTTCCGGCTTTTTTCTTTTTGCTTATGTGGTGCTGAGGAATCGAACCCAGGGCCTCAGGCTTGCAAGGCAAGCGCTCTACCACTGAGCCACCTTCCCAGCCCTTGACTTTCTTTTTTAACACTACTGTAACTTGGTAAAATAGAACCTATGAGCCTAGTTGCTACCACTTTGAATTTTCTGTTCTTTTTTTTTTTTGGTCAGTCGTGGAGCTTGAACTCTGGGCCTGGGCACTGTCCTTCAGCTCTTCAGCTCAAGGCGAGTGCTCTACCACTTGAGCTTCAGATCCACTTCTGAGTTTCTAGTGTTTTATTGGAGATAAGAGTTTCACCGAGTTTCCTGCCTGGGCTGGCTTTGAACCGTGATCCTCAGATCTCAGCCTCCTGAGTAGCTAGGATTACAGGCGTGAGCCACTGGCACCTGGCTTGAAGTAGTTTTATTCTGTGGACCCTACATCAGATTTCTTACCTGCTCAGCTTTTGGAATGGATCATTACCATTAGAGGGAAGATGTCACAGGCTGAGTTTAGTGTTGGGTTCCAGATTGTAAAATTCTCCAGTGCTTCACAGTAGCTCTCTCATACCTTCAAAACAGCTCTATTCATGGCTGTTTTTACTTCAGAATAATGGTCCTAGCTGCGTTGTCCACCATTGACAGAAGAGTAACTTCTGTATTCGTTCTGATTCTGTTTCTTTGTTTGTTTTGGGTGGGAGTAGGCAAGAGAAGAGGAGAAGGTTTCAGGAGGTAGTCAGTCCTGGGCTTGAACTCAGGGCCTGGAGGAAGTCCCTGAGCTTTTGCTCAAAGCTCTCATTCTACAACTTGAGCTATAGCTACACTTCCAGGTTTTAATTTTTTTTATTTTTATTTTTTTTAAATATGGAACGCTTCACGAATTTGCATATCATCCTTGCGCAGGGGCCATGCTAATCTTCTCTATCATTCCAATTTTAGTATATGTGCTGCCAAAGTGAACACGACACTTCCAGGTTTTTAATGGTTACTTGGCAATCAGAGTCTCATGGACTTTCCTGCCCTGGCTGGTTTTGAATTCACTATCTTCAAATTTCAGCCTCCTGAGTAGCTAGGATTACAGGCATGAGCCACCAGCATCTAGCTCATTCTATTTCTTTTAAACTTAATCTGAATAATGTATTTGTGGTTACACTAGTAATATTTGTTATCAATAACAAATAATATGTTTTGATCCTTTTTTAGGTGCTACCTTATTGGGGAAATCCTCATGATAGAAAAGTCATCAGGAGGTTCTGGAGTCAGGTAACTCTCAGCTTCCTGTACAGTCAGTTTCTTTTTTAGTTGAATCATTTCTTATGCATATAAGATCTCATGTATGACAAGTATACTTTTATTCTGGTATAGTGTTGTTATTATTATAGGTGGTCAGTTGCACTCAAAATCCAATAAGTACTTTTTTAAACCTGGAAGTAGAGTTATGGTTCAAGTGGTAGAGTGCTAACTTGAGCAGAAAAGCTCAGGGACGGCTTCTAGGCCCTGAGTTTGAGTCTCAGGATGGGGACAAAAAAGATGTTTTTTTCCTTTAATAAGCTGACAATAAGTTGTTACCATATGTTGTTCTAAAGGTGACTGTTTTTTTTTCTTCTTTTCTTTTTTTTTTGGTCAGTCATGGGTCTTGAACTCTGGGCCTGGACACTGTTGTTCAGCTCTTCAGTTCGAGGCTAGTGTGCTACCAGTTAAGCCACAATTCTACTTCCGGTTTTCTGGTAGTTTATTGGAGATCAGAGTCTCATGGACTTTTCTGTGCAGACTAGCTCTGAATTGCGAACCTCAGATCTCAGCGTCCTGAGTAGCTAGGATTACAGGTCTGAGCCACCTGTGCCCAGTTGCAAAAGCTGGGTGCCAGTGTCTCACGCCGGTAATCCTAGCTGCTCAGGAGGCTGAGATCTGAGGATCATGGTTCAGATTGAGTCTGGCAGGAAAGTCTGTGAGACTTTTTTTTTGTCAGTCGTGGGGCTTGAACTCTGGGCTTGGGTGCTGCCCTTGTGCTCTTCAGCTCAAGGCAAGCGCTCTACCGCTTGAGCCACAGCACCACTTCCGGTTTTCTAGCAGTTTATTGGAGATAAGAGTCTCACGAACTTTCCTGCCTGGGCTGGCTTTGAACCGCGATCCTCAGATCTCAGCCTCCTGAGTAGCTAGAATTACAGGCGTGAGCCACCGGCGCCCGGTTTCTGTGAGACTCTTATCTCCAATAAAGCACCAGAAAACCAGAAGTGGTGCTGTGGCTCAAGTGGTAAAGGCTCAGTTTGAGCTGAAGATCTGAGGGACAGCACCCAGGCCCAGAGTTCAAGACCCATGATTGACAAAAAACAAAAACACATTTGCAGTTCACCTGACATACATATCTCCATTACCACACTGGTGGCTTAAGTTATCTTTAGAGCTTTCTTGAACATATTGTCCCTAGAAGAAGCAGTCTCTAGTTGAGTAAATGGTTACAAATTGTTAAGCATATATCTGTTTTCACTGTTCTCTTCTATTTACAGAAGACCCTCTATACTCAGGATGCCCCTTTTCATGTAGTTATCACCAGCTATCAGCTGGTGGTGCAGGATGTGAAGTATTTCCAGCGGGTCAAGTGGCAGTACATGGTACTGGATGAGGCTCAGGCGCTGAAGAGTAGTTCCAGGTAACATGGGTTGTAGAAACCAGATTACATGGATGGGGTGAAATACATATCTGAGGGAAAACATTTCAGAACCTGGCATGATATGGTCAGAGCCTTGGCTAGGTACCTGACCAGAAAGCAAAATTTGTTCATATTTTTTCTTGGGACACAACTACCATTTATATGGATTTTTTTCTCTCAACTTTTATCTTCCTCTTCTATAATTGTGTAATTTTTCTTTTCTTTTTCTTTCTTTTTCTTTTGATGTCAGTACTGGGGCTTGAATTCAGGACCTTACACTTTTGCTTGGCATTTTACTCAAGGCCAGTATTCTACCACTTGAGCCACACCTCCAATTCAAGCCGTTTACTGGTTAATTGTAGATAGAATCTCTCAGATTTCTCTGACTTCCAACCTCAGTTATCAAAGCCTCCTGAGTAGCTAGGATTAGAAGCATAAGCCACTAACACCCAGCTTTCTTCTCCTTTTTTTTTTTTTTCCTTCCTGGAAAGTTTCTATAAGGAAAAGAATATCTACCTTTTGTTTGAGAAGTTATATAAGATAGAGGAGTTTTGAGTAAGAATTAGAAAATTCTGTTTATTTTTTTGTTGCTATTGTTAGAGAATTGTTTAGCCAATACTTTGTTTTTACAATCAAACCCACATAGATAAGACCTTATATATTTAATATAGCATATACCTTTGGCAATGGGCGCCAGTGGCTCACACCTGTAATCCTAGCTACTCACAAGGCATAGTTCTGAGGATAGTGATTTGAAGTCAGCATGGGACAGGAAAGTGTGAGACTTTTATCTCCAATGAACCACTCAGAAAGCCAGAAGTGGCACTGTGGCTCAAGCTTGAGCTGAAGAGCTGAGGGACAGCACCCAGGCCCAGAGTTCAAGCCCCATGACCGACAAACAAAACAAAAAAAACCCTAACTTTTCTAGACCAATATGGCTATTAATTTCTGTACAGTACCAGTCAAGTAAATCCTGAAAACTAGTATACCTTTTTTTTTTTTTTTTTTTTTGGTCGGTCATGGGGCTTGAACTCTGAGTCTGAGTGCTGTCTCTCAGCTCTTTTATCTTAGGGCTAGTGCTCTACTACTTGAGCCAAAGTACCATTTCAGGTTTTTTCCACTTATGTGGTGCTGAGGAATTGAACCTAGGGCCTCATGCATGCAAGGCAAGCACTCTTACCACTGAGCCACCTTTCCAGCCGCTTAGGATAACTTTTTCTAAGATTGACAGCATGGCTAAAGTTTCCAAAAATTAAAATGTTTATGTTTATGTTTATAAAACATGTTTATATTTAATATAAACATACTTAGATAAAGGGACTAAATAACATTATGTTATATATCAATAGCAGCAACATCTTTTGCAGGTTTTACAGTCATCTGAACAAAATTATAGAGACATTCAGCACATTCCCTTCCAAAAAGAACACATAAAACAAACATCTGTTTTTTTTTTTTTTTTTAATAATGTCATCTTTATTTTGTATTTTTTCTCTTTGCTTATGTGGTGCTGAGGAATCGAACCCAGGGCCTCAGGCATGCAAGGCAAGTGCTCTACCGCTGAGCCACCTTCCCAGCCCCCAAACATCTGTTTTTATTGTGGTATCTAGGACCTTTTTTTTTTGTCGGTGGTGGGGCTTGTACTCTGGGCTTGGGCTCTGTCCCTGCACTCTTCAGCTCAAGGCGAGCACTCTACCGCTTGAGCCACAGCGCCACTTCTGGTTTTCTAGTGGTTTATTGGAGATAAGAGTCTCATGGACTTTTCCTGCCGGGGCTGGCTTTGAACCACGATCCTTAGATCTCAGTCTTCTGAGTAGCTAGGATTGCAGGGGCGATCCACCGGCGCCCGGCTTCTCGCACCATTTTTTTAATAGCTTCTCTCTCATCTGGGAAGAAAATATTCTAGAATAACATAATCAAAAACAACTCATAAAGCTTGTATGAGATTCACAGATAGATACCCCTGGCACTGGTGGATCACACCTGTAATCTAGCTATTCAGGAGACTTGAGATCCAAAGATCATGGTTCAAAGCCAGTCCAGGCAGGATAGTCCGTGAGATTCTTATCTCTAATTAACCACCAGAAGATCCGAAGTGACGCTGCAGCTCAAAGTTGTAGAGCACTAGCATTGAGCAAAAAAAGCTCAGGGACAGTGCCTAGGCTGTGAGTTCAAGCCCCATGGCCACCCTTAAAAGATTAACAGAGGTTCAGGGTAGTACTGGTGCATGCTTATAATTCTTACCTACTCAAGAGGCTGAGATTTGAGTGTTACAGTTCAAAGCAGCTCAGGCAAAAATTTCCCAAGAATCTATTTCCAGTTAATTAGCAGAAAAGGTAGACTATAGACATAGCTGAAGGGTAAGAGGTCAGGTGTGAACCAAAATGCCAAGTAAGAGTATAAGGTCCTGAGTTGCAGCCCTGGTACCAAGCATGTGAGAGAGAGAGAGAGAGACCCACTCACTAGGGTTTGGTATAGTATTGTCCTGCATCTATCTTATAGAAGGATACAATTAAAAGGATACAATTAAGTTACATGTTTGAAATATTCTAATACCTTTGTGTCCCATACAGAATACAGTAGTGCTTGATTGTAGTGTTAATGGATGATATTGAACCTTGTGCTTAATATATTTTTAACTCATGATGACCTTGTAGGGCTACTATTTGAAGGTCTATATTGGGCTAGAGGCATGGCTTAGTGGTAAAATGCCTGTCTACCAAGTTGAGCTGCCCTGAGTTCAAACTGTAGTATACACAAAAGGTTTTATTAACATGGAAATGACATTCGCTAATGGAATATTTCATTCTCTGACAGGCAGTATTTAATATTGCACTTTTTTTTTAACATGGACTTGACCTCAGGGCCCAGGTACTGTCCCTGAACTTTTTAGGTCAAGGCTAGTAGTGCTCTACCACTTCAGCCACAACAGTTAATTGAAGATAAAAGTCTTTGCAGTTTTTATCTTCAGCCTTCTGAATAGATAGGATTGCAAGCAGGATCCACTTGAGCACAGCTGTATTGCACCATTTTGAAGGCGAATGTACCCTGGGCCAGGAGCAATGAAGACACTAGATCTTTCACGTCCTTCTTAACTAACAAATACAATAGACTTTATAAACCTAGAAAGGAAGCCGAGGACTAGTGATATATGCTGAGGATCACGATTCAAAGACAGCTGAGCAGGAAAGTTTGTGAGACTCTTACTCCACTAAACTACTAAAGAATAGTCAGAATTGAAGCTTTGAATCAAGTAGTAGAGCACTAGCCTTGAGAAAAAGAACCTTAGAGACAAAGCCCAGGCTCTGAGTTCAAGCTTCATGACCAACACACACACACACAGTATTTATTATAAATAAATAAAGTACAGAAGGGTCCAACTCTACCTGTTTGAAGGTTATTTTTTTCTAAACCCCAGTACTATTAATACCATGTTTTCTATATAGAGGAGTATGTTCTGAAATGTACTGTTTTTTGGCTTTCTTAAGTATCTTTCAACTATGTACATGGTGGAATACATGACTCTAAGTTTTACGTGTTTGGAAAGCACGATTAGCTATATGGGGTCTCACTAGGGTAATTAAAGCTTTGTTGGTAATTTGGAATTTGTAACTCATTTTATTGAACAGTGTTCGTTGGAAGATCCTCTTACAGTTCCAGTGTCGGAATCGGCTTTTGCTAACTGGAACCCCTATTCAGAACACCATGGCAGAGGTAGGCACTAGTAAAGGTCCTGGTTCACAACTTCATAAGTCCGAGTTGCAGCACGGCATATAACTCTTTACCCATGATTACCTGGATTTGACCATAGTTTCCCCTACGTGGAATCATTTCTCTTTTTTTATTCCTTATGTAATAAACATTGAGCACATTAGGAAATTTACCCATCTAATCAACAGATATTTTTATGATAGAATTTGAAGATAATTTTCTTTCTTTTTCTTTTCTTTTTGGTCTGTCATAGGGCTTGAACTCTGGGCCTGGCGCTGTGTCTCAGCTCTGCAGCTCAAGGCCAGCAATCTGCTACTTGAGCCACAGCGCCACTTCCAGTTTTCTGATGGTTAATTGGAGATAAGAGTCTCATGGACTTTCCTGTCAGGGCTGGCTTTGAACCACGATCCTTAAATCTCCTCCTCCTGAGTAGCTAGATTACAGGCGTGAGCCACCAGTTCCTGGCTTGATAATTTTGTTTAATACCGCAAACTAATTGTTTTTCTTTAGTAAAGATAATTGATTAAGCCGTGTGCTGGTGGCTCATGCTACCTAGCTACTTGGGAGGTTGATATCCGAGGATCGAGGTTTAAAGCCAGCCCTGACAGGAAAGTCCATGAGACTCTTATCTCCAATTAACCACCAGAAAACTGGATGTGGTGCTGTGGCTCAAGTGGTAGATCACTTGCCTTGAGCTGAAAAGCTGAGAGACAGCGTCCAGGCCCAGAGTTCAAGCCCCAAATCCGACCAAATAAAAAAAAAAAAGAATTGATAATGTGGATCAGAATGTGGATGAGAATACATTCTTTAAGGACTAGATACAGTATTTTAGATTTTGTTACATAGTCACAGTTGCAACTCCTCTGTTTTGCTTCTTTAATGTGAAAGTGGCACAGACAATGTATAAATGAATGAGCATGGCTTTGTTTACGTGCCAGGCTCAGGTAGCTCATAGCTATCATGTTAGCTGCTCAGGAGAATGAGATCTGAGGATCAAGGTTTGAAGCTAGCCTGGGCAAGAAACTCTGTGAGACCCTTACCTCCAATTGACTATCAAACAAGCGTATAGCTCAACTGATAGAGTGCTAGCCTTGAGCAGTAAAGCTCAGGAATGAGTACCCAGACCTTGAGGTCAAGCTCCATGGACAGGGAACCCCCGCCCCTGGGGGAAAAAAAAAAAAAAGCACCCAAATTTATTTACAAAAATGCATGGCAAACTAGACTATAGGCCCTATGCAAGCTGTTCCTGCTCTAGCACATGACACAAATACAGGTTTTCAAATGATTCCTCTATTATGAATAAAACTTTCACTCTTAAACTTACAGTTAGAAATTAATTGAAAAATAATCACTTTTCAGTTTGGTACTTACTAGTATTTGGGTTAGTTAGAAGACATGTGTTTAAACTCTTTCATTCTCTCTCCCTGTCACATACATAAACACTTACTAAACCTTATTATATCCTTACTGTTGTTCTATTACCCTGCTATATTTTCTTTGTTTTTTTTTCTTTGTTTTAAGCTCTGGGCTCTGCTACATTTCATTATGCCGACATTATTTGATTCCCATGAAGAATTTAATGAATGGTTTTCCAAGGACATTGAAAGTCATGCTGAAAACAAATCGGCAATTGATGAGAGTAAGTAATATGAGGGACTTTCTTTCTTTCTTTTTTTTTTTTGGTCTGGTCAAGGGGCCTGAACTCTGGGCCTGGGCACTGTCCCTCAGCTCTTCAGCTCAAGGCTAGCGCTCTACCACTTGAGCCACAGCACCACTTCCGGCTTTTTTTCTTTTTGCTTATGTGGTGCTGGGGAATTGAATCCAGGGCCTCAGGTATGCAAGACAAGCGCTCTACCACTGAGCCACCTTCGCAGCCCCAAGCCAAAAGATTAATTTGACAGCTATTCTTTTTTTTTTTTTTTTTCCATCGGTCATGGGGCTTGAACTGGGCTTGGGCACTGTCCCTGTGCTCTTCAGCCCAAGGCGAGTGGTCTACCACTTGAGCCACAGTACCACTTCCGGTTTTCTGGTTAATTGGAGTTGAGTCTCACGGACTTTTCTGCCCGGGCTGGCTTTGAACCATGATCCTCAGAAGCTAGAATTACCGGCGTGAGCCACCAGCACCTGGCTTGACACCTATTCTTGTCTTGACTTTTTCATCAAGATAGTTCGAGCTTACCTCATAAAGCATTTTGGCTTTCAAAGTCTGCTTTCGCATAGATCCTGGAAGATTCTATGAAAATTACTTTCTTTTGTGTGGATTTTCTTTTTCTGTTGGTCGTAGGGCTTGAACTCTGGGCCTAGGTGCTGTCCCCGAGCTCTTCAGCTCAAGGCAAGTGCTCTACCACTTGTACCACAGCTCCACTTCTGGTTTTCTGGTGGTTCATTGGAGATAAGAGTCTTACCAACTTTCCTGCCTGTTCTGGCTTTTAAGTGTGATCTTCAGATTTCAGCCTCCTGAGTAGCTAGGATTATAGGCAGGAGCACCAGTTTCTGGATTCTTATGACAAAAGTCAAAAATATTAGAAGACTTGTTTTTATTTTTCTATATAGGAGTTATTTTTAATTGTAAACCTTTTAACATTATTAATACTTTTGGTCTTGTTGAATAACACCTGCCTGCTTTTAGAACTTACTGGGAATGTTGTTATATAGACCAGAAGGTGACATCTATCAAAAACATCCCATAAAGGATTTTTTAGTATTAAGTTGTTAATTTGCTGACATCCTTTGAAAGATAATTTTTTTGGCAAGGGTAACTCTAGTGGTCCCAGATAGGTTTTATTATTCCTCTGTGAGAATCCTGCTATTGATAAAATGTTCCTTACATATTCTGAAAGTAATTTTAATGAAAATAGACCTTAATGTAAATTTACTTAGTTGATTATAGCAAGATGCTGTAGTAAATTTATATTACTCAGCTTTCACATTAAGGAAAAATTTGAATCTATTTTCACAGAATCATTGAGCCCTGATGTTATTTGTTTTGATTGTGCTAAATCTGTATAGCATATTATTTAGGGCTTCCTGTTATTTCAGATCAACTGTCTCGCTTGCACATGATCTTGAAGCCATTTATGCTGAGGAGAATTAAGAAAGACGTAGAAAATGAATTGTCTGATAAGGTAAGCAATCAAATCCTCAAAGGTTAAGCTGCAATAAACACCAACTTAGGTTTTGGGGAAAAATTCCTTTGATACATGTTTAGTTGACAGGTACCTAGTTCGAAAAAAGATCTTTAAACTTGATAGGTTTAATTCCCAGTGCTACAAACACAAGAAATTTTCCAAAAAGACTTAATCAAGTAAGCAAGGAAATAGCATTTCTTTTACTTTTTAAAAACTTCTTATATTAATGAAATTGTTCTTTTTCTCTTTTCTTTTTCTTTTTCGCCAGTCCTTGGGACTGAATTCAGTGCCTGGGCACTGTCCCTGAGCTTCATTTGCGTAAGGCTAGCACTCCGCCATTTGAGCCACAGCATAACTTCTGGCTTTTTCTGTTTATGTAGTACTGAGGAATTGAACCCAGGGCTTTATGCATGCTTAGGCAAGCACTTTACCACTAGGCCACATTCCCAGCCCTAATGAAGATTTTGAAAGCTTATAAAAGTAGAAAGAGGGCTGGGAAGTTGGCTCAGTGGTAGAGAGCTTGCCTTGCATGCCTGAGACCTTGGGTTCGATTCCTCAGCACCACATAAGCAAAAAGAAAAAAGCCGGAAGTGGCACTGTGGCTCAAGTGGTAGAGTGCTAGCCTTGAACTGAGGAGCTGAGGGACAGTGCTCAGGCCCAGAGTTCAGGCCCCACGACTGAACCCCCCAAAAAAAATAAATAAATAAAAGTAGAAAGAATGGTGTAGTGAATATCCTTACACATAGTGCACAGCATTAACAGTGATCAACTCATTAATCTCCCTACCCTTCAGGCTTACTAAAAATAAATCGTACTGACATTGAAAATCTCATATTAGCCCATCTAATTCCCATAGCTTCATATACTCACTCCTCTCATCCTCTTTCTATGACGTTTCCTGAAAATTATTGTGAATGATAATAGATAGTGCTACTGGAAATAGAAAAGATAGCCTGGTAAGAATATGTGGGGTGAATGGCAAGAGAAGGTCAGGACACACTGTTTCTGGGTAATTATCCACATCACTAGTTTGTAGAGATAGTAAACTCACTTTATAATCTGGTTTGAATATGTTTTACTCTAAGCTTATACCACATTATCATACAAATGATTTCCCAAATATAAATCTTGTTGAATTTTAGATTGAAATTCTAATGTACTGCCAACTGACCAGCCGACAAAAGCTATTATACCAGGCACTAAAGAACAAAATTTCCATTGAAGATTTATTGCAATCTTCTATGGGCTCTACCCAGCAAGCACAGAACACCACCAGCAGCCTCATGAATCTTGTCATGCAGTTTAGGAAGGTAAGAGACTTCATGTTGTCTTTATTGGCATATTTTGAAAAGACCTAGAGGCTTGATGGTATAGAACAAAGGCTTCTAGCAATGAAAATGGAAAAGTTTTCATGAAGGCAAAACTATAAAGGTGATATGTTACTCTTTCCCTTCCTGTTAGGTGTGTAATCACCCAGAGTTATTTGAACGACAAGAAACTTGGTCTCCATTTCATATTTCCCTAAAGCCATATGAGATTTCAAAGTTTATCTATCGTCATGGGCAGATCAGGGTCTTCAACCATTCAAGAGACAGGTGAGAAAATATTAATACCTTGTTTTGTTTTTTGTTTTTGTAATTTGGGCTCTTACGGCTTAGTAGATAATTTTTTTTTTCTGTTCCTGAGGATGAAGCACAGAACTTTGTGTTTGCTAAAAGAGCAGTCTACCTACATCTCTAGCCCAGGATAAATTTTTTTTTGACATAGGATCTTTCTGTGTGGTTCAAGCTGGTCTGGAACTCACTGTATTTGAGTCTAGCCTCAGCCTCATAGTGTTCCTGTCTCAGCTTCTTATGTACTAGGGTTACAGTTATGTACTACCACACCCAGCTCCAAGAAATAAATTTAAGGAAGTATGTGTGTTTTCACCAATGAGGGGGTTTTTTTTGTTCGTTTGTTTTTTGTTTTTTGTCAGTCTTGGGGCTTGGACTCTGGGCCTGGGTCTGTCCCTCAGCTCTTCAGCTCAAGGTGGACACTCTACCACTTGAGCCATAGTGCCACTTCCCATTTTCCGGTGCTTAATTGGAGATAAGATTCTTGCACACTTTCCTGCCTGGTCTGGCTTTTAAGTGTGATTTTCAGATCTCAGCCTCCTGAGTAGCTAGGATTACAGGCCTGAGCCACTGGTGCCCAGCAGCTATGAGGTATTTAAGCAGAGTATAGGCAACTATTTGTCAAGTGGCATTATGGTAGGAATTTAAGTCCTATGAAGGTTGCAAAGGCCGAGTCATTTCATTCGCCTTATGAAATATAGTGTGCATGTAGATACAAATGTGTACTTGTACTATGAGTAAATCTCTAATGGTACTGCATATTCTCAGTGTACTGAAGTTGGCTTGTTGTGCCTTATTTTATCCTTGGAGAGAGAGAAAATTTGTGTCATTAGGGTTTGAACTCAGTGCATTGTTTGTAAGGCTGGCACGGAGTTAACACTGCAGAACTGAATCATGTTAATAAAATTTTCCTTCTTGTAGAGGCAACAGTGCTAAATTTGATAACAATTAACATGGATAACTAATATTAAGCTAATTAATGCTAGATACTTAGTTCAGAAAAGATGTGTATTCCATTTTACAACTCTTAAGTTAGGATTGTCCTGGCTTTTTGTTTTATATGCTCCCAAAGGATTCTTTTGAATACCAGTATTTAAGGAATATAGACTTACAAAGCTGCTTTTGTAAAGAAATAATGTAAGCCACATTATAAAATAATCATCCACATGACTTAAGAAAACTGAAATTTATTTGTACATTTTTAATTCTTTTCTGTCAGTTCTGGGGCTTACACTTGGCCTGGGTGCTATCTCTGAGCTTCTTTTTTTTTTTTTTTTTGTCGGTCGTGGGGCTTGAACTCTGGGCCTGGGCGCTGTCCCTCAGCTCTTCAGCTCAAGGCGAGTGCTCTACCACTTGAGCTACAGCGCCACTTGCGGTTTTCTGGTGGTTTATTGGAGATAAGAGTCTCACAGTCTCTCCTGCCCGGGCTGGCTTTGAACCATGATCCTCAGATCTCAGCCTCCTGAGTAGCTAGGATTACAGGCGTGAGCCACCAGCGCCCGGCTTCTCTGAGCTTCTTTTGCTCAAGGATTGTACTCTACCACTTGAGCCACAGCTCTACTTCCTGGTTTTTTTTGGAGTTTATTAGAGATAAGAGTCTTATGGCGAGGGGCCTATCAGCTGCACTGGACATTAATGAAAACTAAGCAACTCAAGGGCAGGGATGGAAGTGAGGGAATGAGAGGGAAAGAGGGAACAGCTTACGCTAAGCAAAAGGAAAGAAATGAACGTATCATCCAATGTGGAAGAAAGAGGTATATCGTCAAAACTCATAAAATTCGTAATTATCATGATAATGATAATTTGCCTTGTGAAGGTTAAAATGTTTGACTTTAAGTATCACTATATCACAATGCCCTGAAATTTGTGAAATTTATATAATCACTTTATCTCAATAAAACATTTTTTTTTTAAGAAAAGTCTTATGGCAAGGCTGGATTCTCAGATCTCAGCCTCCAGAGTAGCTACAATTACAGGTGTGAGCCACTGGCACCTGGCTCTCTCCTCCTCCTCCTCCTCCTCCTCCTCCTCCTCTTCTTCTTCTTCTTCTCCGCCTCTTCTTCCTCTTCCTCCTCCTCCTCCTTCTCCTCCTCCTTCTTCTCCTCCTCCTTCTTTTTTTTTTTTTTTTTTTTGTTAGTTGTAAAGCTTGATTTCTGGGCCTGGGCGCTGTCCCTCAGCTCTTCAGCTCAAGGCAAGTGCTCACTTGAGCTACAGTACCACTTCAGTTTTCTGGTGGTTAATTGGAGATAAGAGTTTCACAGACTTTCCTTGCCCAGGCTGGCTTTGAACTGCGATCCTCAGATCTCAGCCTCCTGAGATTTAGCTAAGAATAACAGGCATGAGCCACTGGCACCTGGCTCTCTTCTTAATCTACTAAGTATATTGTTTTTTCTGACATTTACCTGGCAATATGGCAGGATATTTGTTTTTTGTTTTTGTTTTGTTTTATTTTCAGAGTCTTCAAACTGTGTAGGTCCATCTGGTCTCATACTTAGAATAGAGTTGGCTGAGAATTTATGATCCACCCGCTTTAGCCTCCCCAAGTGCTTGGGATTATAGGTGTTGGACATTATGATGCCCTGCTAAGGAAAACTTCTAACAAATAGAAATAGTTTCAAGCTTAAAAGGTTCTTCTTAGGTTGGAATATTAAGTTTAATTAAATTCCCAATAGTTATATTTGGGTTCAGATTTATTTTACTTTCTTTACAGGTGGTTAAGGATTCTTCTTTCTCCATTTGCACCAGATTATATCCAACAGTCTCTCTTCCACAGAAAAGGTAAATGTTTTGATTTTAGGGAACAAAGGTTTATCAAGGTTTTGCTGTTGGTTGTACTTAATAACTATTTTTCCTACATACTAGGCTTTTATTTATAACATCTTATTTAATTTACTAAATTGTTTATGTATAGGTTCTGATTTTTGGTTATAAACAGAAAGTGGTCATACCGACCTTCCATCTTTGTCTTTGCCTTTTAAGTAATTCCTACTCTTGAAACATGACAGTATTAATGTTGAACTGTTTTAAGAAAATAGCTTTCTTGGTCTGGGAAGGTGGCTCAGTGGTAGAATGTTTGCCTAGCATGCATGAAGCCCTAGGTTCGATTCCTCAGCATCATATAAACAGAAAAGGCCAAAAGTAGCACTGTGGCTCAAGTGGTAGAGGGCTAGCTAGCCTTCAGTTGAAGAGCTAAGGGACAGTGCCCAGGCCCAGAGTTCAATCCCCACCTCTGACAAAGAAAAAAAAGAAAATACCTTTCTTGGAACTGGGAATGTGGCTCAGTGGTAGAGTACTTGCCTAGCATGCATGAAGCCCTGGATTCAAATCCCCAGCACCACATAAACAGAAAAGGCTAGAAGTGGCGCTGTGGCTCAAGTGGTAGAGAGCTAGCCTTGAGCACAGAGAGGCTCAGAGACAGTGGCCAGGCCCTGATTTCAAGCCCCAGGACTGGCAAAAGAAAAAGGAAAAACCTTTCTTCTTAGACAAAAAAGAAGCTGCTCAACTTGGAGCATTGTCTAGAATATTAAGACTGAAGTTCAGAAACTTTTTCCTCTGTCATGTCTTATTCTTTTTCTGTGTGATAAAACAAGAAAGAAGTTAACCAAGGACCAGAAACCCTAAACATCTGATGAGCCTGACCTATCCCATAGACCTCTTTCTTTTTTAAAAATTTTTTTATTGTGATTAAGTGATTATATAAATTTCATAGTATTGTGAGGTAGTGATACTTAAAGTCACAAACACATTCTAACCTTCATGAGGCAAATTGTCATTATTGTGATCTATAAAATAGTTGGTGAATTCTATGAGCTTTGACAATACAGCTATTTCTTCCACATCAGGTTATAATGTACATTTCTTTCCTTTTGCTTAGTGTAAGCTGTTCCCGCTTTCCCTCTCATTCCCTCCCTCCCATCGCTGCCTTTGAGTTGCTTAGTTCGTTTTCATCAATGTCCAGTGCAGCTGATGGGTCCCTCTGTTGTATGTTTCCCTCTGATTCGGTGTCCTCTTCCTACTTTCCCTCAGATGTGTTGCTGCTGCTTTCTTTGATTGTAGTACAAAGATGTGACACAGTGGGTAGTTGAATCTTCAGACTATCTATGCTTAAGGAAAAATTGAGCAATTTAGGTATCTTTAGCTCAGTTTCCTCTTGGTTTGCTATTTGGTTTAATTGGGTTCAATACTGTTCTTTGATGCTACAGGTATTAATGAAGAAAGCTGTTTTTCTTTTCTTCGCTTTATTGATGTGTCTCCAGCAGAAATGGCAAACCTCATGCTTCAGGGACTTTTAGCCAGGTGAGAAATTTGCTGTGCACATGTGCACGTTCATGTCTGTGTATGTGTGTGTCTGTGTGTTCTGAGGCTTGATCTCAGGCCTTGGGCACTGTCCCTGAGCTGCTTTTGCTCAAGGCTAGCACTCTACCACTTGAGCCACAGTACCATTTCAGGCTTTTCTTTTTTTGAGTAGTTTATTGAGGATAAGAGTCTCATGCTTTTTCTGCCAGTGCTGTTTTCAAACTGAGATCCTCAGATCTTAGCCTCCTGAGTAGGTAGGATTATACACATGAGCCACTGATGCCCAGCTAAATTTGTTTTATATTATATATATATATATATATATATATATATATATATATATATATAAAATCATTGGGAATAAACAGGAATAAAAATCAAATAATCTCTTTTTTCAAGTGAAGTATAACTTTCTTTTGAGCATTTAGTTACATGATGACGCTTCGTTATATATCTTAAAGAATATTTAGGGCTGGGAAGTGGCTCAGGGGTAGAGTGCTTGTCTTGCATGCATGAAGCCCTTGGTTCGATTCCTCAGCACCACATAAGCAGAAAAAGCTGGAAGTGGCATTGTGGCTCAAGTGGTAGAGTACTAGCTTTGCACTGAAGAGCTGAGGAACAGTGCCCAGGCCCAGGGTTCAGGCCCCACAACCAACCAAAAAAAAAAAAAGTTACACTTCTTTTCCATATACTACTAGTCTTCAAATTTTCTAATTTTAAGTTAGTGTATATGTTTATTTGTTTCTAGAGAGAAATAGTGACTGCTGATTCATTTAGTTTGTAGTTGCCACAGCATAGACTGCCTCAAGTGTGTGGTCAAATTTAGTTGTATGTTCTTATTCTCTGGAAAAATGGTTTTCTTTTATCTTATTACTTTGTATTTATGTAACAGGGATCTCTGTTTAAAGCAAAGTTTTTTGCCTTTTTCTCAGTCATGGGGCTTGAATGCTGGGCCTGGATGCTGTCCCTCAGCTCTTTACCTCAAGGCAAGTGCTCTACCACTTGAGCCACAGTGCCATTTCTAGTAGTTTGTTGGAGATAAGACTCTCACAGACTTTCCTGCCTAGGCTGGCTTTGAACCGAGATCCTCAGATCTCAGCCTCCTGAGTAGCCAGGATTACAGGCATGAGCCACTGATAAGAGTTTTTATGAACATATGAATACTCCTAATAGCAAGAAAAGCTTTACAGTAGATTTTATTTTTTGCAATAGAATACCAAATCGTAACAGAATTCATGGAACAGAAGTAGAAAATAGCCTTGTTTGAAAGTAAGAAAGAAAAGTTTCAAGACTTATAAAAGATGTAATGAGAGACATCTGTTGGGTAGTTTCTCATTATTATAAACGACCCTCGAACCTCCTTGGAGCACTGAATAAGCATATCTGCTGTGGTTTGTTTCAGATGGTTAGCTCTTTTCCTGTCTCTGAAAGCCTCCTACAGGCTCCATCAGCTGCGCTCCTGGGGAGAGCCAGAAGGGGAGAGCCAGCACCGATACCTGAGAAACAAGGATTTCCTTCTTGGCGTTAACTTTCCACTTTCCTTTCCCAACCTTTGCAGCTGCCCTTTGTTAAAGGTAAGCAAGTGTTTCAGCATAAAATGCCTGCTTAATGACCCTTTAATTGATTAATTAATTATTCATTTTGCCAGTCCTGGGACTTGACATAAGGGCCTGGGCACTGTCAAGCGTCTTTTGCTCAAGGCTAGCGCTCTACCACTTGAGCCACAGCGCCACCTCCACCCTTTTCTGTATATGTGGTACTGAAGAATTGAACCCAGGGCTTCATGCATGCTAGGCAAGCACTCTACCACTAAGCCACATTCCCAGCCGGCCCCTTTAATTTTGATCAGTAAAAGTAAAATAAATGGTGACATAAAAATTTTTGGTGAAGGTGGGTGTGACATATTGAGTTGTAACTTAATGTACAGTTTGTGTGTGTATTTTCATTTGTAAATATATTTTGTCTATAATTTCCAAGTGTACATATTTTAAGTGTGAGTTGTGTAAATTCATATGTATATACTTGTGTAACCACCAAGCTTCTCTGTGAGCTTCTCTCTGCTCAAGGCTAGCACTCTTACCACTTGAGCCACAGCGCCACTTGTAGCTTTTTTTCTTTTTTTCTTTTTTTTTTTTTTGGGTCCGGTTGTGGGGCCTGAACTCTGGGCCTGGGCACTGTCCCTCAGCTCTTTAGCTCAAGCCTAGCGCTCTACCACTTGAGCCACAGCGCTACTTCCGACTTTTTGCTTTTTGCTTATGTGGTGCTGAGGAATCGAACCCAGGGCCTCGAGCATGCAAGGCAAGCGCTCTACCACTGAGCCACCTTCCCAGCCCGTGGCTTTTTTTCTTATGTGGTGCTGAGGAATCGAACCCAGGGCCTCATGCATGCAAGGCAAGCACTCTACTACTGAGCCACCTTCCCAGCCCCACTTTTTTTTTTTTTTTTTATACTGGGGTTTGACCTCAGGGTCTTGGCTCTGTCACTGAGCCCCTGCCACTTCTAGCTCTTTCTATTTATTTGGTAATAAAGAATCTAACTCAGAGCTTCATGCTTGCTAGGTAAGCATTTTACCGCTAAGCCACATTCACAGGCCCTATGTTTTTCCTCTTTTGTTTGTTTGTTTTTTGTTTTTGTTTTCTTTTATTTGTCAGTCTTGGGGTTTCAACTCAGGGCCTGAGTGCTGTTCCTGAGCCTCCTATCACTTGAGCCACAGCATCCCTTTCTGACTTTTTCTACTTATGTGGTACTGCTTGCTAGGCAGGCACTCTACCACTAAGCCACATTCCCAGGCCCTGTTTTTCCTTTAAATGGATATCTCGATTGCTTAGGGCTGTCATAAATAACACTGTCAGGCATATTTGGCACCTGTTGTTTGGTGAACATAAACATTGATTTCTTTGGCAGTTATATCTAGGAGTAGAATTCTTGTCCTGTCAGTATATGTCTTTAGGTTTAGCTCCTACTAAGTGTTTTCCAAAATCCATGTTTCAAATGTATACTCCCATCAGCATATGAAGTTTGATCTTCACCATCCTTGCTTATGTCAGTTCTCTATTTAGCCATTTTTATGAATTTGTAGTGAGAAGCATTTCTTTGTTACTTTAAGTTGTACCTCTGTAAAAAGATAATAATGTTAGCCAACTAGGTACCTGTGGCTCACACCTATAATCCTAGCCACTCAGGAGGCTGTGATCTGAGGATTGTAGTTCAAAGCCAACCTGGGTAGGAAAATCTATTTGACTCTTATCTCCAGTAAACCACCAGAAAAACAGAAGTGGTGCTGTGGTTCAAGTGGTAGAGCACTAGGCTTGAGCTGAAATGCTTTGGGGCAGAACCTAGGCCCAGAGTTCAAACCTCATGGACTGTTTTAAAAAAAAGGGGGGGGCACATTTTACTGCTAGAACGACAAGGGTGAGCCACCAGCACCCAGCTATCATCATGTACATCAAATTTGCCATTCTCCTGCCTCAGCCTCCCAAGTGTTGGGATTAGACATCTGTAGGGCTTTTGTTGTTTGATTGTTTGTTGGAGAAATGGTTTTTGGTCTTTTTTATTTTCTTCCATGCTGGAGATCAAATATGGTACGTGGTGTGTGCTAGACTAGTGCTTTGCCCAGTTTCACTCACCCTGTTTCCCTGTTTGAAATTGTAATGGAACAACATGTAAGTTAAACCCAGCATCCAGGTTTGAAATCAGTCTTTTGTTTTTCTTTGGTTGCAGAAGAGTGTTGCTATCCAAGCTGACCTCAAACTCTATATTTAGCCAGAGTGGCCTCAAACTTACACTCTTCTAGCCTCTGCCTCCTGAGTCCTGGAATTACCATTACTGGGTGCCACTGTGCCCAGCGTTTGAACACAGGGCCTCTGTTGAGAAATAGTTTCTTTATGACAATTATTTAGGATAAAACGATTGTTTCACAGTAGTGGGCACTGTTTATTTTTTATTAAACAATTTGAAATGACCTCTCTGAAACTGTGGACCTCATTTTCTTCAGATTTGAGTCTTATATAAAATAGACCTGTATAGTAAGTGCACAATGTGTGTGTTGAACAGAAAACTTGGACATTTGTTACTGGAACCATAATTTGCTCTGCAATAGGACATGGTTGTTACCCTGGTGGCCCATGCCTATAATCCTAGCTACTCAGGAGGCTGAGCTCTGAAGCCAGCTGGGGCAGGAAAGTCCATGAGACTCTTTTTCTCCAATTAACTATCAAAGCACCAGAAGTAGAGCTGTAGTTCCAAGTGGTAGAGTGCTAGCCTTGACAAAAAAAAAAAAAAAAAAAACAGGGATAGTGCCCAGGCCCTCAATTCAAGTTCCATGGTGGATAAAAAACAAAAAACACCTTCTTTTTCTTTTTTCATAAGGAGACAATTTTTTTTTAACATGATGAGCCACAATGTAGACTTGAACTCCCAGTCTTCCTGTCTCTACCTTCCATGTGCTAATTTGTTGTTGTTGGTGGTGGTGGTCTTGGGGCTTAAACTCTGGGCCTGGGCGCTGTCCCTGTGCTCTTCAACTCAAGGCCAGTGCTCTACTGCTTGAGCCATCGCGCCACTTCCGGTTTTCTGGTGGTTTATTGGAGATAAGAATCTCACGGACTTTCCTGCCTAGGCTGGCTTTGAACCGTGATCCTTAGATCTCAGCATCCTGTGTAGTTGGAGGCGTGAGCCACCGACGCCTGGCTCTAAATTTTTTTTTTTTTAGTAGAATTTTACTGTTGCTCTTAAGATGTTATACAGAGGAGTTATCATTTTCATAAATCAGGTAATAAGTACACTTCTTTCTTGAACAGTGTCACCCCTTCTTTTACTTTCCTCTAGTTCCCCGTTTTATCTCAAAAATGTATTTTAATAACAAATATAAAAAGATTTGTTTTTAATTGATTATATAAAATAACTGGCTCTCTAAGATTTTTCCTGTTTCTCAGTGCTCATATGATGTTTCTATAGATAAATAAAACAACTATCTTTGCTAAAACTACACTGCTATGTTAGTACTCATGATGTTAAATTGTCTTAAATAAAAGTTAGAAGGAGGCTAGGAATGGGGCTTAGTGGTAGAGTGCTTGCCTAGCATGCATGAAGCCCTTAGTTTGATTCTTCAGCACCACATAAGCAGATAAAGTCAGAAGTGGCACTGTGGCTCAAGTGGTAGAGCGCTAGCCTTGAGCAAAAGAAGCTCAGGCTCTTAGTTCAAGCCCCAGGACTGGCCAAAAAAAAAAAAAAAAAGTTAGAAGGAAATAATGTCAGTCATCATTGTTTCAAGGGATGAATTTGCATCTACAGTTATCCAATGAATGAAATTTCCTCCTACACATACAAAGTATGTTTTGTATGACAACTTTTGCTGTTTATAATTAACAGTATCTCATTCAAGAAGCAGAATTGATACTTGTTCGAGGTTCACAAACAAAAACATTTTGAACTTGACATAGACTCAACTATATTATATACTTGAGTCTAGTTAGTAGTTGTTTACTAGGAATTAACAGTATGGCCAGCCAGAAAGTTCTGTGTCGTTGTTGTTGTTGTTGGTTGTGGGGTTTGAACTCTCGGCCTGGGTGCTGTCCCTCAGCTCTTCAGGTCAAGGTGAGCATTCTACCAATTGAGCACAGCACCACTTTTGGTTTTCTGGTGGCTAATTGGAGATAAGAGTCTCATGGATGTTCCTCCCTGGGCTGGCTTTGAGCCCTCGATTCCCAGATCTCAGTCTCCTGAGTAGCTAAGATTATAGACGTGAGCCACCAGTGCCTGGCAAGAAAGTTTTTTATGGGGCTGGGAAGGTAGTTCAGCGATAGAGTGCATGCCTTGCAAGCATGAGACCCTGGGTTCGATTCCTCAGCACCACATAAACAGAAAAAGCCGGAAGTGGCGCTGTCGCTCAAGTGGTAGAGCGCTAGCCTTGAGCTAAAGAGCTGAGGGACAGTGCCCAGGCCCAGAGTTCAGGCCTCATGGCCAGCAAAAAAAAAAAAAAGTTTTTTATTTCAGAGATATATAACATATGACACTTTTTCTGTTTTACTTCATTATTCATAATTGTCCTTGGCACTAACTGATGTTTTTGTTTTGTAGTCTCTTGTTTTCAGTAGCCACTGCAAAGCAGTGAGTGGCTACTCAGACCAGTTCATCCATCAGCGGAGATCGGCTACCTCCTCGCTTCGTTGCTGTCTGCCCACTGAGCTGCCATCATTTTTGTGTGTGGCCAGTCCACGTGTAAGTGCCACAGAGAAAGGAGATGGAATAAGCAGTGTTGGAAAAAATGATATGCAAGGGATCCATTTCCTAAGCAGCATTGTTACAAGCTCTTTGGGCCTTGAGAAGCCTAGAAAAAAGCCTATAGTTTTTTTTTTTTAAAGTGCTGGGCACTGGTGGCTCACGCCTGTAATCCTAGCTACTCAGGAGGCTGAGATCTGAGGATCACTGTTCAAAGCCATCCCTGGCAGGGAAGTCCATGAGACTCTTATCTCCAATAAACCATTAGAAAACTGGAAGTGGCGCTGTGGCTCTAGTGGTAGAGCACTCGCCTTGAGCTGAAGAGTGCAGAGGCAGCGCCCAAGCCCCAGAATTCAAGCCCTACCACTGACCAAAAAAAAAGCTGGGTGCCAGTGACGCATGCCTATAATCCTAGCTACTCAGGAGGCTGAAATCTGAGGATCACAATTTGAAGCCAGCCCTGGCAGGGAAGTCCATAAGACTTTTTTCTCCAGTTAGCTACAAGAAAACTGGAAGTCTTGCCATGGGTTGAAGTGGTATAGTATTAGCCTTGAGGAAAATAAAAAAGAAAAGCTCAGGTTCTGCTCCCAGGCTCTGAGTTCAAGTCTCTCACAGCTGATCCTTCCCCTCTTCCCCAACCCCCCAAAAAAAGAAGCATTTTCATGGTCAGTTTTTTCAAGATTGTACTTTCTCATCCTAAGATGAGTAGATTTGAGAACATCGTCACTAGCTGCTTTGCATTTAGTCAGGTTTTGAAGTACTACAAGTTTAGTCAGGTTTTGAAGTACTACAATGGGAGCAAGCCATGTCTCAGATTATCATCCAACAGGGTCAAGGGAAAGAAAGCCATTTGTCACCTGCAGTGCCATCCAGCAGTCAGGCTGTCATTTACAGAGTAGGGGTATCTTTTGTTTTGGTTTGTTTTTTGTTGGTTGTAGGACTTGACCTCTGGGCCTGGACATTGTCTCTGTGCTCTTTAGCTCAAGGCAAGTGCTCTACCACTTTAGCCATAGCTTCACTTCTGGTTTTCTGGAGGTTAATTGGAGATACGAGTCTCACAGACTTTCTTCCCCAGGCTGGCTTTGAACTGTAATCCTCAGATCTCAGCCTCCTGAGCAGCTAGGATTGCATGTATGAACCACTGGTGCCCAGCTCAGAGGTATCTTTTGTGATTTAAACTTTGAGCCCCTATTTAATTCCTTTTTAATACCTTTGCTATCAAAATACCACCCCATGGTTGCTGACAGGTATTGCTGCAGAGGTTTCCATTGACTCAGTGACTTGTTTCCTTTGACTACATCTTCCTGTCCTTGTTGATCATAGAAAACAAAAGTTTTCTTTCATCCATGAAGAATTATATGATAGAGGGGCAGAAAAGGGATGTAGCCAGAGCCAGTGGTTAGAGAACAGAACTGCTTGCTGTCCTTTTGTGCCAAGAAGCAGTGCTGCGTTTATCCAAGAAGCTTAGGAGGCTGATATATTTTTTACTTCTGTTTTTATCTTGTTTCTCTAGTCATCCTACCACTACTATTCCTGTAGTTCTGTCCAAAGAAAGAAGCTGTTTTTTAGTCTTCATTGGAAATCCTTTTTCTGCCATTAACTTTTATCAGCTTGCTTACTTTATCACAAAACATAATCCATCAGAGGATCTAAAGAGAGTTAAGGAGTGGGAGTGCAGTGTTGAGTCCCACTGACTTTGCTTACATAGAGTTTTCTTCCTGTTGGTCTTCCTGCTGGCCTGTGTGAATGTGGTTTATATTTGCTAGATCTGGAAAATACTTGGCTTTTGTATTTATCATACTCTTCCAAAACCTTCTTTTAGAACTGAAGTTGATGCAGGGAAATACACCTCTTCTAGGATGTATCTAAATTCAAGTGCTTCTGTAGGTGTAAGCTTGGTTTGTATTGTTACTCTTAATCAGATCGCTATATCTAGAGGTCTAATAGAGGGAGTGTAGATTTCTGAGAGAATGACTTCTCATCTTCTTGTGTTTTACAGAGCCAATAAAAGCTGGCTGTCTTGCATTTATGCACATAATTGTTCAGTACCACTCAAAACCTCCATAGTATCTATTCCAATTACTGTCCTCAAGAACAACCTTGAGCATGGTATTGTAGTGTACATGTGTAATTCCAACACTTAGAAACTGAGGAAGCACCCTTAGTTCAAGAATGTTCTAGATTTCATATCAAGATCCCCTTAAAAACAAACAAAAACCTCCATCCTGCTGACACAGTCACACAGGCATGACCCTGGGTGTACTTTAGTATTATTTTCAGAGTCTAAACTACCAGGCTTACTGTTTCCCTAAAGAACCATAAATGTACCTTTCCAAAAAGTATAATTGCTGTAAGTATGGTAAGCAGGGAGCTGGATGAAGGCTTTATCCACTTGGCTGAAAAGCTATGTCCCAGCACCCTCCTTTCCTACTCAGCCCCCTCTTAATATGTTTTTCTAGAATTATATGCCTTTCTTATTCTGAACCTGAAAACGAGAATAATCACAGCCTAATCGTTAGGACAGGAAAAATTTAGCCAGGTGCTGGTGGCTCCTCACTCCTGTAATCCTAGCTATTCAGGAGGCTGAGATCTGAGGACTGTAGTCTGAAACTAGCCCAGGCAGGAATGTCTGTTGTAATCTTATCTCCAGTTATCCACCAAAAGTGGAACATGGCTCAAGTGGTTGAATGCTGGCCTTGAGCACAAAGGCTTAGGGCAGTGCCCAGGCTCAGAGTTCAAGCCCTAGGACCAGCACAAGGGGGGCGGGGGGAGGGGGGGAAGAATTTTAAACATGGCTAAATGTTTTTCACAAGCGCACACAGCTCTCACCTTGCAGGTCAGTTCTGGGCTATGTATATAAGGCAGCACTTCATGAAATGCCTAATTATCTTCAAACTTTTGACCCATCTGGTGAGAAGAAAAAAACTGATTTCCTTTAAACTTCAACTCTGGCCTAGACTTAAGTTGGGGCTTTTGGTGTGTTTTGTGTTCTTCCACCCTCGCACCCCCCCCCACCCCCCCAGGACTAGGATTTGAACTCAGGCTTCACTCTTGGTTGGCAGGTGCTTTACTGCTATAGCCACACCTTCAGCCTTATTAAGAGAAATTAATTTCCCTAGTACATGCTATAAAAATCTCAGGGTTAACCCAGAAATAACTGTACCCCTTAGGAAGGAATTACAGGAACTATTTTGTTAATAGCTGAGGAGATCATTCTACAGAATTACTAAAGTAAGGCCCCACGAATTATCTTACCAGGGAGAAAAAAAGCTTCATGCTGTCATGCTTCCCAGAGTTAGAGCGTCCTTCCCAGGAAGGACGCGCTGAATGCCTGTAGAAGCAACCCCGTTTACTGTCATCTAGGAGGTTAATGAAGCAAGAAGCAGGTTAGTTCATGAGGGACACGAGGGAGAATGCATTTCCACTTGTGAACAGAGGTGAATGGTAGGTCATGCTTCATCACACCCTGTTTCTGAGCCAACAAGAGTCTACTAACCCCAGGTTAGCAGACTAGGTGAAGTGGATTTTTTGTCCTCTTTTGGACCAGGGCACTGCTTAGGTGACATGCGTATATCTTGACCCAGGGCTCCTCACTAATAAAATTTCTCAAAACCTTTTGTTGTTAATTTCACTGGCACTCTTGCTTAACATTCACCCCAGCACTTGGACGATTTTCGGCAAGACAAAAATTAGCAGCTTGGTAGAAGCTTGTAGCCGAAAGAAGTTGTTTTGTTTTTAAACTGTAAGAGTGCCTAGCAATGAGTTGTAGGCAGGAACACATTTTTCCTGTGTCATAATCCTCCCAATCTTCTTTATGCTTAATTTTGACCTCACTTTCATCCTGACACTTTAGGCCCAGAGTCTTGTCTTTATGTTCTAATCTAAGCTCTGTGTTTCTGTCAATAAGGGGTGGGTGGAACATGTTTAAAATTGGTGTAAATTGTGTGTCCTGGTGTGGTAGTAAGCAGGAAGATCATGTGTTCTAGACTAGCTTTGACTACTCATACAAGAGTATGTGTGTTTTCTGAAAATACATAGAGCAAGCTGGGCACCGGTGGCTCACACCTGTAATCTTAGCTGCTCAGGAGGCTGAGATCTGAGGATTGAGGTTCAAATCCAGCCCAGGCAGGAAAGTCTGTGAGACTTTTTTTTTTAATTTTTATTTTTGGGTCCGGTTGTCGGGCCTGAACTCTGGGCCTGGGCGCTGTCCCTCAGCTCTTCAGCTCAAGGCTAGCACTCTACCATGAGCCACAGCGCCACTTCCGGCTTTTTTCTTTTTGCTTATGTGGTGCTGAGGAATCGAACCCAGGGCCTCAGGCATGCAAGGCATGCGCTCTACCACTGAGCCACCTTCCCAGCCCTGTGAGACTCTTATCTCTAGTTAACTACCAGAAAACCGGAAGTGGCACTGTGGCTCAAGTGGTAGAGCGCTAGCCTAGAGCTGAATTGTTGAGGGATAGCGCCCAGGCCCAGAATTCGAGCCCCACAACCCACCAAAAAAAAAAAAAAAAATACATAGCGCATACTTTTAACCATTTTTTTTTCTAGAAATATGGCAGTTATAGACTATGAGAGTATGGGAGTCACATCCTACATTGAAGATGTCTGCTCTGGGCTGTGATCTGCTGGGCTACTGCCAGCTGCTTTAAATTTCAATCTTTATTTGCATATACTCAAGTGTCAGTGGGGAAAAGTGAATAAATTGGAAGCAGAAAAACCAAACTCCTGGAGAAAATAAAAGTGATACGGGCTTCTAGTACTGTCTGGATAAACTGGTTTTTGTGGTTTGCATGGATTGGTTGTGAGGAGGCCATTCACCATGGCACATTGTAATTTTGAATCTTGACTGTAGAGGGCACTGTTCCCTAGCAAACTCAGTTCACCTTTATCCACAAGCCAGAGTAGTTTATTTCCTGGTTATTGGTAAATTAGGTTCTTCCTCTGGTTTTGGTTCTCTCTTTTCCTAGGAGAGGCACCTTGTATAGAGCTAGCTAGTTGTTTATGGATTGGGAATGTGGCTTAGTGGAATAGTGCTTGCCTAGCATGCATGAAGCCCTGGGCTTGATTCTTTAGTACCACATAAACAGAAAAAAAAAAAAAAAAGTGGTTTCTATACCCCAGTGCAGTATTTCTCAAGGCTTGGCTTGATATGCAGGGACGCTCCTTCAGAATCAGGGTCTGTTGACCTCTCACTCAGATCTATATTAAAATTTGTACTTTTCTACTTTTTTAAAAAAGAACTCAAGACCTTCTGCTAGTGTGGCTTGTGTAGTGCTCTAGCATTTGAGCTAGACCTTTAATGTGCCTTTTTTGCTGGTAATTGGAGATAAGAGTCTTAAGGACCTTGCTGCCTGGGCTGACTTCAAATTGTGATCTTCTAGATCTCAGCCTCCTAAGTAGCTAGGATTCCAGGCATCAGCCACCAGCATCTGGCTGTCTTTTCTTTTTATTAAAGAATATTTTTCCAAACTGCATAAATTTAGACCTCACACACTCAGATCCCAGATTATAGTGTAAAGTATTAGTTGTTTTTTTGTTTTCTGTTTTTTGGGTTTTTTTTTTTTTTGTTTTTTTTTGGTCGGTTGTGGGGCTTGAGCTCTGGGCTTGGGTGCTGTCCCTGAGTTCTTCAGCACAAGGCAAGTGCTCTATCACTTGAGCTACAGCACCACTTCTGGTGTTCCAGTGGTTTATTGGAGAGTGTTCCAGTGGTTTATTGGAGATAAGATTCTCATGGCTTTTCCTTCCCGGGCTGGCTTTGAACTTTGATCCTCAGATCTCAGCCTCCTGAGTAGTCAGGATTACAGGCATGAGCAACCAGTGCCTGGCCAGTATTAGATATTTTATAGGATAATTTGATGATATATACCAAGCATTTGAGAGCTGGGTGCCCCCCCCCTTTTTTTTTTTAATTAGAACTGACCCAGGGTGGCTGTCTTAACGTGTCTGGCTTAAAATATGCACTTTTAAGCTGTAGCCACTCAGGTTCTTATGCATAACAGAACTCTGAACTATTTTCCCTAAAGATTATTTGACATGAAAACAGTTAATTGTTAATAGCAACACAGAGATTTTCCCAAATCAGGTAGGAGCCGCCCCTGCTCCATTGGAGAGTAGCGTCTTAGTATATCTACCTTGTGATGAGGTTAAGAATTTTGCACAGCCAGAGAAAGGATCTTCTACTTGCTGGTAATTTCCTCTTAGCCCTTCCCCAAGCTTACAGCCTGAAAGAAAATTTCCCTTATCTTCCATTAGATTTGTCAGTCAGAAGGATGAACTCAGGAGCTTTGACACAGAAGCATTAAAGCTAGCTTCAGATGTGTCAGGCCAATACTCTTCAGTTTTTAATTATGACTCATTAGTTCCAGCTCCCTTGCTGACATGATATGGGTATTAGCACTTTGCCAAGAACAGCATCTAACAATGAATGGAAGTGGTAAAGTGACTGGAGATTGGAGGGGGTGAGGGGAGTGTGTGCGTTTACTTATTTATTCTCTTGGTTTATCTGCACACTGAATTTTGCTTTGCATATTTAATTTGTAGGGTCATGTTAGTAGAGCTTAGCCTGTAACTGGAGAAGCTCACTGGGGTAATTAGGGTCAGCTTAATTTGTTACAACAGAGAATTTAAAACTATTAGCCTATGCTGATCACAAATATGGTATATAACATGTGAACACTGTTATATATTACAGACTGTGGTAGACAATTTGCTCCAGGGAAGTTAGAATGAACTTGTGACTTTGAAATTATGTAATCATTTAATCACAATCAAAAAAAAAAAAAGAACCTCGGGGAAGGGAGGGAGGGAGGGGATGGTAGGGGGAAAACAATGGAGGGGGTAACAATGTTCAAGAGGAAGTGTACTCATAACCTCACTCATGTAACTGTGACCCTCTGTATAGTAGCTTTACAATAAAAAAAAAAAAAAACTATTAGCCTAAAAGGGAAGAAAAAGTAATAGAGATGAAGTTGATCAAAGCACATTCTATGCACATATCACAGTGAAACTCCTTTCTAAAATTATTACATGCTAATTAATAGCTCAGTGGTCAACTGACCTCAAAGTTTACGTTAACTTAGTGAGTGAAAAATACGAAACATCATCTTATGTGGATCTGCCCTTGCAGGTCACCGCAGTGCCATTGGATTCTTACTGCAATGACCGAAGTGCAGAATATGAGAGGCGAGTTCTGAAGGAAGGCGGGAGTCTGGCAGCCAAGCAGTGTTTGTTGAATGGGGCTCCTGAGCTGGCTGCAGACTGTCTGAATCGAAGATCTCAGTTCTTCCCAGAGCCTGCTGGGGGGCTGTGGAGCATCCGGCCCCAGAACGGCTGGTCCTTCATCAGGATTCCAGGTGAGTTTTCCCTTTCTAGCTCTGGCAAGAGGAAAGCACATGAGATTACTCCATGTGGTGATTGTCCATATTTAGAATTTAGAGTTCTTAAGGTTTCTGTTTCCTTTTTTTTGCCCTTTGTAATTTATATGTGAAAATGCTAATAATTGTGACTTGAGTGGGGAAAATTTTTTTTCAGATTTGTGCTTAAATACCCTCCTTTGAAAGAAATTTACAAAAAGGAGAGCTCTTGCCACATTCCATTTCTAGAATTGCAGAAATAAAGTAAAATGACAAAAAAAGCTTCAGTTCTAATGAGTACAGTTGTGCTGTTGCCAGCGGGATGAATGAGAATGTCGTCACTCCCAGAAAGCCAAGTTTAAGTAGCATAAACAGTGTCCTGCACGGAGCACCAGAGATCTAATCATAACAAGAGGAAAAACAGTATGTTTTGTGCCAAAATGCTAGCGGATTCCCAGACCCCCTGGGGTCAAGGTCAAGGGTTGAAAGGAAAGTAGGTTTTCATCTTTGCTGTAGTGAGACTACTTTTAAGGAAGTTGAACACAAGGTTCAGTAGACTCATATTCTTTACTAACACCTGCTGCATACTAGAGCCAAAACTGCTACTTTGGGTTGTCCAAATCTACTGATACCTAGCTTGTGTTTGTTTTATTGATACCTAATGGACATATTTATAAAAGATAACTGAGCTCCAGTTCTGAATGCCTGGTTTTTCCATTTAAGACTAAGACCGTCAAGGGTCAAGATGCTTTTGTGTTAGCTGGCTTTGGGATTGCTTTGACTGAAAAAATATTTTGGGGGGTATATGAAAGCAGTATTGCATATGGCCTCAGAACAGACTTAGAACACAGGAAAGTACTGGATGAAGGTAAATGGTTTGAAAATCAAGAGAAAAAGCCCAAATGTAAACCAGGCTCGAATGGAAATGAAAGCATCCGAGGCAGGAGCTAAGTACAGGTATAGAGAAAAGCAAAATAGCACTTTATTTCTTATTCCTTCATTCTAGCTTAGTGTCTCAGTACAGGAGTAAAAGGCTTATTGCTTGCGCTGTGGGAATCTCATGTGGCTTTTCCTGTTCTTTGAAAGAAAAATGGACCTTGTTTAAATAGCAGGAAGTGTCTGAGTTCTTTTCGCATCGATAAAAAGCACTAGCCCCACTGGCTGTTTACTGTGAGAACCAACCAGCTCCTCACTGACCCCATTGTGCTCTGTGGACAGACTTGCTGGGGGCGGGGGTGGGGAGGTGGAAGTGTGTCAGTGGAACCTATATTTTATCTGTGCTTTTGCATTTTTTGCTCCCCTGGGAAGTGCTGGTTCTGTTGCATTCCTTGAGCAACTAACCAAAATCTCACTAGTTTTGCTCTTTGATTGCCGCTCTAGGCTTCACCAGGAGAATGTATAACTCTTTCAGAAGGTCTTTCATTGGAAAAGGGAGTTGCTTAATCTGTTACCATGGTTGTACTGCTGTGGATTATAACATTTTTGTTTTGTCACTGAAGAAGATCTTATATGTGGATGGCATGAAACCGATTTAAATAATGCAGCACTGAAGGAAGGACGATTGGTCTTTTCAGTCAGTATCTTTTCTGCTTCTATTTTATTTTATTTTTTTGGTCCGGTCGTGGGGCCTGAACTCTGGGCCTGGGCGCTGTCCCTCAGCTCTTCAGCTCAAGGCTAGCGCTCTACCACTTGTTTTTTTCTTTTTGTTTATGTGGTGCTGAGGAATCGAACCCAGGACCTCAGGCATGCAAGGCGAGCGCTCTACCACTGAGCCACCTTCCCAGCCCCTCTGCTTCTATTTTAGAGAAGGGGTGGGGCCTAGATTTGATGTGGCAGAATCAGTCTGATTGCTAAGGAATTCTGCTCCTCCAGCTCTGTCCCCTGCTTAGCAACAGGTAGTGCTCTTCACTCGCACAGCTTTGGTAGCTCTTATTGGGTGATGTAGCCAGGTGCTGCCAGTAGCTGAGATTTGAGGATTGCATTTCTAACTCTGGCAGAAAATCCTGAGACTCTTATTATCAGTTAACCAGCAGAAAAGCTGGACTGGAGGAGTGGCTCAAGTGTAGAGCACCAACCATGAGTGATAAAGCCAAGCTAGAGCTAAAAGGCCCTTACACCTACACACACACACACAGAAATACACATTTTTTTCTTACTGACAAATACTAAATGCTGATTACCTCTGTCACCAGAAAAGTCAATAATATTGTTGATTTAGTGTTTTTGAGCTTTTTCTGCAATTTTTTCTCAGTTCTTTTCCTTCTAAGCATTCCAAAGAGGTCTAGTTAGCAGGGAGGTAGCTCATGGGTAAAGGACTTAGCTAGCATGCACCAGCCCCTGAGTTCAGTCCCCAGTACCACAAATACAGAAACTGTCAGAGGTCCAGTTCATCCACATCCACTCCCCCTACCTGCATAGTAACCATCTCACTTCCTCTGGGCATATCAAAATTTATCTCAGCGTGTGTGCATCTTTACCACTAAGGTTTTCTAATCCTAGCATCAAGTTCTTCCTCCTGACAAAAATCAAACAGAAGAGGGCCTAATAGCCTCACAGGCTGGTGAACAAGCTTTATTAAGGCGTGGGCTTTGGGAGATAGAGCAGTCTCCTTTTCCAGTTTGGAAAAAATGAGAATGGCCTATAATTTCCTCAAAAAATACAGGACAAACACTTCATTTTGTAGTAAATTTTTAATCAGAGTACAAAAGAAAAGACTGATATCTTTGATTGTTATAATTAAGAATTTCCTTTATCAAAAAACATAGTTTTAGTAGTGAGAAAAGGATATGGCCCGGAAAGGGAGAAGATATTCACAGTATTATAAATTTGTAACGGTTTCTTGGGCTGTGTATTTATGGTTGATCTTTTTGGCCAGTCGTGGGGTCTGAACTCTGGGCCTGGGCGCTGTCCCTCAGCTCTTCAGCTCAAGGCTAGCGTTTCACCACTTGTACCACAGCGCCACTTCTGGCTTTTTCTCCTTATGTGGTGCTGAGGAATCAAACCCAGGGCCTCATGCATGCAAAGCACTCTACCACTGAACCACCTTCCCAGGCCTGTATTTATGTTTTATATATATGTATAATATATGCATGTATGTTTTTATATTCTACATAGCAAAACTTTAAAAAAAAATGGATGTTGGAAAGTCAGGCACTGATGGCTCATGCCTATAATCCTAGCTCCTCAGGAGGCTGAGATCTGAGGATCATGGTTCAAAGCCAGCCCAAGCAGGAAAGGCCATGAGACTCTTATCTCCAATTATCTACCTGAAAACTGGAAGTGCTACTGTGGCTCCAGTGATAGAGTGCTAGCCTTGAGCAGGGACAGTGCCCAGGCCCCAAGTTCAAGCCCAGCCACCAACAAAAAAATAAAAATAAAAAAATAAAAGTAGATGTGGGAAGCAGGAATATATGAAAATCATCTAGTCACTGTTTTATCTGTTAAAGCTATCGGTTAAAGCTTCTCAAAATCCAGACACCATACAGATTTGTAGTGCTTCAGTATCTGTGTTGAGGGAATATAGTTGAATGGATTGTATACACTACAGAAATCTGAAGCTCATTCTTACTCAGTGATTGCAAATAAGTGTAATTTTTTTCACCATCTTGCACCTTTAATGAGAACAGGAAGAAACAGCGTCTAAAGTTCTGTAGAGAATGTTAACAAGCTATTAATATAATTAAGAGGGCTGGGAATGTGGCTCAGTGGTAGAGTGCTTGCCTAGCATGCATTAAACCCTGGGTTTGATTCCTCAGTACCACATAAACAGAAAAAGTCGGAAGTGACACTGTGGCTCAAGTGGTAGAATGCTAGCCTTGAGCAAAAGCAGCTTAGGGATAATGCCCAGGCTCTTGAGTTCAAGTGCCAGGACTGGCAAATAATAAAGAATCAAGAGACTCAGGCCCAGTGGTAAAGTGCTTGCCTAGCCTTCACAAGGCCCTAAAGTCAATCCCCGACATGAGGTAGGGGAGGGTTCCTGTAATCCAACCAAAGCAACAGGAGTAATTGTGATATGTGGGAAATTGCAAGTTGTTATGAAAGCATTGCTGCCTGATCAGACTTGGAATTTATACGGGCCTTTGTCTGGTGCCAGGGAAAGGGCTTAGCCATCACTTCTGTCCCAGCTGCAGTCATTTGATTGTGTTGGTAAGGAGACAACAAAAAGAAGAGCATTTCAGTAATCTAAACAGGACCAAACAAAAGATGGTGAACAAAGGTGTGTGCCACAGAGATGGGGGGGGGGGGGAGACTGGCAGTGTTCTGAAGGTGGGAAAAGGGAGGCTGGAGCACAGGGGAGTAAACATCGAGGACCTGTGTCTTTGTAGCAAAAACAGAGCAGCTAGTGATTTGTTATGTTGCCGTCAGCACATCCGTTCTTTTTCAGTGTAGACAATAATTGTGCACTTGGCAAATAGTGGTGAGAATGACGGTTGAGAACCCTTGGAATGCTGTCAATAGACAGCCTTTGCAATTCTGAGGAGCAGTCATGGGTTCAAACCCAGAAATGAAGGCGAGGCACTGTAATTCTTGACAGTTACCTCTTTAACTTTTAGTAGTTAGTTGTCAATGTAAGATCCCTATATCCTTTCTTCATTTTTGTATCCCCCAGCCACTTCCTTATGTACTCTTCCCCTCTTAATGGCAGCAATTGTTAAGGGAATGTTTATGGACCAGTCTGCAAACAGGAAACTCTCCTTCCTGAAATATGATGGGAGTTGAATGATACTGAATGGATAAGATGAAAACTTGTGAGTGACGTGTTCTTTAAAGATCTCTGGTTGAAATGTATTTCTTGTGGGAAGAGGAAGAAGAAAGCACTAGTTAGTAAGAGAGCAATTTCATTTCAAAGTCACTTTTTCTGAAAAGCTAGCAGTGTAGCTCAATGGTAGAGCATTTGCCTTACTGGGTTTGATCCCCAGCACTACCAGAAAAATGGGGAGGTATGTTTATTTGCCTTTCTTGCTGTTTATGTATTATCTCCAAGGGAAGGCATGAACAGTCCTTGTTTCTATACATTCTCATGCTTTTAAGATGCAAACAACCACAGAACTAACAGAAATAGATACCCAGAGATAGATGAACAAAAGAAAAACAGATTTTTGGGATTTGCTTAGAGCAACACCATCATCACTCATAGATACAGTAGTGTAATTGGTATCCCCTGGATTAGAAGGTGGAACAGGCAAGTTTTCAAAGACATGATTGGACACTATCAGTTGGAAGGGAATTTCCACATCCCTCTGTGAGGGATGTCTTCCCAGAACACTCACTGTTGTGCTTTAACAAGGCTTTACATTCTTCCTTTGGAGTACTTTCCTATTCTCATGATGACAAGAATCTGAGTTGTAGTACTTTGGGCTGCATACAACTTTGCAGTAAGTGATTTTATTGCTTCAATTAAATAGTGTCCCTTCCTACCCCCACCCTGCTTTTCTTCTCCCCAGGCAAGGAGAGCCTCATCACTGACAGTGGAAAGCTGTATGCCCTCGATGTCCTGCTGACTCGGCTCAAGTCTCAAGGACATAGGGTCCTTATCTACTCTCAGATGACCAGGATGATAGACCTACTGGAGGTAGGAGAAGGAACTTTGGGGACATAGGCCCCCATGCTCATTGCTAAGTCAGTCTTAATTACTGAGAACCTGAAATTTTCTTGCTTGAGATTTCAGTCTAGAAGGATCTGAAACAGCTCCTGATGGCCAAACCACATTCTGTCGTGCAGAGGACTTCTTCCCTCTTCCCAGTAGCCAATGGAATAGAATCTCCTTCTTATACTAGGGAAGACATTCCCCAGTTTTTTGTTTTGTTTTGATTTTGCTTTTGTTTTGTTGGTTATGGGGCCTGAACTCTGGGCCTGGACGCTGTCCCTCAGGTCTTCGGTTCAAGGCTAGCTCTCTACCACTTCAGCCACAGCGCCAGTTCCAGCTTTTTTTTTCTTACGTGGTGCTGAGGAATTGAACCCAGGGCCTCATGCCTGTAAGGCAAGCACTCTACCACTGACCCACCTTCCTAGCCCCATACTCCCCAGATTACAGCATAGAAATCTTGGAAAGTCCTCTGAAATTCTGCATAGAAAACAGTATTAGGGAATCATTTTCCATGCAAAAACCCAGTGAACAGCTATTCATCTAGTGTTAACAAAGTGCTTCTCAACTTGATTACACACTGCAGTCATGTAGGTAGTTTAAAAAAATACGAATGCCTGGTCTCATTCCCAAAGATTTTGGTAAGAGTGTACAGTCTGAAGTTTGAACTCAGAGCCTTATCACTGAGCCACACCTCCAGCCTCCCTTGATTTGGGCAGTACTAGAGTTTGAACTCATCCTCTACCACTTGAAAGTCTACTCCTCAATCCCTGCTTTCTGCTGATTGTTTTGGAGATAGAGCCTAACAAACATTTCTGTCTGGGTTGGCCTCAAACCTCTTACTCAGCATTTTGCTTATGGATAGTGCTCAAACACTTGAGTCATGACTCCTTTTCCAGCATTTTGATTGTCAGTTGAAGATAAGATCCATGTAGATTTGTCTAACCAACCAAGATTTTCAGATAGGATAATAGACATGCGTAACTAAGATTACAGTCATGAGCTACCAGTGCCTGACTCAATCTTTATGTTGTTTTTTTGTTTTTTGTTTTTTGTTTTTTGCTTTTTTCTTTTGTCAGTCATGGGACTTGAACTCTGCCTAGTCGCTGTCACTGAGCTCTTCAGCTGAAGGCAGATGCTCCACCGCTTGAGCCACAGAGCCACTTCCAGTTTTCTGGTGGTTAATTGAAGTCTCAGGGTCTTTCCTGACTAGGTTGGCTTTGAACCGTAATACTCAGATTTCAGCCTCCTGAGTAGCTAGTATTATTGGTGGGAGTGACCGGCGCCCAGCCGTCCTTATGTTTTTTAATATGTAAGCCAATATATTCTAGCCATTCTGCTCTAAGCAATAATAATAAATACAATTTGCACCATGATTATTTCTATTAAAAGCAAACAACAAACAGAAATAGGGAAGTCACATTTCAAAAGGAATAAAGCAAGCAACTGGGAGTATTTTTTAGGCTTTTTGAATCAAAGATTGGCTTGCCAGGTTTTGCAGTGAATTTATCCCAATTTGGTGGCACCCTCCTTTTAATAATCTTGCGACTTCTTTTAGTAAGAAAAATAACAAAGCAGTATCTGACATAAATGTCGTCACTAAACCTTAGGTTTTGTATAGTGCTTAGCCCTTGAATGCTGCCAGTAAAACAACCTTGCTGTTTATTTTATGAATAGGTAGCCTATTTATAAGTGATGAGAAATCCTAATTCTAAATGACCATAAGAGAAATGATTAAGCCATTGTGTTTGACATGTTTTTTTTTCTTTTTCTGTTCTAGTACTAGGGATCAAACCTAGAGCCTTGCACATGATAGGCAAGTGCTACTGAGAAATATTCCCAGCTGTATTTGATTTAACACAAACATTGTAGCAGCGGCAGTCCAATGTAAAAGGGCTGCTGCGTCTCTTTTTTTTTTTTTTTTGCCGGTCATGGGGCCTGAACTCTGGGTCTGGGCGCTGTCCCTCAGCTCTTCAGCTCAAGGCTAGTGCTCTACCACTGGAGCCACAGCACCACTTCCGGCTTTTTCTGTTTATGTGGTGCTGAGGAATCGAACCCAGGGCCTCATGCTTGCAAGGCATGCACTCTACCGCTGAGCTACCTTCCCAGCCCCTGCTGCGTCTCTTATGTGATGTCCAAATCAAATGATACCAACCGGCACAATAATTTTAAGTGCTTTTCCTACAGTGAGGTCTTTTTTAAGTAACGTGTATTTGCCTTGTGCTGAGGTCAGGGAAAGAAATGGTACAACAGTGATCATCAATACTAAGAACTACAGGAAGAGCAGTAGGTTGTAAGTTTGGTAGTGTAGGTATTATTCTTTCTTTTCCAGTGCTGTGTCAGAATACTTACAATACAGTTCTGAGTAATATTAAATAGAAGCTCAAGGGAACATGGGCGAGCAGCCCAAAAATATATGAGCTCTGCAGATGGTAGTGAATGTAAATAGTTTAACTTCTATACAACCCTATGTTTTAGGGATTCGACTTAGAGAGTAGAATTTGTAAACTAGGCAGCTTGTGGATACATCTCACTGAGGGGGAATTATAAATTAGGGAAGCACAAATCACAACCTGAATTTCACAACTGCTGGCATTCCTTATCCATATGTATAACATGCATCTAGAAGTCTGAAACTAGAGTGGGTTGCAGCCATATGATTCCCAGATAAAATGGAGTTATCTAGTTGCCTTAATAATGTTCTTAACGTTACAGTTCCTTATGAACTTCACATTGTTTTTATTTTACTTTATTTTTTTGGTCGTGGGGCTTGAACTCTGGGCCTGGGTGCTGACCCTCACCTCTTCAGCTCAAGGCACTAGTGTTCTACTGTTTGAGCCACAGCGCCACTTCCAGTTTCCTGGTGGTTTATTGGAGATAAGGGTCTCATGGAACTTCCTGCCCAGGCTGGCTTTGAACCAAGATTCTCAGATCTTAGCCTCCTAAGTAGCTAGGATTTATAGGCGTGAGCCACCGACACCCGGCTGAAATTTAATTTTTTTCATTCACTTGTATGACTGTTACTCACTTAAGTGGGCCACATTCTATATTATTTCAACAGGTTAGTCCTCAGTTTTTTGTTTTTCTGTTGTTGTCGGTTGTGGGGCTTGAACTCAGGGCCTGGGCATTGTCCCTGAGCTTTTTGCTCAGGTCTAGCACTGTGCCACTTACAGCCACAGCTCTACCTCCAATCCTCAGATTTTACTTTGTGGGCATAGAATTGCAGTGCAAATCAATATTTACTGCTGTGTCTAATCATCTATTGAAATGCATGTATAATAAATCTTAAGATAATGCATGGTTAGGTCTGTATTTCCTTTATTTATTTATTTAGCCAGTCTTTTTTCTTTTTTTTTCTTTTGGCCAGGCTTGAACTCTGGATCTGGGCACTGTCATTGAGCTTCTTTTGCTCAAGGCTAGTACTCTACCACTTGAGCCACAGCACCACTTCTTGCTTTTTCTGTGTCTATTGTACTGAAGAATCAAACTGAGGGCTTCATGCATGTGAGGCAAACACTCTACCTCTAAGCCACATTCCCAGCCCTCTATTTCCTTATCTTTCGAGAGTATTTTCAGTCATTTTCCCAGTGAACACACAGTGCACACATTCATGAAAGCCATGTTTCAGCATTAAAACATGACCTAGTGCATGAATCATAAAGATGATCATGTTCAACTCAAAAAACTGTTGTTTTGATGTTGTTAGTTTTCAGGTTTTCTTGGTTTTGTTTTTTCAGAATTCACCTTTTTCTGTTGATACTGTATACCCTGTACAAAAAGCGGGGGAAAGCTTCTGCTAGAGCAGAACTTAGAAATTCACACCAGGCATTGATTGAGCTGTGTGGTATAGCTGGGGAGCATGTTATGATTTCTTGTGTATCTAAAAAGCCTTTTTTTCTTGTTGTTAAAGTCCTGTGCCTTAGTCTTGGCTTTGTCTTTGTATTTCTGGAACTCAGAGGAACAGGAAGGTAATAAAGATGCACATGTTTCCATGTGACCAGATTTCCTTTCTGTAAGAAACACCAGTTCTGACCAGACACTGATGGTTCACATCTGTAATCCTAGCTACTTACCAAGCTGAGATGTGAGGATTACAGTTCAAAGCCAGTCCAGGCAGGAAAGTTCATGAGACTTATTTCCAGTAAACTATTCAGAAAAAGCAGGAAGTGGAGCTTTGGCTCAAGTGGTAGAATGCTAGCAACTTTTCTCCTATGTAAAATATTTGACTTATATTACTTGTGTAAATATCAGGTCTTCTTCTAAGTAGAATTCTGTATTGAAGAATGTTTGCATTTTTTCACATGGCATCTATATAGTATTTGTGGAAGTGAGATTTAAAAAAGGACACTGTTTAATAATCAGCACCAGGATTTTTAGTTAGCCACAGCAAAGGTAAAGGAGATGATAAATCATAAATGTTATCTGGAGCTTTATTTTACATTTACTGAGTCACTTATAGTGTCTTGGCTGTTGGGGGTACTGTGGAAATAGCAGTGTTTAACTAAATGTCATATTGAACTCTTCCTAAAGCACTATTTCTTTTGAAGTTGAGGGGTCCCTTTCCATATTCCAGTAGTTGCAGAAAGCTTTTAATTTATTACAGATGGTCTACATTACCTCTGGGTTTCCTGTTTTTTGAAGTTCATTCCTGTTGGTTGCGACTAAGTTTGTACTTTAAGGCAATAAGCTACTTGATAGTTTCTATGCAGTACAAAAGTACTTGGGAAAGGTCAGCCAGTTGATGCTGTATTTGGTGTGGTGTTAAGTACTGAAGCCCAGGAAAATCATCACATGAATATATGAAAATAGTACAAAATAGAGTTAAATCCAGATAATCCATAGCTACTCAGGACATTTGAGACAATGAGTTGTGTAATTTGCCCAGTGAGCCATCCAAATATGGTACCTCACTGGGATAGGATTCCTCCTAAACAGACATTCTATCTATGAGCTGCCTTCTCTGAACTCCAGGTTACCTTTGGAGCTGTGATTGTAAACAGATTGGGAAATCGCCCCATGAAATGAAAAAGCAAATTTGAGTCACTGTTAACCGAGAATGTTCATGCACTCTTAAGAATAATAAAGAAAGTGGAGGTGTTGCTCAAAGTGGTAGAGTCGAGCCTTGAGCAAAAAAAGCCAAGCAAGAGTGCAAGGCCAAGTTCAAGCCCCAGTAACACTAAAGAGAATATTAGAAGAGCCAGGCCAGGTAGTGATGGCTCACATCTGTAATTCTAGCTACTCAGGAGGCTAAAACCTGAGGATTGAGGTTCAATCTTATCTCCAGTTAACCAGCAAACAACTGGACTGGAAACGGCTCAAGTGGCAGAGTGTCAGCCTTGAGTATAAAAACTGAGCAAGTATAGCAGCTTTGAGTTCAAGCCCCAGTACTTATTCTTCAGCCACAGTTGAATATTTGTATCCATTTTATATTGTAGAGAAGTTCTATATAAGATTTTGCTTAGAAAAACATTTCTGTGAAACTGGGCACAGTGGCTCAAACCTGTTAATCCTAGCTACTTGGGAGCCTGAGATCAGGATTGCAGTTTGCGACCATCCTGAGCAGAAAGTTCACCAGACCATTTACCTCCATCCTAACCAACAAAAAGCTGAGCACAGTGTTTACCAGGTGGAAGAGCCATGTATGAGAATACTACAGTAGAAGAACGCCAGATGTGGTGGCGAACCACTGCATGCCTCTAATCTTAGCACTCAAGAGGCTGAGGCCAGATGGCAAATTCAGAGCCAGCCAGGGCATCATTGCAAGACTGTCATACACAAAAGTAATAATAGAATATAGAAAACACATGCAGGGGCTGGAAATGTGGCTTAGTGATAGAGTGCTTGCCTAATGTTCATGAAGCCCTGGGTTCGATTCCTCAGTACCATATAAACAGAGAAAGCCCGAAGTGGCACAAGTGATAGAGTGCTCACCTAGAGCACAGTAGCACTCAGGGACAGAGTCCAGGCCCTGAGTTCAAGCCCCAGGACCAGCAAAAAAAAAAAAGGCACAAGCAGTTCCCAAATATAGAAATGATTAGTTTTTAGTCTTTTTCAATAAAGAAGTTATTTTAGGACCAAAGTGCAATTGTTTTATCTGTAGCATGTATGTCCAAGATTGCTACGTACCCCAAAACTCCATATACACTGGAGTTTTTGTTGTTTTGTTGTACCAGTACTGTGCTTGAACCCATGGCTTCCCACTCTCCCTTAGCTCTTTCACGCAAGGCTGGCACTCAACTACTTGAGCCACACCTCCACTTCAGCTTTTTGCTGCTTGGGTGTTAATAAGAGTCTCTTGGGTTTGTCTGCTGGAGCTGGCTTTGAACCATGATCCTCACATCTTGAGCCTCCTAAAGAGCTAGGATAACAGGTGTGAGCTATTAATCAATTTTCACAATATACTGTAATGAAAGTTATTTGAGTTGTTGCTCAAGTTTTCAATTCAGTATTTTCATATAGTGGTTTACTGTGTGTAACTGAAACCAAGGAAAGTGAAAGTGGACAGGAAAGGACTCCTTTAACCTTTTCATGATACTCTGTTGTATAGTTTGGCTTGTTTTTTTCTTTGGTCGGTCATAGGGCTTGAACTCTGGGCCTGGGCACTCCCTAAACTCTTCAGCTCAAGGCTAGTGCTGTACTAATTGAGCCACAGTGCCACTGCTAGTTTTTTCTGTTTATGTGGTGCTGAGGAATCGAACCCAGGGCCTCATACATGCAAGGCAAGCGCTCTACCACTGAGCCACCTTCCCCTACTTAGTGGTGCTTTTTATAAATAGGCAGCTGTGTTGCCCTTTTGATGTTGTTTTCTCTCTGGTGGACCTTTTGTACTATAATGAGAGGCAACAAAAGAGGAAATATTAATTTACTCTTGTCTATGAAAGGAATTATGACTTAAGACTGGCGCTGGAGAATAGGCTAAGAAACGCAATAGAGAGTATGTCTCCACATTCTTTTTTGTTATTGTTGTTTTGGCCAATCCTGGGGCTTGAACTCAGGGTCTGGGTACTGTCCCTGAGCCTCTGTGTGCTCAAGGGTAGCACTCTTACCACTTGAGCTACAGCGCCACTTCTGTTTATTTGGTGATGAAGAATCAAACCCAGAGTTTCATGCATTCCTAGGTAAGCACTCTACCCCTAAGCCACATTCCTGGCCCTTTTAACTTTTTTCTTTTAATTATCTTTAAGTATTTATACAAAGAGGTTTCAGTTCAACATGCCAGCCTGTAAGTGCAATGTGTCTTGATCAGTGTCCCTATTTTTTTTTTCTGATACTGAGGTTTGAACTCAGGGCCTTCCGATCTGGCTTGGTTTTTTTTCCCAGCTTCCTGCTAATATTCTCCCTTTGGTCTAGCATTTTTCTAGTTAATTGGAGATAGTCTTTCCTAGGTAAGTAGAGATAAACTATACTCTGCATGAGCTAGCTTTGAACTGTGATGTTGATTTCAGGCTCCTGAATAGCTAAGATTATAGATGTGAACTCTTCAGCATTGTTAAAAAGTTGTAACTCCTCTTTGATGATGTCAAGAACACTAGAGAAAAATGGGTATCTTCTGTTTCACTCTTATTCTGAGGTGGTAAACTTTGGACAGTAGAATTAACTGAGAATGGAGCAGGGGATGTGTAGTGCAAGTGTTACTTGCTAAAGGAAGACGATATGTTAATGACTGTAAAACTTCTAGTCAGTGGCTGAAAAGCCATTTTGATTGGGGAATTTCATTTTGATGGGCAACTATCTTCATAAACCCTAAAGAAATCTGAAAGGATAAGATTAGATTCCAAGTTGAAACTGAGACTTGAGCTCTAAAATGGATGAATGTGGGTAGGTGCTTGTGAGCATTAGAATACAACCATTTGCATCAGATTTATTATGTTCCTTTGTCCTGGTTGGCAGGAATACATGGTTTACAGGAAGCACACCTACATGCGACTCGATGGCTCATCCAAGATCTCTGAGAGGCGAGACATGGTTGCTGATTTTCAGACCAGGTAATGCCAATGCATGCGATTTGCAAAAAGAAAAAAAAAGCCACTCTTTGGTCTTCCTCTAGTGCTCAAAATGTTGAAAAGGAATACCAACATATCTTAAAATGTTAAACAATCATGATTTTTTTTTTTGTTGCTTGGTTGGTTTGTTGGTTGGTTGGTCATGGGGCTTGAATTCTGGGCCTGGGCACTGTCCCTCAGCTCTTCAGCTCAAGGGTAGCACTCTACCACTTGGCCATAGTGCCACTTCTGGGTTTTTGGTGGTTAATTGGAGATAAGAGTCTCATGACTTTCCTGCCAACGCTGTCTTGGAACCGTGGCCCTCAGATCTCAGCCTCCTGAGTAGCCAGGATTACATGAGTGAGCAACCTGTGCCCAGCCAATTTTTTTTTTTTTTAATGGAGTCTCACTGTTTAGCACAAACGGGTCTCAAACTGACAGTCCTTGTCTCTACTTCCCAGGTACTGAGATTATAGGCAAATGCATGCCATCACACTCACTCAGCTAGTGCATTTTAAGAGGTTGTTAAGTTTGCTTATAGGGATTCAGATCTATGTCAGGGAGAATATCCCTGGTATGGTTTGTTTTGTTTTAAATACGTTTTCAGTACTGTATCAGTACCTATTTCTTTTTTTTTTTTTTTTTTTTTTGTCAGTCGTGGGGCTTGAACTCTGGGTCTGGGTGCTGTCCCTCAGCTCTTCAGCTCAAGGCGAGCGCTCTACCACTTGAGCTACAGCACCACTTCCGATTTTCTGGCGGTTTATTGGAGATAGGAGTCTCACGGTATCTCCTGCCCGGGCTGGCTTTGAACCGCAATCCTCAGCTCTCAGCCTCCTGAGTAGCTAGGATTACAGGCGTGAGCCACCAGCGCCCGGCCAGTACCTATTTCTTTAGTTGGTAAAAGGCTTTCTGAATTTGAGTAAAAGTCCTCCTTTGTGAATAATGTCTGTCCACAAGGCCATATTCTTTTTTTTTTTTTTTTTTTTTTGGTCGGTCGTGGGGCTTGAACTCTGGGGCTGGGCACTGTCCCTCAGCTCTTCAGCTCAAGGCTAGTGCTCTACCACTTGAGCTACAGCGCCACTTCCAGTTTTCTGGTGGTTTATTGGAGATAAGAGTTTCATGGACTTTCCTGCCCAGGCTAGCTTTGAACTGTGATCCTCAGATCTCAGCCACCAGTGCCCAGTGAACAAGGCCATATTCTTAAGTATTAACAGTAGCTATCTCTGTGAGTGTCAGCTTACTTGATTGATTTTGAATCATTTTGTGTAAGTTTAAAGTTAAATACCTTCTTTTCCTTGGCTGTTAGCATTGTGGCTTGTTGTAGTTTGCAGTCTGTTCAGCTCATTGATCTCAGTCATAGTACCTCTCCACCTGCTAATGAGTCTGTGCACCTTCAAATGCCACCTGCTGAATGCTGATGGTTTACATAGCCATAATTATCCTGAGTGCTTGTTCTCATCTTCTAGGAAGTAGAGTCTGGTTACTGCTCTCTCCAGAGAGAAAGCCAAGCCCTGCTGGTGATAGGGCTGCTGAGCCACACCCTTCAACTTCTTCCTTAGACCTGGAGAATTGAAGAATAAACCAGATCTTAATGTCTACAAATCTAAATGGATTTGCCTTTCTGGATTTTCATTGGGTTGCTTGATAATTGGTTTTTAATTCTTGGAAAGAAATTTAAGCCCATCATCATTTATGCCTACTAATTTTAATTTCTGTCATTGAGGTTTCATTTTGTTTTGTTTTTGAGAAGTATATTGTTTATCTTCTTCTGTGGTTCAGTCTGTCCTCCACCTTGTGATTCTCTTACCTCAACCTCCCAAATGCTGGGATTATAGGCCTGTACCACCATACCTAGCTCATTTCAGTTTTAAAGCATAATTTAATTCACTTACAAATAGTTTAGCCTAAATACATCAATAGTGTAAATTTGTAAATTTTTGCTGTGGTACCCTTTGAATGAAGCACAGTAAGGAGATATCCCTCATGTTTTTATAAAAAGTTTAGTGTAGGGGCTGGGAAGGTGGCTCAGTGGTAGAGCGCTTGCCTTGCATGCATGAGGCCCTGGGTTCGATTCCTCAGCACCACATAAGCAGAAAAAAGCCAGAAGTGGCGCTATGGCTCAAGTGGTAGAGTGCTAGCCTTGAGCTGAAGAGCTGAGGGACAGCGCCCAGGCCCAGAGTTCAAGCCCCATGACTGGCCAAAAAAAAAAAAAATTTTTTTTTCAAAAAAAAAAAGAAGTTTAGTGTATATCCAGTTAGGCCAAAAAACTCCTAAATTATAGCTACACATCAAGGTTTGGGATGTAACTTAAGTGCTTACCTGACATGTGTGAGACCCTGGGTTCCATTCTCAGCACTGAGGGAAATAATACTGTAAACCAACATTCAGGTAGCTGTCTGGCCAGTGGAAGAGATCCTTTTGAACAGTTATTTATTGCCTTGCAGCAGCTATAGTGATAGCCTGACTAGTTTTTCATCTATAGAAGCTATCAACAGATTGTGAAATGTATTATTTGAAACACGTATAAGCATAGCAGTATCTCATAGCCGGCTACATTGTTATGGTAAAAAGAGAAAAAAAGTAATTTTTATCTTTTCTTCATTCTGAAATTAGTGAAATGTACTTTGTCAGGTCCTTGTCTACTCCAGCCAAAGAGACTCTAGACAAGAATTTTAGATACAATACTTATGTGTTACATCTTCTTATTGTACTATATTAAATTCTACTTGTTTGCAAAGCTTTTCCTAGGAAATATTACTTCAGCCTCTAAACCCCACAAGTGAGAATCACATAGGGAGCAGTGAGTTGATTTAGAGTCAACATTAGGTAAACCATGATTTTCACCCTGTATACATAATGAGGAAAGCTGAAGGAAGTCCCTATCTGTTGGCCTCTATTACGTAGCATAAATTCTTAAAGTTGCAATATAGCTAAGAAATCACTATTCTTTGTGTGTGTTTTCTGAGCTGTGACTGTTCTGATCTTCAGAAGCTCATTATACTGACCTTTCCACATGGGAAGCAGTTCTTATAAGTTTCAGTGACTGCTATCGACCAACATACAGACAGGTGTTGCCAAATCTTTTCACTATTACTAATGAAAAGGCATTAAAAAAAAATTGGTAGCTTGAACTGGAAAGCCCTATGGCTCAAAGGTCAGCCAGAGTAAACAAGAACTCCTATAAAAAGCCATTTACATTCCCTTCATAGGAGATTTATGAGAGATCCTTCCAGGAAAAACTGACTGGGACTGAAAACTGTTTGGCCAGGATGTCCTGACTGGGCAGCATTCAGAACATGTGACCAGTGCATGATCCTAGAAGCCATTCACAAGGTCTTTGCTCTGTGATGCCTTGGCTTCTGCTTCCCTTCTTCTTTCAGCCCCATCATCTTTACCAAATACATCCTCACTTCACGCCCCAACTCTCTGGCTATTCAGGGTCACCCTCTGCAAACCATTAAAAAAATAAAAAGGTAGGTAGCATGCTTTTTCTTTTTTGGTTAGAGTAGTACAGGGCTTCAGTGTTATCTTTCATTCTTTCTCTTTCATTCAACAAGCTTTGGCGTCAGTTCATTATGGTGAGCACTGTTAGGGGATTTTAGTGCAGAGAAACGTCATTGGATCATTAAAAAAGAATAAAAGTAAGATCTAGGCATGTCTTTGCCGCGTGCTTGACTTTATAGACCCTTTTGCAGATAAGCCCCACACATACACAAAAACACAAAATGACATCTAATTCAACTAAGACCCTGAGTGAGACTCCTTTTCAGCCCCTAGAGGGCACCCAAGCCACCACTGTTGGCCTTCTGGGATTTTGATTCTTCTGTTCGATCAGGTCTCAAAACATTAACTTGGCATTATCAATAAGTAAACTTGTCAGCAATTTGATTTAGATGTTTTTGTTTATAAATAACCTCAACGGGCCAGGCGCCATTGGCTCATGCCTGTAATCACCTACTCAGGAGGCTGAGATCTGAGGATTGCGGTTCAAAGTCAACCCTGGGCAGGAGAGTCTGTGAGACTCTTATCTCCAATTAACCAACAGAAAACTGGAAGTGGCCCTGTGGCTCAAGTGGTAGAGCACTAGCCTTGTGCTGAAGAGCTGAGGGACAGAACCCAGGCCCAGAGTTCAAGCCCCACGCTGACCAAAAATAAATAGCCTCAACAGCATAATTGGGAATGGAATCTAACTTCTTTTGTTTCAACAACCCAAAATTTTTATTTTTTATTTTTATTTTTGCCAGTCTTAGAACTTGAACTCAGAGCCTGGGCACTGACCTTGAGCCTCCTTGGGCTCAAGGCTAGCACTCTACCGCTTGAGCACAGTGCCACTTCCGGCTTTTTCTGCGCATGTGGTGCTGAGGAATCAAACCTGGAGCTTCATGCATGTTAGGCAAGCACTCTACCACTAAGCCACATTTCTAGCCCCCAAGATTATTTCTGTAATCCTTATTTTCCATGACAATATAACACTATATTGATGCAGCCAGACTTTGTATACCATACATTGCATCGGAAGGCACTTTTTCAGTGTACAGTTGGTACTGTTTCTACAAGCTTTCTGTGGTATTTTTCTCTATATGTTCCTTATTTAGGTAGTTGCCATATATCTAGCAACTAAATTCCTTAGCTCAAACTGCAGCCTTTCTGGCTCACCACTTTATTTTGTAGTCTCTGTCTCCATTCTATACCTGTTTCCTTTCTCCCACTCACACCCTGTTCTAGGAGTTCCAAAATTGCAACCAAAAAAAAAAAATCCTAGCTATTGGTCACCCTTATCAGATACATGAAAATCATATCTCCAATTAAAGTATCAAAAAAGCCAGAAATGGAGCTGTGGCTCAAGTGGTATAGTGCCAGCCTTGAACAAAAAAGCTCAGTGAGGGCCTGGAAAGGTGGCTCAGTGGTAGAGCGCTTGCCTTGCATGCGTGAGGCCCTGGGTTCCATTCCTCAGCACCACATAAGCAAAAAAAAAAAAAAAAAGCCGGAAGGGGCACTGTGGCTCAAGTGGTAGAGCACTAGCCTTGAGCTGAAGAGCTGAGGTCCAGTTCCCAGGCCCAGAGTTCAGGCCCCATGACCGGACCCCCAAAAAAAAAAAGAAAAGCTCAGTGGCAGCTCCCACCCCTAAATTCAAGCCCCCCCCTCCAAAAAAAAAGCTTAGTTTTTGTTTTTGTTTTTTGTTGGTTATGGGGCCTGAACTCTGGGCCTGAGCACTGTCCCTCAGCTCTTCAGCTCAAGGCTAACGATCTACCACTTAAACCACAGCGCCACTTCCGGTTTTTTCTTTTTATGTGGTGCTTAGGAATTGAATCCAGAGCCTCATGCATGCAAGGCAAGCACTCTACCACTGAGCCACCTTCCCAGCCCCAAAAGCTTAGTTATTATTTGACAATTTGTGGTTAAATATTCCATGAACCTGTGAGGTTCTGTGTTTATAAACTAATAGATACCTTTCAACAGTCTGGTTTATCATGTGTGATTTAGTTTTTTAAAAATCTTATAAATTATTAAAATTCTGAAATATTCAAAGATTAAAGAACAAAAAAGAAAATAACACAAAGTAAAATTGAAGGTGAAACTAGTAGAACTTTCTTGGGAGTACAAAATTTTTGGAATCACGCCTGGGAAGGTGGCTCAGTGGTAGAGCGCTTGCTTTGCATGCCTGAGGCCCTGGGTTCGATTCCTCAGCACCACATAAGCAAAAAGAAAAAAGCTGGAAGTGGTGCTGTGGCTCAAGTGGTAGAGCGCTAGCCTTGAGCTGAAGAGCTGAGGGACAGCGCCCAGGCCCAGAGTTCAGGCCCTACAACCGGACCCAAAAAAAAAACCAAAACAAAAACAAAATTTTTGGAATCATGACCTGTAAGGGGCCTCCTAGCTACTGTTATCTCTTCCTACCTCTAGGAAAGTTATTTTATTGAATGTAGATAATGGGCACATTTTTATCAGGACCTACCAAGCATAGTAACTAACCAGGATGCTTATTTCAGAATAAATAGTTCCTTCACTAATACTCATGTTGACATTGACATGTCATCATTTAGTCATTTCAACTATTTGTAGCATCCTGATTTTATAGCAGTCAAGTGACTACCCAGGAAGAACAGCCTAAAGAGATGAGAACTTCCTGATGCCAGTGCATTCATTTGTTTTAGAATAGAATTCATTTATCTGGGCGCCGGTGGCTCACACCTGTAATCCTAGCTACTCAGGAAGCCGAGATCTGAGGATCTCGGTTCAAAGCCAACCTGGGCAGGAAAGACCTTGAGACTCCTATCTCCAATAAACTACTAGAAAACCAGAAGTGGCACTGTGGCTCAAGTGGTAGAGCGCTAGCCTTGAGCTGAAGAGCTGAGGGACAGCTCCCAGGCCCAGAGTTCAAACCCCACGACCGACCAAAAAAAAAATAGAATTCATTTGACATCGTAATTTAGTATCCTTGTACCGTATCTAAAACTTCACAGAATGGTAGATTAGAAGATCAAATTTCCATCATTTTCATTTAGCAACACAGTGCCTTTGTATAATGTCTCAAGAGGATATGAATCACACCTCATAACACTCTTTAGCCTTAGACCTCCTATTCAGAGATTCCACTCTTTTGGAATATTCATTTTTTCTTTTGAAAATATTTTTTTAGGGCTGGGAAGGTGGCTCAGTGGTACAGCGCTTGCCTTGCATGCCTGAGGCCCTGGGTTCGATTCCTCAGCACCACATGAGCAAAAAGAAAAAAGCCAGAAGTGGCACTGTGGCTCAAGTGGTAGAGCGCTAGCCTTGAGCTGAAGAGCTGAGGGACAGTGCCCAGGCCCAGAGTTCAGGCCCCATGACTGGACCCAAAAAAAAAAAAAAGAAAGAAAGAAAATATATTTTTTAACGTTTTACCCTGTCCTTCCTTTTTTCTACAGGAATGACATCTTTGTGTTCCTGTTAAGCACACGAGCCGGAGGACTGGGCATCAATCTCACGGCTGCAGATACAGTAAGTAATGAATGAGAACACTAGACACAAAATAAGTAGATTTTTTTTGCTTTAAGCAGGGCATTCATGCAGACTTTTAGATTTCCTTTCCAATGTTGTTTATCTATTCTCTTTGAATAAGTTTCTTACATATTAATTAAACAACTGTATAATAAATACCTACTGTTGGTCAGATACCATCGTAAGCAATTGGAATTTATCCATGCAAATAAACAGACTAGAAAAAAAATTAGGCAATTCAATTAGATTTGTTTTAGGAACTGCATTTGAGAAACTCAGAAAGAATTGTTTCAGCCGGGCACTGGTGGCTCACGCCTGTAATCCTAGCTACTCAGGAGGCTGAGATCTGAGGATCACTGTTCAAACCCAGCCCCAGCAGGAAAGTCCATGAGACTCTTTATCTCCAATAAATCACTGGAAAACCGGAAGAGGCTCTGTGGCTCAAGTGATAGTGCTTGCCTTGAGTTGAAGAGCTGAGGGACAGCGCCCAAGCCCTGAGTTCAAGCCCCACGACCAACCAAAAACAAAAAAAAAGAATTGTTTCATTACTCTTGTACATTATTTCATTTCTGGAAAAACTTACATCTTTGTATCCAAAATTCTAAGAAATAGTTGCACAGCAGTGAAATTGTTAGCTTAAAAAGCAAAATAAACCAGGTAGGCACCTATGTTTCAGGCCTGTAATCGTAGCTGCTCAGGAGATCTAAGATCTGAGATCTAAAGCCCAGGAAAACATTTCACAAGACCTTTATCTCCAGTTAACAAGCAAAAAGCTAGAAGTAGAGGTATGATTCAAGTGGTAGAGTGTCAGCCTTGAACAAAAAAGCCAAGCAAGATCAGGAGGTGTGAGTTTACGCCTCAGTATCAGTGCCAACAAAAGTGAAAAAGAAGAAGAAGAAGAAAATCCCTCATCAGAGCATTTTCTTTTCTTTTTTTCCTTTTTTTTTTAATTCTTTGTTGGCCATAGGGCCTGAACCCTGGGCCTGGGCGCTGTCCCTCAGCTCTTCAGCTCAAGGCTAGTGCTCTACCACTTGAGCCACATCACTACTTCTGGCTTTTTCTGCTTATGTGATGCTGAGGAATCAAACTCAGGGCCCCATGCATGCAAGGCAAGCACTCTACCATGAGCCACCTTCCCAGCCTGAGCGTTTTGTTTTATTTGTAAAATAAAGTGTAAGCTCATTTGCCAAATGAATTTCCTTTCCACAATTTACATATACTACATCACAAACAAGTATTTGCTGGGCACTGGTGGCTCACATCTGTAAGCCTAGCTGCTCAGGAGCCTGAGGATTTGAGGATCATGGTTCAAAGCCAGCCCATGCAGGAAAGGCCCTGAGAGTCTTTTCTCCAACTAACCCACAGAAAACCAGAAGTAGACCCATGGCTCAAAGTAGTAGAGCACTAACCTTGAGCAAAAAGAGCTCAGGGACAGTGCCCAGGCCCTGAATTCAAGCTCCACAACTGACCCTAAAAAAAACGCACAAAACACACACATTAAGTATTGTCCTCCTCTGAGCCACTTCTTTCAGTTTGTTTTTCAAAACCCCATTAGAGGTCTGGATGTAAGTTGCTCATGCCTGTCATCCTAGCTACTCAGGAGTCATGGTGCAGAACCAACCTGCACAAAACATCTAGGCGATCCTTCTCAGCAAATAAAACTAGGTGTGGGTGTACATCCGTCATCAGAGCTACATGGGAAGCATAACTAGGATTGTATTCCACCCAGTCATAAATGTAAGACCCTATTGTGGGGAGAGAATTCAGATCTCACTTTCCTTTCCAGGCCTCTCCTCCTACACAAGACAGTCACATATTATTAGTAATCATTTGTGCACACACTAGACTTTCATCTCATTGGTAAAGGAAGCTCTATTGCAAGTGCTCTATTGCAAGGCACTGTTTCGAGCATTAGTTAATTAACATGAACTAAAATGAAAGTACGACCAAGCACCTGGTGGCTCACACATGTAATCCTAGCTCAGAAGGCTATCCTTGAGCAAAAGAGCTCAGAGACAGCACCCAGGCCTTGAATTCAAGCCCCATGACCGACCAAAAAAAAAAAAAGATTAGGAGGCTAAGATCTGAGGATTGCAGTTCAAAGCCAGCCCAGGCAAGGAAAGTCCATGAGACTCCTATCTCTAATTAATCATCAGAAAACCAGAAGTGGCACTGAGGCTCCAGTGGTAGAGCGCTAGCCTTGAGCTGTAGAGATGAGGGACAGTGCCTAGGCCCAGAGTTCAAGCCCACTACCGACCCAAAAAAAAAAAAAAAAAAGACTAGCTAGGCATTGGTGGCTTACACCTATATTCTTAACCACCAGAAAACCAGAAGGGGCACTGTGGCTCAGAGTGGTAGAGTGCAAGCCTGGAGCAAAAAAACTCAGAGACAGGTGCCAGGCCCTCAGTTCAAGCACCATGACCAACAACAACAAAAAAAGTTCTTTTCTGTCCTCATAATTACTGGAGGCTACATTTCTATTAAGGGTCAGAAAGGTAAATAAAATTTAAAGAATTAATATATGAAGGAAAATATTACCACATGGTATATGACCAGGTTTTCTGTTTTATATGGATTGATAAGGCCTCTTGTGATAAGGTAACATTTAAGCCAAGATCTGGAAAGTGAGGATGCAAGCCCAAGTGTCTGTCTGGCAGAAGAGCAATCCCGGCAGAGGAGATAAGTGTGAAAGCCCTGGGGTGAGAACGTGCTTGGCATAATAATGCAACAGCAAAAAGCACATACTAGCTAGAATTCAGAACCAAACAGTAATGAGACAGTGGTAAGAGGTGCTGCAGAAATAGATATTTCTGGCTTCACAGGCCACAGTAAGGACTTTGAGAGAGGATTTAAGGAGTAATATGAGCTAGCTTGAGGTGGAGATGTGGTTGGTGGGTTTGGAATTTTTGTTTGTTTGTTTTTTATTTGGCTTGAGTTTTTGTTCTATGTTGCTCAGACTGGTCTCAGACTCCTGGGCTGGAGCTACAGTCAAGGACTTCCATGCTCAGCTTGGCTTGGGTTTGAAGTACAGCCCTCTAGATTCTGTTGGGGGCTCAGAGAGACAGATAGGAACACATGGGAAGAAAGGTAAAAGTGGGGAAGTCAGACGTCTCAGACCTTCAGTTAGCAATATCACCTAGGCGCAGGTCAGAGAAAGAATTAACACTGATGGGATCAGTCTTTTGAAATACAGGTCATAGATAATATTTACAACTCTGAAGCTGAATGAGCTCACTTGACAGCCAGAGAGATGCAATTAGAATCATGCCAAACTAAGCCAGGAATAGTGGGATATGACTGTAGTAGTCACAGCACTTGGGAGATTGAGGCAGGAAGATTCTTAAACCCAGGAATTTGAGACTAACGTGAACTGTACACAGGGAGATCCTGTCGCGAAAAAGGAGAAGGGAAGTCAGACACCAGTGGCTTATGCTTGTAATCCTGGCTACTTTGGAGGCTGAGATCTGAGGATCTAGGTGTAAAGCCAGCCCAAGCAGGAAAGTCTGTGAGACCCCTACCTCCAAGTAACCAGCAGAACTCCAGATGTGGGGCTGTAATCCAAGTAGTAGAATGCTAACTTAAGCAAAAAACTCAGAGACAGCGTTCATTCCCTGAGTTCAAGCCCCAGCACTGGGACAAAAAAAGTGGGGAAGGAGGGAAGATCCAGCATAAATTCATTTTCTTGAAATGTATTTCTCTTCCTGCTTTCCTATCTCAGATTTAGTCTGTTTTCTTTAAGGAACAAAACAGGAGCTGGGAATGTGGCTCAGTAGTAGAGTGCTTGCCTTGCATGCATGAAGCCCTGGGTTCAATTCCTTAGAACCATATACACAGAAAAGGCTGGAAATGGCACTGTGGCTCAAGTGGTGGAGCACTAGCCTTGAGCAAAAGAAGCTCAGGGACAATGCCCAGGCACTGAGTTCAAGCTCCATGACTGGCAATAAATAAATAATAAAACAAAACATCCTTTAGAATTATTGCAAGCTCCATGACTGGCAATAAATAAATAATAAAACAAAACATCCTTTAGAATTATTGATTTGGTTAAAAAAAAAAAAACAGATTTGAAGAGGGAGGTCTGCACCATGCTGCCAAGATTCCTACAATTTGCCATGTGGAATAGGGAATGGCCAGCTACAAAGAGGGAAAGCAGGCCTTAGACCCCAGCTCATAACTAGATGAATTGGAGCTCAGAATGGTTTGTTTGTTTGTTTTTTTAATATAAAGCTATCGATAAAGGCTCTGAATGCTCGATTTCTAAATTCCAAAATAATTTACATTTTAATTTCAGAAGAGGGATCTTAGAATTCACTTGCAAATTAGAAACTTCTAGAATATTGATTAGAAAAACAGAACCACATAATTAAAATTTTTATTTTGTGTGAACTCAGGTTATGCTGTGTGTCCATGTATGATAGAGAAACAATAGATTTAATGGCTTTATGTGGCATTTTCCCACAGCCTTATGAATTATTTAGCTTTGGGAGACCCCTAGAACCATTTATGGTCAAGGGAAAAGTCAGGAAAACCCTCTTGATTGAGAATGCCTATTTAAACATGTATTTTTAAATAGTGGGAATCTGTTTGGCCCAGTTGGTTAGTGAAATCTTACTTTTCCTTTTGTATTTATTCGTGTATTCTCTCTCTCTCTCTCTCGGTACTCATTTCATCAGGTATGTTCCTTGTGTGTCCTTCCTGGGGTAGGGCTATGCTTTGCATTTGACCTCTTTTAGTGAGGGGTTGTTATAATAAACTTCCCTTATTTGTTTTTCTTTCTTTGACCTGTTTCAAATACTTATGTGTTGAGAGAAGAAGGAGTATTGTTCCTTTAGTATACAACGAGAAGTCCTATGTCCCCTGGGCCAGTTTTTAGCCCTTCCTAGGGAGTAAACTTACACATATTCTCTTGGGTGAAAAAGCTGGATGCCCTACCTTTTTCCAGTTCTTCTTGTAGAAGTTTTCCCATTTTTCACTTCACTCCTTCATCTCCTGAAGCCTCTTCCCACTGACTTTATGTATATAGCTTCTGCACCCCAACCCAGTCCTCACCTTCTTCCCAAATGCCTGTCCAGCCTGGTGTCTACAGCTTCGTGACATTACTTCCCCTAGTCATTGATGCATCCTTGTGGACTGACTTGCTTTAATCTTTTCTGGCTGAGGCAGTTGTTTATAGTCCTCTAATTTTTACCTGTTTTTCTCTAAGAGTGTTTCACTGTCTCCCAGCACTTCCCCCACCCCAACCCCGATTTTGCATCATGGGTTGATCCAGTGTTCACTTATTTAGTTGTTAGACTAGAAGAATAAATTGGCACTAAATTTATGGGGAAAAGGGGTTGAAGTTAAATTGTAATCCCCATTGCCTTTAATCTTCATACTGGTTGTAAACCCCAAAAAACGAAGTTGAAGCTGGGTACTGGTGGCTCATGCCTATCATCCTAGCTACTCAGGAGGCTGAGATTTGAGGATCGCGGTTCAAAGCCAGCCCGGGCAGGAAAGTCCGTGAGACTTTTTTTTTTTTTTTTGTCAGTTGCAGGGCTTGAACTCTGGGCCTGGGCACTGTCCCTCAGCTCTTCAGCTCAAGGCAAGCGGTCTACCACTTGAGCCACAGTGCCACTTCCGGTTTTCTGGTGGTTTATTGAAGATAAATGTTCCATGGACTTTCCTGCCCAGGCTGGCTTTGAACCAAGATCCTCAGATCTCAGCCTCCTGAGTGGCTAGGATTACAGTCATGACCCACCAGCACCTGGCTCCATGACTCATCTCCAATTAATCATTGGAAAACCAGAAGTGGCGCTGTGGCTCAAGCGGTAGAGTGTTTACCTTGAGCTGAAGAGCTAACGGATAGCACCCAAGTCCAGAGTTCAAGCCCCATGACCAACCAAAAAAAATCCAGCAAGCTATAGGTTTTAGAATTATTTGGTGGTGGTTACATTTTGTAGTTTTTTGGGGGAAGGGTTGTTTTGTTTCTGTTGTTCGGAAAACTAGAAGTAGCTCTCATTGATACATTCCATCCTTGGAATTCAGGGGACAGGAAATGACCCTATTAGAGGCAAGCCAGAAGTTGCCAGAAAAGTACCTGTTTCTTTCCAAGGCATCCCCAATGCATAGGAAATGCTTCCTAATCCCCTCTTACCCAAGCCCACCACTTAGACTGTTAACTATTAATATCACTGCTTTTCTTCCCAAACTCCTGGGTACAAATCATCCTCCTTCCTGAGCCTCCCAAGTGGAGGCTGCTGGCACACCTCAGTCATGCCTGGCTTATTGCTTCTTTTTAAACAAAAAGTAAAGAGACAAGAAGAGTGTCTGTTTTACCGGAGCAACTGAAAGAAAAGCTTGATCTACTAAGAAGACATATCTTCTCATCCTAAATCTCTCCCTGATAACATAAACCATTATGAGCAGATGAGTGACTACATTGCTCTCAGAATTTCTGGTCCTGCCCTGAGAGTACTCCAGCTTTTGCTGTGTTCTCACCTTGCCTGTGTAGGTGATTTTCTATGACAGCGACTGGAACCCCACTGTAGATCAGCAGGCCATGGACAGGGCCCATCGCCTGGGACAGACAAAGCAAGTTACCGTGTACCGGCTCATCTGTAAAGGCACAATTGAGGAGCGCATTTTACAGAGAGCCAAGGAGAAGAGTGAGGTAACTACAGGGGTAAAGGGGGAAGGATGACTATTCAGAAACCACCGTGTTGATTAAACCGACTCTCTTTCATTATTCTTGGAGAAGATAAAATTCTTCTGCATGGAAAATCAGGACCTATGCAATAGCCATTTCATGTCAGCCTAACACCAGTAATGGCCCCCTGTGACCCATTCACATTCAGAGGAAGGAGGGCTAACATCTTTGCTTTCTCCTTCTAGTACTCTCAGTTTGCCTGCCTCCAAGTTGTACGACTTGCCAAAGAAATGATATATTTTGATTTTTTTTTTCTGTGTTTGCCTTGTTGGTTTTCTTGCTGTCAACAGTCCCAAACAAAGAAATTATCATTGTTCTTTGTGTGGGGCAAATAATCTGGAACAACCAGTCAGATGAACAAGAAAGAAATAGGGGAGCCAGAGGCCTCTCCTGAGGAGCAGGTGGAAAAGGGGTCTACGTATTTCTGAATCCTGGACATCCTGTGAGGGAATGGATACCTGGAGGTGACTTTTTTATCTTCCTTTTGTAGATTCAGCGGATGGTGATTTCCGGTGGTAATTTCAAACCAGATACCTTGAAACCCAAAGAGGTGGTTAGCCTTCTTCTAGATGACGAGGAGTTAGAAAAGAAACGTATGTACTCTAGATACTCCATACCCTCTCCTCCCAGCCCCAAACATCTGAGAATAAAAGGAGCATTGTGTTAGCCAGGCACTGGTGGCTCACACCTGTAATCCCAGCTACTCAGCAGGATGCTGAGAGCTGAGGATTGCAGTACAGAGCCAGCCCAGGCAGGAAAGCCCATGAGACTCTTTATCTCCAATTAACCCAGAAAACCAGAAGTGATGGTATGGCGTAAAGCGGTAGAGTGCTAGCCTTGAGCAAAAGAGTTCACAGAACAGTTCCCAGGCCCTGAATTCAAGCCCCATGACCAACCAAAAAAAAAAAAAAAAAGGAGTTGAGTGCCGGTGGCTCATACCTGTAATCCTAGCTACTCAGGAGGCTGAGATCTGAGGATTGCAAAAAAAGATTGAAAACCAAAAAAAAAACGGTTCAAAGCCAGTTGCTTACACCTGTAATTCTAGCTATTCAGGTGGCTACATCTTGCCGGCCCAGGCAAGAAAGTCCATTCCAGTTAACAGCAAACAAAAGCCAGACATGGAGCTGTGTCTCTAGTGGTGGACCACTAAGCTTGAGCAAAAGAGCTCAGGGATAGCACTCAGGCCCAGAGTTTACGACCCAGTACTGGCACAAAAAATAAGAAAGGGTCAAGGTGGAGACAACACAATGAAAGGCCTATAATAATTACATGGAAAGGAATCATAGTTTGGATCCACATGCTACTGAGAATCTAAACAGTGCTCTTTCTTTGAGCTAGGAAAACATCACTTACCTGCCTTAACCAGATTGAACTTACAACTTATAAACGTCGGAAGATAGCACCCCCTTGGTCTCAGGAGGTTATGACTATTTCTTTTTTTCTTTTTTTTAATTTCCTTGTTAGTGAGATTGCGACAGGAAGAGAAACGGCAACAGGAAGAAACCAATCGAGTGAAAGAACGCAAGCGCAAACGGGAAAAATATGCAGAGAAGGTATCTTCATTTGGGTGTGGATAGGGGCAGGGAGGCCTTGGAGCTCACAGAATGGCTTCAGGATGTGAGGCTTGCATCTCCTTTTGAGTGTGATTCCAAGCAGTTCTGGGCAGCTGAACACTTAATCAGAAGAGTTACAGTCTTGCTAGAGCTATATTACTCTCACAGACTCACCCTGTTAATAGTCATAGTTTGATCATGGAAACCACCTGTCAGTGCCAAATGATGGTTGTAAACTGCAAGTATTATCAGAACCCATAGACTCTTTAAAAAAGGGTCTGTATGTCTTTGACCATCAGCCTTTGATTTGATGGCCAGCAGCCTAGGAACCTGTGAATGTGCCAATTTTTCCTGTTGTAAAATACATATCCTCAGTTGGATCTGTTCTGAGCAGAGATTTTTTTAGCCTGAAAGATGCCCCTGATGCTCATTTGGTTTTACAAAGTTGAAAAATCCATATAAAGTAAAAGATGAAAATTCTACTAGTCTGGGCTTCCCATATCTACCTCTTCCCTGGGCCTCTACACTCCCAAATATCTAACCTGTTATTTTGTAGTATTTAAAGTAAAAAAAAAAAAAAAAGCTAGGCACTGGTGGCTCCACGCCTGTAATCCTAGCTACTAAGGAGGCTGAGATCTGTGGATTGCAGTTCAAGGCCAGCCTGGGCAGGAAAGGCCACAAGACTCTTTTCTCCAGTAAACCACCAGAACCAGAAGTGGTACTGGCTAGAGCACTAGCCTTGAGCTGAAGAGCTCAGGGACAGCACCCAGGCCCAGAGTTCAAGCCCCACAACTGACAAAAAAAAAAGTAGTTGAGAGGGGCTGGGAAGGTAGCCCAGGGAGAGTGCTTGCCTAGCATGCATGAAACCCTGGCTTCATTCCTCAGCACCACATGAACAGAAAAGGCCAGAAGTGGCACTGTGGCTCAAGTGGTAGAGTGCTAGCCTGGAGCAAAAGAAACTCAGGGACAGGGCTGGGAATCTGGCTCAGTGGTAGAGTGCTTGCCTTGCATGCATGAGGCCCTGGGTTTGATTCCTCAACATCACATAAGCAGAAAAAGCTGGAAGTGGTGCTGTGGCTCAAGTGGTAGAGTGCTAGCCTAGTCTTGAACTGAAGAGCTGAGGGACAGTGCCCAGGCCCAGAATTTAAGCCCCATGACCAACAAGAAAGAAACAAACTCCCTCACTCAGGGACCATGTCCAAGCCAAGTTCAAGCCCCAAGATTGGCAAAAAAAGATTTTTTTTTAATGAGACATTTTAAAAAATCTTCAAGTACTACAAACGAGTTGCTGTTCACCAAAGAAGTTTATTAATACAGCACATCTTTAGGAATAAGGCAAAGGGGTTCTGGGGGTTGGGCACTGTCCCTGACCTTTCTTTGCTCAAGGTTAGCACTCTGCCACTTGAGCCACGGCCCCACATTCAACTTTTTTGTTGCATATTAAAGAAAGGGTCTCATGAACTTTCTTGCTCAGGATGTCTTTGAACTGTGATCCTCAGATCTCAGTCTCCTGAGTAGCTAGGATTGCAGGCGTGAGCCACCGGCGCCCGGCTGCAATGCATCTTTACCAACCACGTTCAACATTCTCACCTATCCCAGGATATTTATACAGAATAAAACTTGTTATCATGTTCTTACACCATTTTTCTCCTGAGCCATATCCTCATGGTTTTCTGCACATCTTAACCTTTGTGTTTCTAGAAGAAAAAGGAAGATGAATTAGATGGGAAAAGGAGAAAAGAAGGTGTAAACCTGGTGATCCCATTTGTTCCTTCGGCGGATAACTCCAACCTCTCTGCTGATGGGGATGACTCCTTCATAAGCGTGGACTCAGCCATGCCCAGCCCTTTCAGTGAGGTGAGGCAAGACCTCTGGATGCTTTCACACAACGGAGTGACTGCGTCCAAGGGTAGCACACAGTGTTTATAAAGAGAAACGCAGATGGGGACAGGCTGGCACTCAGAAGCCGGAGGGGAATCTGAGTCTCAGCACTGAAGACAGTCAGATGGCAGCAATTCGGGCAAGCCCCATGAAACTCATTCCTACTCAGGTACAAGGGCTGCAGGCGCTGAGATTACTAGTGATCTCACCCTTTTCTACTTCTAGATTTCCATCAGCAGTGAGCTGCACACAGGCTCCATCCCCCCTGATGAGAGCAGCAGTGACATGCTGGTCATTGTGGATGACCCAGCCTCCTCAGCCCCTCAGTCCCGAGCCACCAATTCTCCTGCTTCCATAACAGGCTCTGTCTCAGACACTGTGAATGGTAAGTGATGCTGCTGGCTCATCTGGTGTAGGCCCGCCCCCTTACTCAGGGAAAGCATTGGTTATGTGATGGGTGAGAGATCCTGGTACCTTTTAGGATATAGGCATTTTCTCCTTTGAAGAAGAAAAGGAGCAATAGGGAGAGCTTACAGGCATATTGTTTCAGTAATCTTACCGAGTAAAAGGAAGAGAGAGGTTTTAGGGAATGTTTGGAGGCTGCTACTGAGGCTTTGAACTTTGTGTCTCATACTTTTTTTTTTTTTTGTCAGTCGTGGGGCCTGAACTCTGGGCCTGGGCGCTGTCCCTCAGCTCTTCAGCTCAAGGCAAGCGCTCTACCTCTTGAGCCACAGCGCCACTTCTGGCCTTTTCTGCTTAGGTGGTGCTGAGGAATCGAACCTAGGGCCTCATGCATGCAAGGCAAGCACTCTACCACTGAGCCACCTTCCCAGCCCCTGTGTCTCATATTGCTTGGCCTTTTCCATTCATTTGTGCCTCCAGTTCCAGCTTTCTGCTGATTAATTAAAGATAAAGGTCTCGCCGGGCGCTGGTGGCTCACGCCTGTAATCCTAGCTACTCAGGCTGAGATCTGAGGATCGCGGTTCAAAGCCAGCCCGAGCAGGAGAGACCATGAGACTCCTATCTCCAATAAACCACCAGAAAACCGGAAGTGGCACTATAGCTCAAGTGGTAGAGTGCTCGCCTTGAGCTGAAGAGCTGAGGGACAGCGCCCAGGCCCAGAGTTCAAGCCCCACGACCAACAAAAAAAAAAAAAAGATAAAGGTCTCATGAATTTGTCTGAACCAATTCTCATATCTCAGCCTCCTTAGTAGCTTAGATTACAGGTGTGAGCCACCTACACTGACTGAGTACTTTGGGTAGTTTTTGTGTTTGTTTTTTGTCCGTTGTGGGGCCTGGACTCTGGGCCTGGGTGCTGTTCCTCAGCTCTTCAGCTCAAGGTGAGTGCTCTACTACTTGTGCTATATTGCCACTTCCAGTTTTCTGGTGGTTTATTGGAGATAAGAGTTTCATGGACTTTTCCTGCCTGGGCTGGCTTTGAACCGCGATCCTCAGATCTCAGCCTCCTGAGTAGCTAGGATGACAGGCATGAGCCACCGGCTCCCGGCAATGGTACTTTTTTTTTTTTTTTGGTCGGCCATGGGGCTTGAACTCTGGGCCTGGGTGCTGTCCCTCAGCTCTTCAGCTCAAGGCAGGCGCTCTACCACTTGAGCCACAGTGCCACTTCCGGTTTTCTGGTGGTTTATTGGAGATAGGAGTCTCACGGTCTCTCCTGCCTGGGCTGGCTTTGAACCGCGATCCTCAAATCTCAGCCTCCTGAGTAGCTAGGATTACAGGCATGAGCCACCAGCGCCCGGCTCAATGGTACTTTTTAATGAAAGCTTTCCTGGACATTTTCTGTTATTCTTGGAAACTCAATGTTGCTGCTATTGTTGGGAAACTAAAGAAGTAGAACTGGAATATATTAAAAATGTATGAAAATGTAACATATAACTAATGTGAGTTAGTAAGAGGAGGAAGAGAGCTGGAGTTGTAACTCAGAGCTATAACATCTATTTTAGCATTTCATAGTCCTTAGATTAGGACCAGGAAAAGGTGTTTGTTGGAAGTAAAAGTGGACTCTCTGAGACAGAAGTATATTTCTTTTTTTTGGGGGGGGGGGTGGGGGTCCGGTTGTGGGACCTGAACTCTGGGCCTGGGCGCTGTCCCTCAGCTCATCAGCTCAAGGCTAGCGCTCTACCACTTGAGCCACAGTGCCACTTCTGGCTTTTTTTCATTTTGCTTATGTGCTGCTGAGGAATCAAACCCAGGGCCTCATGCATGCAAGGCAAGAGCTCTATCACTGAGCCACCTTCCTAGCCCCAGAAGTATATTTCTTTATGTGGGAGAATTCTAGGTATCAAGTCCCTGGGGTTCTTTTAGTGTGATGGGCTAATGTAAGAAGATATCCAGGGGTATTGGAACCCTTCCTCAGAAGGAAGGCATCCGGCAAAGTCCAGCTGTTAGTTGTTTAGGACTTGTAGTGATTCTGTGTGTGATGCAGTGGTCTGCCCATGGTCTGCCAGGTGGCTCCATGAAGCCAGGTTTGCTGGTGCAGACCTATGGTCTTGACCCTTTATAGGCTGACAGTGGGAGGACTGCTCAAGCTCAGGAGTTCAAGACCAGCCTGGACAACCTAGAAGACTGTCTCCAGAGATAGATATGTACATAATCTAAGTGCCAGCTTTCCCTTTCAAGGAAAGATTCTGCTAACCTTTTGAGATTAATTTTTTTCCCCTTTTGGCCATTTGTTCCCATAGGAATTTCTATTCAGGAAATGCCAGCTGCAGGACGTGGTCACTCAGCTCGAAGCCGAGGCCGCCCCAAAGGTTCAGGAAGCACAGCCAAAGGAGCGGGGAAGGGCCGAAGCCGGAAGTCCACGGCGGGTAGTGCTGCTGCGATGGCAGGAGCCAAAGCAGGGGCTGCCGCAGCCTCCGCAGCTGCCTATGCCGCATATGGGTACAACGTGTCTAAAGGTGCGGATGCCAGGGTGGCTGCCGACTGTCAGGGACAGCCCGGAGACCTCCTGAGAGTGCTGTCAGGTAGAACATCTGAGAACCCCCTCCCCAGAGCCCAGCTTGGGGTTCTGCTTCCTTGTGTTGAGCAGCCTTGACTCCCCCTTGCCCTCCTGACTCAGTAGAGTGCCACCTTTGAAGTGCACATAGCTGTGATAAGACAGAATGAAGTTACAGCCTGACTTCTGAGATTCTCATTTCCATAAAGTTAACATTCATCCAGCTACACCATCCCTTCCCTTGCTTACTGAGCACCTGCTATGTGCATACGAGTAATAAGAGGACCCTGTTCTTGGTGTAATAGAGGAGGGCACTGGGTTTAACAGCAGAAGGCAGTCTACAGTGAAGTAAAAAGAGTGGAGGCCTATTTGTAGTTGTAAGTCAGAAGGGGAGAGACCATGGATCACTGACATGGATTGTAGGATTAATTCAGAAAGGAGAAGAAGGGCTGGGAATGTGGCTTAGTGATAGACTGCTTGCCTAGCATGCAGGAAGCCTTATGTTTGATTCCTCAGTACCACATAAACAGAAAATGCCAAAGTAGTGCTGTGGCTCAGGTGATAGACTGTTAGACATGAGCAAAAGAAGGTCGGGTAGTGCCCAGGCCCTGAGTTCAAGCCCCAGGACTGGAACAAGAAAAAAAAAAGAAGACGACAGATGAGGAAGAACAGAGTTAGCAATGACCAACAGGGTTGGCAATAATTGGGGGTCACCAAGCAGGTCAGTCAGCTTGTGCCCAAGAAGAGCAGAGGGAGTTAAGGTTGGGAAGACAGGGCAAGAGTTTAACAGTGTATATCACTACAGACAGTTTGAAAAGGGACGTAGCTATTGAGATAGACATATGAAGAATGATTATAGTTGTAGAATTCAAGATAATCTGAGTGTGGAGAAGGTGAGGAGTCAATTGAGAGCTCTGTCCCTATTCAAAACATGGGCGTTAGCGTCATTACCTCATAGAATTGTTGTAGCAAGTAAAGATGTCCTGGAGTAGAAAGCACTTGGTCTGTGGTAAGTGCTAAGATTAGTTTCTGTCTCTTTTTTTTTTTTTTTTTTTTTGGGGGGGGGGGGGGGGTCCGGTCATGGGGCCTGAACTCTAGGCCTGGGTGCTGTCCCTCAGCTCTTCAGCTCAAGGCTAACACTCTACCTCTTGAGCCACAGCGCCACTTCCGGCTTTTTTCTTTTTGCCTATGTGTTGCTGGGGAATTGAACCCAGGGCGTCAGGCATGCAAGGCAAGTGCTCTACCACTGAGCTACCTTCCCAGCCCCTAGTTTCTGTCTCTTACTGCAGTGAATCTCATTATTTCTTCATTCAGGAAATTAGTAGCTTAGACCACTGTTTGTTTTGTTTTGCTTTGTTTTGGATTTGGGTTTTTTGGTAGTACTGGGGCTTGAACTCAGAGCCTGGGCGCTATCCTTGAGGTTTTTTTCCTCAGGGTAGTGCTCTACCACTTGAACTACAGGTCTACTTCTGGCTTTTTTGGTGGTTGGAAGTAAGAGTCTCACAGACTTTCCTGCCCAGGCTGGCTTCATACTGTGATCCTCTGAGCTCAGCCTCCTGAGTAGCTAGGATTTCAGGCATATCAAATTCCAGCTAGCCCATTGTTTCTTAACCCTTAGCCAGCTGATTGTTTCCTTGGAAACAGTCTAGCCAGTGTTATGGCTGTGTGGCAGGAACTCAACCGTGGATGACCTGCTTGTCAGGGTTTCTCTAGAAACCTTCATTGAGAAGGGTATGAGTGGGTGGAACAGCTAGAGAAAATTCAGTAATGCTTGCTAACTAGAAATGAAAAACAAGAGGAGGATGGGTTTGGATTTGACTTTTCACTCCATTGTGGGTGACAGAGAGACCATCTGCCCCTCAAGCACTTAAAGTTGATAGGAAGGCAAAACAGTAGCACACTGAAGAACTGTATAGACATTGTATTATCATTTGTAATTTGACTCACACTAGGAAAAAGAAAAGCCCATGGTTACCCAGGGAGCTATCACAAGACTAGATATATGGCCTGGATCCTTAAAGTGGCAGGGCTTGGAGAACAGGATTGGCCACAGCCAGCCAGGAGCCTTTCATGAGTATAGACACAATGGGGAGAGTGAATGGCTTTGTGTCCCCTGCCCAGACTTACCGGGCTGTGAAAGCACTCTGTTTGTCACTTGAGTGGTAACTGGCCTTTGAACTCAGGACCTTGCACTAGTTAGGCAAGTGTTGTAGCACTTGAACCACACCCTCCAACCTCAGATTTACAGGGGAGTAGAAATTTAGGAGGAAATAGCCAATCTCAACTGCTGTGCAAAGAAAAGGGGGGAAATTGCATCAGTGCCTAGAAAGTTATAGGTCTCATTCTGCAGTCCTAACATCCTATATTGTGTTGTTGTATCCAGAGCCCCAAGAGGACATCTCACTCTGCATGGGATAATAAGTGGAGAACTAAATAGATGTTGTTTTCTCTTATTGAAAAGACAATTAACAGGACCAGCAAGCAGATATGCCAAGAAGAGGTTGGCAAGAGGGAAGAATGGGAATATGGTGTAAGAACACGGCACACTTAGGGAGGGACTCCTACCCCGCCTCCAGCCCAGACTCATAACCAGCACCACTGGCTTTGAGGTAGCTCACATACACTGGTGCTTGCTTACCAACCATCCTATGTCTTTCTCCATCCCCACAGGAATCTCTGCCAACAGTCCTCTGCAAACATCCCTTGTCCGGCCTGCTGGCCTTGCTGACTTTGGACCTTCAAGCGCCTCATCTCCCTTAAGTTCCCCTTTGAGCAAAGGGAATAATGTTCCTGGGACTCCCAAGAGCCTCCATATGACCAGCAGCCTAGCCTCAGACTCCCTGGTCCGGAAACCAGGCAAAGGCACCAACCCTTCTGGAGGACGGTAACCGTCTGGACCCTCCGGCTTCCTTCAGCCAAACCATGGGCGAGAGCCCTGGCCTGCACATGGTCTTTGGATGGCACGTCTGGCACAGCATCTTAAATCCTGAGTCAGAGAGCGGACAGGACCAGTGGCAGCAAGGGTAGGCAGGTGGATGGTACGAGAATTCTCATCACCTGTTTCCAAAGGGAAGTGCCCTGGGGTTCAGCCCAACAGCGTCCCAGATGGACTCTGTGGCCAAGTCTTAGCCCTCTCGCCAGGGAGGGCTGACGTGGACCCCTTGAGATGCTCAGGCGCGCCGTCTCACCCTGCTCCACCCTCTGCCCACGCCCCTTGTAAAGGTTGTGCAGGTGCTGTGGAGAACCCCTCGTCGTGGACGCTTCTCTTAAGGGTAAGATTTCCTGTAGGGCTAGGAAAGGAAGAAAGGGTGTGCCTGGTGTCGGCCGTCTTTGGGCAGCTCCCCAGGTCTCCAGATGGCATGTGCAGCGGTGTCCTCACTGAAGGTAGAACAGTGGGTGCCAGGGAAGGTGGTGGCTTGTAGGGCTGGCAGAGGGCTGGAGAAGCGGACTCACAGGCAGGTGTTTTCCCAGCGTTTCCTCCCCTGTCCAGCATGGTTCACACCAGGGAACCTTCAGGTCCTACCAGCAGCAGTAGCAGCAGCTCCCACCCGAGGGACTCCCAGAAGCCAGTACGAGACCAGGAGCCACCTCAATCAGCAGGACATTCTCACTGCCCCTCTTACAGACGCCCCTTCGCCCATCCTGAACGCACAGTCTCCCGCCCTTGCCCTTCGGCCCCCTGCTTGGCTGTATGCACGGTCTTTGTTGCACTGAGAAAGGAAGGGAAGGCAGGAATGAGGTGAAGAGGGTGGCAAGAGGGCAGCCCCAGCAGCCTGAGCTGCTGCCCTCCGAGGGGGGCAGCGGGTGGCGGCGTTGAGAGGAGGCACTCCACCGGGCGTCACTAGTGGAGCAGGTGCTTCTCGGCGGGCCAGCCTCTAATTTGCACACCTGAAAATCGCGGAATTGAGTTTAGATAGATTGATTTTTAAATTTTTTTGGAGTAAGGGTTATAGGGGGATCATTTTAATTTAAATCACTAAGATTCCCCTTCCTAAATCCAGACTCCTATGTACAGATGCTATTTAGAGGGAATCAGAAAAATGCCAAGCCTTTTTTCTCTTTGAATGTGCTGTCTATTTTTATAACTGAACTTGTACATATGTATAAAGAGAGACACATCTTTCTTTTACTAACTGGATAAAAAATCTTAAATAAAATGGAGTGAGATAATTTTATGTAAATCAGGTTGTCTGTGGTCTTTGCAGGTACCTCTCTTTGGGGGCAAAATAGGGCCCTTGGGAATACGGCAAAATAAAAGGAAGTCAGAGCCCTGACATGGCTCCTATGATCACAGAGGACAGGGCTAGTGAGGTGAGGAGTTCGCGTTTTGTTTGTTTTTTCTCAGTGGCAGTCCTAATCAGATAGGACAAGTTGCCTGTAGCCATCAGAGAGAGGCTTAACCAAGTGCCTGGGCCGCACAGAGGACCGAGCTATGGGCGGGTTGGCCTGGTCTGCCATTAGGCAGAGTTAAACAGTGGTGATCTTCATACTCCCAGTGTCTCCGCTGTAGCTGTCCTTAGGTCATGAAAGGAAACAGTAAAGAATTTCAGAGACGTCCATGCTTTGAAAACAGTTTGGTAATCAGAGCTCTGGTTCCCAGCCTGGAGCCACGGTCGGTGTTTGTAACTGCGCTAAAGCTGATCGGCTCTTACGTCACCTCGGAGTAGCTCTCATGCTGTTCCCCAGCGAGCCAGCTGTGGGGCCTGCCTGGCCTTGGCTCACCCTGCACACTCTGACCTGGGTGGGCTGGCTCCTCGACAACTGCTACTCACCCTTTGTGAGGATCAGCATCTCTTCATTTTGTTGATGTCAGATACTGTGGGCCTTGTGTTCCTTGCTGTAAACGTGACCAGGGCCTCATACAGAACCAGCCAGCGAAGCCTGCTCTGCTGCTTCACCCCAGTGAGTCCAATTAGGATGGATCCTCTCCCATTTTCATCTCCACTTGGGGCTCATTCCTGCCAGAGTCTTGCCCAGGTCAGCAGTGGCCCCCTCTCTGGGGACTGTCAGCTGAGCTCCTCAAGCAGCTTCACCCAGGTGTGATTAAGCCATTCCTCTCCTGTAAAGGATGAGAGGTTTGGATCCCTGCCCTTTTGTCTTCTCTGTCTGCAGGCACACTGCAATACTTCTTTACCCACTAGCTAGCTCCTGGCCTTAGTACCTGCCTCATCTGCCCCTCTCTTGAGAGTAGAGGAATGACACCTAAATATTCAAATGAAGGCTTCAACTCATTAGCCACTTGGTCTCAGGACATGTTGGTCTCCCCTGTGAGAGACATTCCAGCTCTTACCTAGGAACTTTCTCTTCATGCAGAAGCAAAGCTGGGGAGAGCTGTAGCCCGGCTAAGCAAAGCATCCTTCAGCAAGCCCAGTCCAATCCTAGATAGTGAGGTGGTCCCACTGGCCTGGCCAGGGTTACCTCACCAGCCTAGGTAAGTGTAGACTTTAAAAAAGGGGGTCTAAGCGGGGCGCTGGTGGCTCATGCCTGTAATCCTAGCTCCTCAGGAGGCTGAAACCTGAGAGTTGCTGTTCAAAGCCAGCCTGGGCAGTAAATTCCCTAAGACTCTTATCTCCAATTAACCACCAAAAAACTAGAACTGGTGCGGTGGTACAGCGCTCACCTTGAGCTGAAGAGCTGAGGGACAGCGTCCAGGCCCAGAGTTCAAGCCCCATGACCAGGGGAAAAAAAAAAAGAATGTGGGTCTGAATGTACAGCCTTGGAAATCCAGGGCCTGTACTGGGCTTACTGGCACAACCTCTGTGCCTAGGAGTTTGTTGAAGTTTCCAGAACTCTGGAGCTACACCCCTTGACTGCCTTGGGCCTGAGGAATTGAGCTGAGGAGGAGGTTAGGCCAGGCAGGCTGAGCAGTGAGCTGAGCGTATCCTGCACAGCCAGAGTGTCTGCAGGTGGATTCCTCCACAGAGCCTCACTGCTGGCTTTCAAGCTTACCCCATACCACGTCACCCAAGCCCCTCACACCAGACCAGGCTGGCCCTTGGAAGCAGCATTCCTTGGCTCCCTTAAATGCACATGTGCAAGCTCAAGCTGGATTTGTAGGTTTTAGCTGTCCGGGTTTTAAAGATGGTCAAGGTGAACACAGCCTATCCAAACTAAACAGTGCTCTGCCTTTGCATGCCCTAGAAGGATTTTTGCCTAAAGCTGTAAGGACACAAAAACTAAAACCTGTATCATCCCTTTGCCTTTGTCAAGTTTAATATGGATATGAGTCACCCGAAGATCTGTTTGAAATACAGATTCTGCTTCTGCAAAGTCCAGGAGGAAGCTTAAGCCTCGATCTTCAACAAGATCTCATATGGATATAAATATAATAACCTTCCAGCCCTGGTGGGGGCTGGGCCGTGCTCTTGTGTTAGAAATACAACTTTATGTTTTTTACTATCAATTTACTGACAGAATATGAAACCCTAACATTTCTAGGAAAATTCTGGCCTGTGTTTTCACAGCCTGTTGTTTCGGTTTGATTTGAACTCAATGCCTTGTACTCGATAGGCAGGTGCCCTACCACTTAGACCACGCCTGCAGCCCCAAAAGTTCAATTCTGTATTTCCTCCTTTATTTCTCTCCTGGCTTTCACCTCCACTGGGCATGTTAGGTATGAGAGAGAAAGTCTCTGATTTGCAGTGCTGTCCTTGATCCCTGTGGCTGTACAATGTGTCCCTATCATGACCCCTTTGGGGTCTGTCGGCTTTCACAGCTGTAATTCCTAAGCCGGGGAGAGCTTTGGCTGCTCTCCCATGCTTCTCGGAGACTGCTGAGAAGTAGTTTTAGAAGCCGTGTGGCTAGTGCTGGCTGCCCGGTTCAGCCATCTTCATGATAGGTATTCACATTTAAATGTGGTGGGCAGGGCTATTCTAGAGAAGGCAAGCCCCTCTCCTGTGCCCCAACCCAGGTACTTGTTGCGGAAGTAGCAAAATGATGCTACAAAAAGGATCGGCCTGGGGAGGGAGAGGCCTCTTGAGGACTTAGGTGGCAAGTTGTGCTATTTCAGCCCCCTGGGGATGGCTGGGCGCCTTTTGCTAACCAGGAAGTGTCTGGAGCAAAGAGCCCCAGGACCCAGCTATGGAGATGCCATTCCCAACTTGACAGTCCCCAAGACTGTCCCCAGTTTTGGTATAAGGAAAGGGCGGGAGTGGGGAACAGGCCTGAGGCCCACTTCCTGGTGATGGAGCCCTGAGGAAGCTGGGTGCCTTGCTTATCACCAGGCCACTTCCTGTGTCTCGTTTCTTCCTTGCTTCAGGTCTTGGAGCATAGCTGGCTTTCATTTCCTCTTCAGAGCCAGCACCACCCATCTTCTCCCCTTCCCCCTTCTCTCCAAGCCACTACCCCAAATGAGAATCTTAGCTTCGTCTCTATTTCCATCTTCAAGGCAGGGTCTTTCAAATTTGCTCTTGAATTCATAATCCTGCCTCCGCCTCCCTGGTAGCTGGGATTACACGTGAGCCACCGCACTACCATGTTTTTGTTTTTGTTGTTTGGTGCCAGTACTGGAGCTTGAATTCTGGGCTTGGGCACCGCCCTTTGGCTGCAGTTTCCATCCATGCCAGGGAGGTATATTTTCAGGCAGGTAGGTCTTGGCGTGTATCAGATATATTCCAAGCACTGATGAGTCACACGCCTGCTTTACAAGGCTGATGTTTTGGGTTACTGGATTTCCCTGTAGGCAGTAAAAGGAACTCTGTCAAATGAGTAGCCTCGAGCTCTTAGGAACTTTTCCAGCCCCTCTTTTCTTGTTGAATTGGTTGGTTGGTTTTGGCAGTGCTGGGATTTAAACTCAGCACTGTGTTTCATAAGCAAGCAGGTGCTTTACCACTTGAGCTGTGGTCCCAGCTCTTCCTCCTCCAAGGACCCTCCCACCTCAGCCTCCTAAATGTTGGGATTACAAGCGTGTACCACCACACCCAGCCCACATTTTCTTCAGAACTGCATTGTTGTTTTGTTTGTGGTTTTTTGTGTGTGTGTGTGTTTTTTGCAGTCATGGGGCTTGAGCTCTGGGCCTGGGCCTGGGTGCTGTCCCTCAGCTCTTCAGCTCAAGGGAGCCGAGAGTGCTCTACCATTGAGCCACAGCGCCAAAGTCTCATCTCCTGGTCCCCAGTTACCCTTTTGGGAGGTAAACAAGGCCTCATGGTTTCTTACAATCACTACTTTGATGTTTTGTAAAGGCATGACCACAGTCATACCGTATCTAACTTTATACTTGGCTTCATTGAGTAATAACATTCCTTAAGTTGTGCAAAGAGAATTCTTTGGAACACTAGTTAATAAATCATTTTATTAGTGCATATTTTTCATAAACCCTTAGAATGACTGCAAATATGCTCACGTAGGGAGATCAGCTGCTTTGTCGTCCTACGGCTCTAGAACTAAGAGTTTCCCTTTAAGTCCTCCGATTCTGTCCCAGATGAAACGATTCACATGAATTCAGCCAACAATGACAGTTTGGATCTGGGCTGGTCCTTTGCTCCCATGAGACACAGGGCTCTGGGGTCAGAACAAGGCCCCCCAACCCAGGAAGATGAGTGGGGTGGTCCCTGGTCTGAGTGGCCTTCAAGAGCTGGCTGTGTGGTCCGACCCAGCAGAGGGGATATATTTAGCCCCATCAAATGCTGCTGGCTGTGTTACGCATGACTCAGTACTGTGCTGTTGGTAAACAAACCAGGAAGACCTGGCTGAAGCCAGCCCTCACTCCCTGTCCCAGCTTGGAAGGGTGGGGAGGAGAGGAAGGCTGGGGCCTGGGAAGCCTGGGAACGCTTGACCCAGCCCCCTGCCGCCTCACTTCCCTTCTCCCTCCACCTGCCAACACTGTTTGCCCTATTAAGCGTTCAGGTCCTTTCATTGGCTCATTCCACCCCATTCATTTACTCGTTTATTGGCTCAGTACGTTTTTCCTCAGCCATGAACAGGACAGGGCCAGCTCCTGCCCTCCTGAGCTTCATGCTAGTGTCCCTGGGATCTGATCCTCATTCTGTAATGGCTTTAGTTAGTGCCCAGTGGGGCCCCTCTATCCTTACCGCTGTAGCCACATGCCCTCTTACTGATTCCTTCACCCGCATCTATACCATTCAACCCAGAGTGCTGTGCTGCAGCTATGCCAGGAAGGCTGGTGCCCCTCCTCTGTGGCACCCGGGCACCTCTGCTTGTGCCTAGTATTTTGTGGTGTCAT